TGTGTTCGTGTGTCGCCAACAGGTAGCAATTCTTGACAGATCCCTTTGAAACTTTGCATATCTATTCTTTATACCAAAGGATGACCCCTATTGTTTTTGGTGAATGTACGACACCCAGGGGCAGAGCCACACCCAATCTTTCTTTGTGTGTCTGTGTGTTGCCTACAGGTCACACTTCTTAATGGGTCGTCTTGGAACTTGGCCTTTTTGTTAATATTTTGTCTGTAAATAATCTACAGGTGGGAATTATTAACAGATTTGGATCCATTTCGGAATGATCCATCATAGGGTTGTGTAGATATTTATATTGTGCCGTATCCAACCCCCATGCAGGGACCGAGTCCCGCCCAATTTTTGTGTTGTTTACAGTCTACAGACTGCAATTCTGAATGGATCATCTTGGAACTTTGCATATGTATTCCTTATACACCATAAAGACAGCAATTATTTATTTTGATGCATGCCCCGACCCCCAGGAATGCGGAAGTATATTGCAGTGGTACCGATGCTCTTGTTTTTAATCTAGTTTAAAGAGAGCGTGTACGATAAAATAGCAATGCGTGTATTATCTTCCTAAATCGAATTTCATTTAAAAGAATATTGTAATGAGGGGGGGGGGAGGGGGGTGAGCCCCAAGATCAATGAAAGCATGCTAACATGTAATTTATTTAGTAACTGGAGTTTTAAAGTGGCGATTCCTCAGCATATATATATATGCATTTTGAATATAATACTACCAGTATGTATTACCAGTCATTACCAGTACCGAACGTACTTTCTTTGTTTTCTTACTCAGGATATCACATAGCAAAACAGAAAATTCATGAGAAATACTTATGAACACCAATGTACGACAAAACTTTGTTAGATATAATAATGCCACAAATAAGTAGATGTATCAGATGTTCCAGAAAGAGGAAACATGCTGTCGTACAATGCACACATGTGGTTGTGGGCTTTGGTTTGTCACCGAACGTACCGAGGCACACTGTTTTTGGGAAACCGATATATAAATGACATAATGATAAAGACGACAGTTTTTAATCGATGTTTTTCCATTTTGACGCGAAGTATTTTAGGACCGTAAGATGATGAACCCTGTTCTTTTTCAGTCGGTGAAGCTTGTGAATTCGATATAGATCAGATTTCTTGACCCTTACCAACATCCAAGTGTTCCTTTCAGATAATATGGATATCTGTCGTTAGAGACATAGCTGATGTGTGGACGTATTCCATCCACGTTTTGCTTTGGTGTATTCATTTAATTCCCTGGTCGTCATTTGAGTGATTGCTAGTCACTTTAATATCTGAAAGAAATATCTGTCTAAAAATGGTTCAATTTTCGCCATTGTTTACAAGTTTTATGTAAATTGAAAATTCCTCATCGACTTTAAACGATAAAACCACGGAACAGCAGCACTTTTGATTGGCCTCTTTTTCATCCGATTGAATCAAAGCCGGGAGATCAACTACCGTTGATATTTTTAGTTGAAAATTTGATATTTTTCGAAAAATGCAAATGCCGCGCAGAGATTCTAACTGTATACATTCATTTTATGTTATTTTGACGTTTTGACATGTCAAAACGTCAAAATAACATAAAATGAATGTCACTAGCCTATGATAATCTCCGTGGCACGCATTGTCTAAATTTATCCATTAACGGTAAATTATTAACTAAGAAACTTTAACATTAAAGTCCAAATTCTCACCAATCTGTAAATTACAGTACATAATGCTAAGATTATCTCCCACCGATCATGCTTCGTTAGTCATCGTTGCTTAAAGTGGTGATTAATCGATATCTAACGACACGGCTTCATAGTTTAGGACAGCAGGGAATTTAATTGATGTTAATGTCTTGTTGAGATTTTAGACCATTTTCCGACTAGCACAGTGCTTTCCAACCTTTTTTGCTAACGACACACCTTGGAACACATAAAACAATAGGGACACACCTGGCTAAATATATATGAAAAATATTTGAATTTTGCAAAATAAAAACATTGCAGGGCATAAACGGCATACAACCGTAGACACAGACTAGTCTTATACACATAGAATTACTCAAACTAAATAAAGAAATAACACAGCTATGAACTTACTTTATTGCAGTGTTTCGAATTTCATAAGTCAAATAGCTGGCTTCTATAGTGAAAAATTTTCTTGGTGTGCCGTTCAAAATTTCGCGGTACTCTTAAGAAGATCTCACGGCACACTAGTGTGCTGCGGCACAATGGTTGAGGATCAATGGATTAGCATATAAAAGGGGCGGGGCGATTCCTGCGTTTAGGCCACTTCTTTTCCAAGTTGCGTCGAGGGAGAGGGGGCGGTTGAGCAGCAGCGTGAGTGTCACCTCTTCTCCAAATTACAACTGTCAAGATTTGCGTGCACGTTTTTGTTTACACGGGAGTAAATAGACATTCACTCATGCCATAATTAGATTGCCTGTCTACAGCTACCTCCGCCTGTGAACAGGCCCTAACCTAATTAACCAACATTTTAATTCCTACATCGACAATTTTAGTCGAAAACACTGAGTATGCTTTTAGAAAATTTTAGAAGTATTTATTTCTCTTCTATTGTCATATTGATTGAAATTAAATATGTTTATTTAGCCATTGTGTGCATGAAAGATGTCAAACTAATCAGAGCCGAATCACAAAATAGTCCTCTAATTATTCAATATGGCGGCGCCCTTGAAAAAGATAATTCCACCGAGGCGGTTTTGTTTGCGAAGACAAATTTAGGAGTATCTAACTTGTTTTGAAAGATAAACAGATTGAAACTCTAAAGACAGTTTACAATTGTAAAAACTGTATTGCAATATTACCCATTAGCACATGTTTATATATCGCTTTTACCGGAGTAGCAGAAGTTGACAATTTGCCAACTTGACATATGTGTTTACATAAAACACGTGCTTCGGGTTATTTTTACTCTGGTGTGTAAAGCAGTAGTCCAGTCGATAAGTCCCGCCCCAAAATGATCACATAAGCGTTTTAAATGGACGGCATTTAGGGCAGTGATCTGTTCTCGGAGTATGACGTAGATGGATCGCTGCGTGCAGTATGACATCCACTCTGACAACTGGAAACAGACTTGTGATTCGAGCCCATTCAGTACCTATTTCAAAAGTTGTCGGCTGAAGAATTAATTAGTGTAAACTTTACACATTAAGTCTGCCAGTCATGCTGGAAAAATAAATATCGATAATAAAGGTCATATTTACTCCTGTTGACAAAATAGGTTTATAAATCACGAAAGCGTTGGTATATTTACGTCGATTATCCAGACTGTTGATATGCTCAACTTTAACTTAGATGAATGAATGAAAAGTGGTTTGACAACACACAAGCACCAAGCGATATATATTTCGCCAATTCAATGCTCAATTTGGAAAAAAATCATTTCGATCTGAATAAAGATACAAAATTTATGCCATGTTTCGACGTGTCATTTTTTTCCCGCCAAATTACATGCATTATAGTAGTGGTACAGCAAAGGTTCTCTGCGACCAGAAATTTTGTCAGGCTACAGGACAAATGAAGAAGAAAGCAACAAAATTAAACATATCTAATAATTGCACCAAATAAATGCTATAACTATCATAATTTTATTGTTGTCGCCTATATTTAAGCATCCTCTTTATCCCCACTGCAGGTCTCATTCCGTTCCACTGCACTATGCCCTGTTTTCATCCCTGTATTCAAATTATCTGCCCTCGATGATTGTGCTATTTTTATAAACCAATACGCTTGATAGCATAATGACTTTCTACAAAAAAATTTCTACTGCCTGTTTTGACTGACATAGAAACATCTTTCCATCGTAAAGATGTTTTAGGGCATGTTTTTGTGTGTATGTCACTTTTGTTAAATTAAATTTCTTGCAAACTTGCCCATAATCGAGCGAACAAGACACCATATTATTGTTTTGAACGTAAACAATGGAGCTAAGACTGTTTGTAAACTGATTTTTGATTGGTTCGTAGAATTAAGGTACGATCAAGGGCAGATAATTTGAATGCGTGAATACCCCATTGATAAACCCAGGGATGATATTTAAGCAACAATATAAACCATAAAAACCCGAGACAAGAATTATTAATTAACGTGTGTTATAGACCATAGACTAGCGGAAAATTTGATTTCCTTAACGCCTGCCCCCAGAGGCCAATGTCTGCGCCCCCCCCCCCCCACACACACAAATTATGCCTCTTCCCTAGCCTATTGGTCAACCAGGCTTAACTACTACACTATACCTAGCTCTAATATCTGGCTGTATCCCTTTAATTGTGGAGACTGTAAATATTATAACTTATCTTTAATTACTGTTCACGTTATTAATTATTTGTATGGTTGCCTTAGTAACATTGACAACGTTTCATTAATTTGAAGCTAAGTTCTAAGATAACTAGATAGTGTGGAGAAAATAAAACCGTTGTAAATGCATTAATCATTCCTCTCTATATTATTATTTTTCAAATAAAACAACTGCAAATATTACTATTTTATGCATGGGTAAAATTTCATTCCAAACTCAATATAGTAAGGGATACACTGAGTGAAAATATGGTATTATCACCGTGTTACTGTTAGTGACATTATGGGATATAAATACATTTCTTGACCCCAGACTAAGATTATGTTCTTAATCTGGTGGACATGAAGACCTAGCTCAACGTGAAAATACACTATTCAAAAAAAGAGACGTAACTTATGAAATGCTTCTGTAAGAGAACTGTTCAAACCGTTTACTGTGACTGAAAATAGTTCCAAACAAAATGTCCATTTTAGTTCACCTGTCTAGACCTCTGGAAAATGTATCTTTGGAAGTAGCTGAATGGTTTCACATTGGAGGTTAATACATAACGCACACGCCTCCGCCATGGTTCACCCCAATTCCCTTTAGTTTTCTCAGCATTTTCGGACGAAGTGCGGGAACAAACATTTCGTTGCTACATTGTCATTGATATAAATATGGTTGTATATTTTCAGTGTTACCTGACGCTAGATTTGTAACAGTGCAAAGATGGTATCAGTATATATCAATATCACTCATATTCATCAGCTGTATATCTATTTTGGCGGGAATTATAACAGTTAATGTGGTGGCAGATGAACCTTTGCTAACGTTCTTCACTGGTTCACCAATATGGACGGGGGCAGTGGTCAGTATTTATTTTTAAACTATCTTGTGGGATGTAACAATCATAGAGATAATAATCTCTGGGTTTGGGGGTGCTCTCTTATCAGCCATAATCGACGGTGGTTGGATTATGAACGGATGAAGGCGGTATAATTTCATACTTTTCTGCCATGTGCAAAAAGGTCCAGTTTATGATGACTGGGGTCCTTGAATAGGATAACAGTTAAATTAGGCACAATCGCACAAATATCTGATCTCTCTCCCATTGGCTGATAAGTGGTCTCATACAAGTTATTTGCCCTTGAATTTAATTATTTCGACTTTTTTTGTATGATATTTAAACTGAAGGTTGTATTATTTTTGAGAGAGATTTTCCTTTTTTACAAGCCAATGTAATACCAAAAACATATACCCTTGTTTATTGGGAGAAATCAGCCCATTGAATTATTAAGCATGACGTTTTCTGGGTTTCAATGTCGTTAATCAACGTCCTGACAGTGACAGTCGAATTGTCTGTGTTGGTATACAGAACTACGTTTCCTTGTGAAGTATGTCAGTTTTGAAATCCAAGCATACACGACACATTCTGTTTGTTTCAAGCTAGATTAGGTTCTATGACAAACGCGGTCGTGATAGAAAGCAGTTTAGATTAGAATACAGATTAAAAATCAGAATAAAAATAAACGAATTGAAATTGTAATCTGATTGTATAATATTCTGGCCTCCAATTTCACCCTACCGCTAAAGAACTGTGCAAGCGACTTATTGAATGAATAAAAATTTACCATATGTCAGTACAGAAATGACATAGTTTGAGTTTTAACATATAATTGTTCTGTATTTACAGGGTCTGATAGCCGGTGCTTTAGTTTATGTTGATTGGAGAAATATGAACCAGAATGGACCACCTTTAACAACGTCTACTCTTGTAAGTTATCTCCTCTTTATTGTCTTTGCTTGGTGCCTTAAGCGAATTATTTTCAAGTAAATGGCTCTTGCCATAACAGGATGTGTCCTAAAAAGATTGTACCCATATTTTCTATCATTTGGACCACTGTAGATAAACAAAATATTTCAGTTAGTACTTTAATATCTATATCTCACAGGCGCCTCCCCCTCTCTAATTTCACATAGGCCTACGGTTTACAATTACATTCAAAAATTTTACATCTTCCTTCTTTTTCAGGTTTTACTCCATTTTATGTTTGAGATGTTATGTGCAGCATTCTGTCTATTTATGGCAGTGTGGAATGCCACGGGGTGTATGTCAGAAATAGCCATTCAGAAATCATGCCATACTGATAGACCATCTAATATGTCGACGGCCATCGCTGATTACATCATTTGTATTTTTCTTCTTCTAAATAGCTTAATCATTCCAATATTTGTGATAATAAATCGGAATATTTTCGGTTCTAAAACAATTGATGAACGTTTAAAAGAAATAGAAGCCAGACTGCAGATTAGAATGAATGACATGCAGACGGAAGCGTCTTTAAGACGCCCGTGCACTTACGACACTGTTTATTGAAGACTTAATTCGTGTGCTTTTCATATTCTTGGCACTTTTAGCTAATAAATTTGATTTATCATCCACTTTGACCTGAGTTAAACATAAAATTGTCGGTTTCATTGATTTATGTATTGATTTAGTTTGTGGGATAACACGTGTACTTTATTCAAAAGTTTACATCCAAAGATAAAGTCGGTGTTGGGATTTTATCAATTGTGCGTTCTTGTGTCGACACTGCAATGGTAAAGCAAACCAAAAAGTGTCAACAAGCCGACTTCTGCTTTCGAAACAAAATTTAATCGTAAAGAGTTTGCCCCATCGCAAATCGAAATAACATATCAGATCAACCCAATGAAATACATTATTTTAATCTCATTCAAATGGGTTTACGTTTAAGTTAGTTTAGCCCCTTGGCCCTTTCCAATGGGTTTGTTAATAAAACAAATCGTGTCCAATATGTGTTTTCTATACCTTATATACCTTACCTACATTTCCCAATTTCTTAAATTATTTTTAGTATACATTTTCTTATTCCGGCGCATATCTCATAAACCATTCAATCAAGATATCTTTATAAAACAGGGTCTATATCTTTTCAACCCGTTGATACGTTGATAGTACAATGGTAGCTGGAGTTTTGCAATTGAACACAATTTTTGTGCACAATAACCAGGTGTAATAATTTGGAGGCCTGATACTACAACCATTTATACCATGTACATTGCTAGTACCCCCCCCCCCCCTCCCACAGAGATTGTTTATCCCTGTACCTTCCAAAAACAAGTCCAAGGGCGCGGGGTCATGTTGACGGTGTCTTTCTATTGGTTGTACAGCTCAAATTGCTGTGAAATTTTTAAATACTGGGTCGACTTGAAATGCAACTCAAGGGAGATAATACTGGCCATATACAACTGGCGGTAGTTTTTTCTTTGATGTCCATAGCAGTAATATCTCATAACATCCTGTCATGACGTCATCATAGGTTGATATATTCGGTTCATATCAACCGCTATGACGTCATCTCAGGTCGATATATTCGGCTCATATCAACCGCTGATGACGTAGATGATCGAAATAATACAAAGAACACAGAAATAAATTTTTATTCTTTTGACAATTAAAAATTGTTATACCACAGTTTGTAGCATCCAGGACCGAAATAGACGGCGAACTTATCGGCATATTTAAATCGGTTCTCCATACTCCATGTCTAAGATATCTTGCAGAATTTTCTTTCCGTCCACATTTCGATTATATCTCCACACACTCCAAGGTTAGAAAGTATTTATCGCCCAAGAGTTCCTTTGTAAAGTATTTTTGGGTATACAGTCCACTTAAAACAGTCGGTCAAATCCTTCTCTGAACATACCGAAAACCTTCAATCACGGTTCACTGTCAGAATTATCGGAAAAGATTGCCTTTTGATCCAAATTTTCTTCAGGCTTTGGATAGATCCTCAACGATATTTGCGTTCACATCTATTCCATCGTTAATATGTTGGCTGAAAAAGAATTGATCATTCATCTGACTTCGTATTATTATCCATTTTGTTTTTGATTTCAATTCAATTACTCCAAAATGGCGACGTATAAACAAAAACATGCACGTACATTCGCGTGATTACTTCGGTAATTTTCGCTATTTGGCGGAAACTATCGAGCAATTATCCAATCATTGTTGCCTTTTATTAAAAGAGTCCGTTAAATTAAAGGGTGAAATGGCGTTGTATATGTCGGACATAAACCTACTCTCCCTCGGATTGATATGATAGAGAACACTTGGGCTTGTTCTCTATCATATCAACCTCGGGTAGGTTAATATCTTATACATAAAATACCCGAATCATTTACTGTGAATCATTAAATGTTAATACTATAAGAGTTATTAAAGCTATAATATCCTTGGGAATTAGACCAATCTAGAGGGCTACTTAGGAAAACATTGTGAATCGAAAACTAAATGATCACAAAAAACACATGTATGTATGAAGTCTATAGATATGCAGTAATCTTTTAACAAATTTAATGCTTTCTGGCGTGATCTTATTACAAAGGATGCCAAAGCTTTAATACTACCCGACTGTAGTCTTTAATACTACCCGACTTTGTTTTATTATAAGGATGCTATAGCTTTAATACATTTTAATACTACATGACTTGATCTTATTAATCAGGATGCTATAGCTTTAATAAATCTTACCATTTAAAGTTTCGTCTTTCTTTCTCGTCAAGAAAGCGACTCTCTTCACAACAAGTATTAAGTGCATTTTGGGTATTTTTCTAGTCGCTTTCAAAGAGTTGACTATTTCTCTCATAATTAAATTATGGTAAAATTGTTTAGAAGTGTCTTGCTTTAAACGACATAGCGAACTTTATTTTGAATTTTTGTTCAATCTGATAACTATAGGTCTTAAATCGACCACCTCGTGCCCACCAAAACCTCCAAACAGACGACAATAGCCTCATCTAGAATATTTTCTATGCCTTCTATACATGTATATATTTGTCAATTTTCATTAGTTTATGCTCAAGGTCGGTCTTAGTATTATTCTTGCATGAGTTCAGCCTGTCCAGCAATTTCCCTGATAGTGATATTTCCATTTTATTCGAATTTCGCACGCGCTTCGCCAAAAACGACCCCATCCTATCTCTTCCTTCATGTTCAACTTTCAGATTGTCGATTATTTTGGAAAGTATTTTCTGTTTCTAACATTGGTGTTGTTTTTACAGATTCTGTATCTTTAAGAGTAGCCTACTTATAGAAAGATGATCAGCCTATAATTAAAGAATTATAATTCTCCATTTCTACTAAAAGCTCTTCCTTTAATTTAGCACAAACAGCAACAATGATCATTTCCGATATTCCATAGGGTAGACAATTTTTAAAAAATAAAATACGAAATAGGTTAATAATAGATTGTAATTATTTTCGATCTTAATACAATATACAAATTAGTATATTACTATTGAATGTTGGTTGAATATTCTTGTATTTAAGAAGTAAATTTGAGAGATCTTGACTGTATATTTCTGAAACATTGTTTTAATATAATTATTCAGAGGCTGCATATTCCATTTCATGAGCTTAATTTATTTAGAATAGTGAAATCAGTAGAATTAATGATATTTACCTTTACGCCGACAGGTTTTATTTATTGCCTTATAATATCTACTCTAACAACTAATTAAAATAATAGTGTAAAATATTATAGAGGCCAAATGAAGTAAACGATTAGCGTGATAATTTTAATACAAATAACATTTTGCGCTGTAAAGCGCTTTGCTTTGAATTTTTGTTTCACTGATCCGTCAGTGTTGATATTATTTTCCAAAGTCTACGACAAATGCACCAAAAATATGAACAACGGTTTGGAATATTTAACAACTCACCTGATGGTTTAAAAGCACGAAAAATGTCAGTTTTGAGCAAGATAAGTAATAGACACCGCTTATTTCCAGAATATGGCTATAGCTATGGCGTCATGTCATTATGTCGTCACAATGGACGTATTCATTGTTAATGTTATCCAGTGAATTTTTGTGTTTAGTTGGCATACGGCAGATAAGGTCTGGTATTGGTAAATCTAATGTTAGCTTTAAACGTTATAATGCAGATAACACCAGTTTTGGAAATAGAGATATATTTTATTATATAAAATAAACGATTCGGCGATAATTTTAATACAATTAACATATTAAAAAGGCTGTGCGTTTCACTTTGAAATTTTTGTTCCACCACCCTTCAGTCTATGACAAATTGGACCAAAGTCTAGGATAAACTGGATCAAAAATATGAACAAAAGTTTGAAATAGTGAACTTGTCATATTAACAACTCACCTGATAGTTGAAATGATAATTTGTCTGTTGAAAAGTAGGAAAAATAACAATTTTTAGCAAGATAACTAACTAACGAACACGGCTTATTTCTAGAATATGGCGATAGCTATGACGTCATGTCATTATATCGTCATAATGGGCGTATTCATCATTATCCAGTAAATATTTATGTTTAGTTGGCGATAACAGCTTAGGTCTGGTGAATCCATTGTTAAAGGAGCCAAGTCTCTAACTCAATATCATCCAAAGTCTTCGACATTGAAAACACGAATTATTTGTCTATTTAAATCAACATTAATGTTGTGATCTTACCCGGAAAAGATGGGCTTCTTATATCCAGTATTTAAGACAGAATAATCATTTTACAATTGGTACACGAATCGTGTACCGTACCATAATATTTTTCAGCGCCATTTGTGACAAGGGACTCGAAGAACGAGGCTAGACATTTCCACAAGTCATGTCAAATGGTGACGCAAAATTCTTATCTGCAGAGTATAAGCAATAAATACTATCGGTGTAGACTGGAATAACCATAGAGATTGTCATTCGATTGAGACTTCTGGCGTATTTCGCCGAACATACTGATTAGAATTTAAAGTGAAATGAAAATGAAATGAAATGGGGTTTAACGTCATACTGTTCTGCTCCGACTGGGATAATAAAGACGGGCATACGCCATACAGTGTGCTATGAGGGAATTTTTGCCCGGCAGCGGCACTATGGCCTACTCTTATATCGAATTCAAACTGTCCCATCCGAACGACTAGACAGCTGCCCTCGTCCTGCACCACTGACAAAGGGAAACCACGCCGGAAAAATAAATTACAGTAAAAACAGAAACGATTGAATGTAAATCAGTTTACATACATTCATAATACATTATTATATGGGTTGCGACCCATTTGAGTCAATTTCTAGGTCCCAAATATTAGCATTTTAGCTCCTTTATTTGACGTTATTATTCAGATGCCACCAGTTTTTAAATAGGCACCCCTTAAAAATACCTGATGTTTTGGGATTTTATCCGATTATTAAGGACGCGTGAAAATGTGAGTGTATAGAAATAACTAATCTCTGGTTAACAGAAAGCGCAATCTGATTATAACACAGATCCCATTTCGTTTCGTTTTTTATAGTTCAAAATTTCGTTTTACTTGTCTTTACTACACTAGGATCTGGAAGAGTTGTTATATTACATGTGCTTTGGTTGAAGTGAGGGATAAGCCAATGAAACGGTCTGTTACGGCGACTTGGCGTGTCATGGGCGGAACTGTGGGTAAACCACCAGAAACGTCAACGCTAAGCAATAGGGTCAAAAGCCGCTCGCACGACCCCTGACACGACCTTCGAGTACAACATGTCAGATCTTCATGTAGTGTTGGCCATCGAATGTATACAAAAAAACGAAGCGAAATATAGATCTGTATTTAATCAGATTGCAGAAAGCGCATATATAATCGACATGTGTTTACCACAATAATTTGTCGAATGATTTGATGATATTTAATTAATAATATTAATAATAAGGCTTTTTGCAAATAAAATATTTAAGACTAGCAAAATTGGTCCCGACATTTTATTTTTCTTCGTTTGGGGTTGGGGGTAACATTGTAATCAACGCGAGGGATTATTTTATTTGTTAATATTAATATCAGGGGCGGATCCAGGAATTTATGCAGGAAGGGTGTTTGCCAGGACTGTTAAGGAAATTTGACAGTTGACAATGCATATTACCATCATCGCCCCCATATTATGTATGTCCATCCCACCCACCATCTGATGATAAAGGATAAAGCTCACGACCGTGACACTTTTCTCATGACATAACTCATAAGACCTTTTTGTGTAGCTGAGCAGGGGGTGGGATGGGACCCTGAATATATATATATATATATATATATATATATATATATAGTATAGAAATAACCTGATCTGTGGTTGACAGAAGGCGCATAATCGACATGTGACGACTGCAATAATTTGTCGAATAATTTAATAATATTAATAGGCTAGCTACAGTACAACTACAACAGGGGATTTTGGCGAATCATTTCATAATCAAATATTTCACTTTTCAGACTAGCTAAATCGATTCCAGTAGGTTTTTTGTTTCTTTTTTTTCGGTGGTAACATTTTAATCAATGCGTGGGGTTATTTTATTGGTAAATGAAACAAATTCTTATCTATGTAGGTCAGGAACTCCCAATTTAAAAAAAAAACTTGGCTTCAGTCCTATCAAATGAGGCGGGAGAACAACCGGAAGTGATGGCTAAACCTAACCACATACCATATTCTCTAAGGAAATAAAGGCGCATTTAACATAAGTCTATTTATGAACATTATATTGAAATACCGGTTACCATATAAATGGACTAAGACATGCAATTTGGAACAACTAATGTGATATGTATACGATAACTTATAGAGATGCAAAGTTTTAAGGGCGTAGTTCGTAGCTTTATCAAATTAATATTTAAAGTTGAGATTACTACGCGCAGAAAAAGTATGGCGGGAGAAAGTCCGTTTTGAGATGCAATGATGATTTCTTGTTAAATATTACGAAAAACTGATGTGATCTAGACGGAAACATTTTTGGGTGAGTTTCAGGTTAATCAAATGTTTGACTACTATAAGTTGAATCCCAATTAAATACTTTTTTTGACTGATAAAACGTTGGATATCATGAGTATGACTAAACATCGTGACGTCAAGTCTTGTTGGCCAAGAAAATCGAAAAATTTCAATCGTCTGTTCTGATCTGAAATCTTGGCAGTGCCAATATAGTGGGGTCAATTAGCTTATCAAATCAAGCACTTCTTAACTAGTTAACCCGAAGTCTATTTTGAGAAATTATTCTAATGACACGTATTTGTGGTGGTTAGTTGACTTTTCTTGCAAAACGTAACATTTTCAGAACTATTACTACTATGCCGGCTGGCAGTATTCAGATTTTTTGTAGTTACCTCCCTTAGCTTGCTAAATCAGCATAAGTCAGGGGCTGATAACATAATCAATTATATTGTGAATCTGAATTTGTCTGCAATATTAATATATGTTAGCAGATGTTACACATATGTCGATTTTGAATACCTGACAACTCATCCCAAAGACAACTCAGCAGAGATCGGTGCACGCAAATTTACTTTAACCAGTACAAGTTGTCTTTTTTTTCCTGTATGAGGTAATCTGTTGTCTATCTGCATACTGCATTCAATTATAACAATAATACCCGGCATGCAAGGTACTGGCGCTGCTCGGGGGTTCCGTTCTAAACGAACGCCCCTATTTCAAGGGAGATAACTACCATAACGGTAAATAATGACCCAGTGACCTAGTCAAGCAATCACAACAAACACACCTTTTTCGCAGGAGACAACTACCATAACGCTAAGTAGTGAAGTGACTTGGTGATCTAGTCAAATTGACCCAATGGTGTGGCTAATGTACGCGTGCAGTGGTTACTATTATTTTGAATTTCAGTTGTACTTTTTTTAAAATTAAACGCCAGAAAGAAATGGCATAATTTATCACGCATGGATTTATCTCCTTCACGCTTAAAGTGTTAGGTTACACGGCGGAATTTATTAAGCATTTTCATTGCACATGCAAGATCTCGTTGAAATCGGACATACTCTGCAGACTGGCCTATATAAGACAACTCATCCCAAGATAAAAGACAACTCATCCCAACTTAAAAGACAACTCATCCCAACTTAAAAAAAAACCCATCAATTTGATAAAAACAACAATATCAATTTGATTAAAACAACACATTTTCATAACAAAATCAGTGGTCTTCAAAGAAAGCAATTGTGTTGAAACGAATATACATGCAATTAGCACATAGTTTATATTTTCCCCACAGGTTTTTTTTCTATCCGCACTGATGACGCCAAACATCAGTCAGCTGGACCTCCTGTTTTAACCTGTTCTTTTATTATGACAAAGAAGGGAGAAGATGACCCACCCTCTCTTCTCACCACAGCGATTTATATGTTATATGTTACCGGTATATGTTATTTTTTTTTAGAAATAATGTCATGGTTACCGTATGGTTATAATAAGACAGCACAGTGCCGCAGACAATACAAAATGGCAAATCATGCCTCATAGACATCAAGAAACAAGATGCATATTTTAATCATTATCTAGACTTAATTTTTCCCAAATATATGTATAACAAATACTCACAGAAAAGTACAAATAGGTTTGATTTTTATATGCCCACATTGAAATGTGGTTGTATATATTCAAAAATAATCAGATTAAGGAAAATAGATTAATCTGAAAAATTTACAGTTACTGGAAATCTGAATGTTGAGTGAATAGTAAAATCAACATTCAATTGGACCACTAAATATAGAATGTTTTTTTCATTTAGATATAAAAGAGATAAATATTTGTTATGAGTGGTAAAATACGTGGAAGAAGAGGGAGGCCGCTAGGATCTGTGAAGGAGATAAATAACAACTTGCTTCCTGTCTGTCGAGATCATCAACGACCTGGAAAAGAAACAATGAAGCCATCGAAACCAGTGACCTTCAAATTGGATCAAGAAGTACTGGCTAGATGGAATGATGGCTTGTTTTATTTAGGCTCCATTGTCAAGGTACCAAAGTCTTTGAATCTTATTTGAAAAAAATCAAAGCATATGCACATGTATTGTCTTGCTCTACATGTCTTTGTAAAGCACACATGAGCACATTTATGTGGCAGTTGTGTGCTATAGGACTAGTAATGTATAGTAATAATAACTAATTAGAGTGGAGTAGGTGGATGTTAAACCCCATTTCTCTCTGTTAACCTGATCAGGACTTGTTCCATCTGAACTAAATTTGAAATATTGATAAAGAAATGATGTAATTATATATCATTATAGATGTATGATTAATAAAGTGATAACTTATAGTTAAACTATACTTTTTATGGTTTTGAGACATTTTTGAGATTTAGTCATTATATGACATGTTTATTCTTTGACAGATTGATGAAAAGAATGGACGTTGCTCTGTGAGTTTTGAAGATAATTCAGAATATTGGATATTGTATAAAGATATACAGATTGGTGCTATACAGGGAGAAATTGTTTGTTGTATTTGTCAGGAAGAAGCCTCTGATAAACCAAATGAAATTGTTCTCTGTGATAATTGTGGTTTAGGTAAAATTATAAAAAAAATTTAAAAAAACCAACCAGTTCTTTAAAAAGAACACCTCAGACATTAACTTGAATTTCAAATACAGAGGGGGTCTGAGATGAAATTAGCACAATGTTGCAACGGTGTGACACATTTAAATGTGGTCATATATTGCCGTCGGTTCGACATCCACAATTGCTTGTGGACGCTCTAGAGGCTAAAGTTAATATCTGATTGACTTCAATTTTTTACACAGTATTTAAACTCATGACATGAAGAATCATATTGATTTACAACAATTTTCGATAATTAATTCAAGGGTTATGGCCCTTGATCACATTGAGAAATCTTGTGGAAGCTCTAGAGGTTTAAGTTAATATTTGATTGACTTTAAATTTTTACACAGGGTTTAAGCTCATGAGACGAAGAATCCTATTGATTTACAACAATTTCCGATAATTGTTGCCAGAGTTATAGCCCTTGATCACCTTAAAAAATCTTGTGGACGCTATAGAGGTTAAAGTTGATACAATGTATCTGATTTATGCACCATGTTTAAGGTCATGAGACAAAGACGCTTGTACATTTTCAAGGATTTAAATTTATACAGAGTTTAAGGTCTTGAGACGAACAAGTATACTGATTTTCAATGATTTTTATACGCCCACATTGAAATGTGGACGTATATTGCCGTCGCCCCCGTCTGTCGGTCCGTCCGTCCATCATCCACAATTTCTTGTGAACGCTCTAACGCCAAAAGTTATCATCCAATTGTTTTAAAATTGATATATGTTGTTTACATTAGTGAGATGAAGAATCCTATTTAATTTCAATAATTTCTGTTTATTATGTCTAGAGTTATGGCCCTTGTTTCACTTTATTGAACCTTGTGAACGCACTAACGCCAAAAGTTATCATCCGATCTTTCTGAAATTTATATGCATTGTTTAGATTACTCAAACGAAGAGGCCTATTGAATGTCAGCAATTTCCGTTTATTAGTCTAGAGTTATGGCCCTTGTTTCACTTTATTGATCCTTGTGAACGCTCTAACGTCAAAAGTTATCATCCGATCTTTCTGAAATTTATTTGCATTATTTAAATTACTGAAACGAAGAAGCCTATTGAATTTCAGCAATTTTTGTTTATTACGTCTAGAGTTATGGCCCTTGTTTCACTTTAATGATCTTTGTGAACGCTCTAACGTCAAAAGTTATCATTCGATCTTTCTGAAAATTATATGCATTATTTAAATTAGTGAGACGAAAAAGCCTATTGAATTTCAGCAATTTCCGTCAATTACGTCTAGAGTTATGGCCCATGTTTCACTTTATTGAACTTGTGAACGCTCCATCACCAAAAGTTATCACTCAATCTTTGTGAAAAGTATATGCATTATTTTGATCAGTGAAACGAAAAATCCTATTGAATTTCAGCAATTTCTGTTTATTACGTCTAGAGTTATGGCCCTTGTTTCACTTTATTGATCCTTGTGAATGCTCTAACGCCAAAAGTTATCACCCGATCTTTGTGAAATTTATATGCATGATTTAAATTAGTAAAATGAAAAAGCCTATTGAATTTCAGCAATTTACAATAATTACTTCTAGAGTTATTGCCCTTGTTTCATTTTGTTAAACCTTGTTAATGCTCGATTGATGAAAGTTATCATCCGATATGTATGAAATTTATATGCATTATTTAAATTAGTAAAACGAAAAAGCCTGTCAAATTTCAACAATTTCTGTAGATTACTTCCAGAGTTGAGACCCTTGTTTCAGTTTGTAGAACCTTGTAAACCCTCAAAACGACAAAATTTATAATCTGATTTGTATGGAACTGTCTTGTAAAGACCCCCAATTACCTACAAAGGAATAAATATTCGACAACCCTTGTCGACCGCTCTTACGATTTAGCTGCTGTGGGCGTATGTTTTGTTGCAACCTATCTTTGATAATTTGATCAGCTAAATCTATGATATTAAATTTAAATGTTTTGTATACAAACATTAGCATGGGGCAGAACTAGAAGCCAAACAAATTCTAATGATTTTTGATAATTTCTTTATGAGTTGTTACCCTTTATCAGACTTTACTCTATATTGTAAATGTTTCATTACCGACAAAAGAAAAAATATGCGACAACTCTTGTTGACAGCTGCCGTAGGCGTATGTTTTGTTGCTTACATCCTATCTTTGTCCGTTATTTATATTAAGATAAGTTTTTTGTGTCATTTGACAGGTTACCATCAACAGTGTCATAATCCACCTATACAAGGAGATGTACTGAAACCTGATGTTGAGTTTTTATGTAGACTGTGTGTTTTTGCTACAAATGTGAAGGTATTTAATTATTCTCTATGCTCTCTTTCAACAGTGTTTATGTTGGCATTAAAGAACACAAGACTTTCAATATCCTATCGCTATAAGGCTTGACTTGTAAAATCCAGATGGCTATTTTGATGTTTATCAGCCAGGAGGGACTTTAAACAATAGGCAATGTGTTCTTCAACTGTTAGCATGGTTCAAAGGCTTTAGAGAACTAAGACGTAATTAATCCCCAACACACCTTAAATTAGACATTTATTAATAGTTTATTGACCAATCCATTGATCTATTCTTGGACTTTTGTGATGTAAATTGTGTATATAAAGTATAATCAAAGTTATTGTTTTCTTGATCTTTTTGGGGGCGACGGTGGCTCAGTGAGTAGGATGTTGGGTTGCTAACCTGGAGGTCCTGTGTTGAATCCCTGAGTTGGCCGAGAAAGTTCATCAGGGTTTTCCGGCGTGTTTCCTCCCCCCCTTGTCAATGGTGTAGGACGTATAGTCGTGACAAAAACCGAGATCACATGTACACATTGGCATGCACGTAAAAGAACCCTTGACAGAATTCGTATAAGAGTAGACCATAGCGCCGCTGTCCGGGCAAAATTTCACTCATAACACACTGCATGGCGTATGCCCGTCTTCAATAGCCCAATAGGATGTTACACCCCATCTCATTTCTTTTCATTCATGATATTTTCTTTTCTTTTTTTTTTCTACAGAAAGGAGGGGCTTTAAAAATGGGTCCAAATGGTGGGTATAGGTTTTTTGGTATTATGCATATCTCTAGATTTAACATACACTGTTATGAGTAACTCTAAAAATAGTTTCATTCATCAGTTTTGATATCTGATTTCCCTTGTAGCTTTGTGATGCACATGGAAACCAGCAAAATTCTTCAGATTCTGGGAACCATTTCACTAAATGATGCAAGTATACAAATCATACTTTAATGCAGAATTATTGTTGCAAAATTTGTAGTTAAATTTGATAATTAAAGTCAGTGTATTACAATGTGAAATGGTGGGGTTCTGCTGTCGATAAGCTTGTTTCCATATTGCTGTTAAATGATATAATGAGTCATCGGTTAATTGTTTGTTTTTCATGACCTGTGTTTGTAAAATATACATGGTACATGAGTTAATTATTGAGATGGAATTTAATTTTTTTTTTCGTTTAATGCTGTTGCTATTTTAGCAATAGCTAATGTCAGTTACTTGGTCATTGAAAACCCAATGGGAACCGGCATCCTCGATTTATTCACATTTTAAAAAAAAACTTATACCTAAAATATCTGTTGCATGATAGCCAGGCATCGGAAAACTTGATCATAATAATAGGTCTAAATTATTAGTGATGTGCTTCTAAGTTAACTGTTTGTTAATTCGTTCATGGCATTTCATCTTTCCCTACTTTGTCAGGTTACTAAATGACCTGTTTCAATCAGGTTGATGATTTGTTCTAACATAAATATTTAAAAGCATACCTTTGGATTTTTATATGCCCACATATTCATGTGGACGTATATTATCGTCGTCTCTGTCCCGACGAATTGAGTTAGAATTTTGTGAAAATCGGACCAAAACTGCTGAACAAAATGGCTGCTCCTTGATCATAAATAGTTAAAAGTATGTAATATCAAGGTTGTGGACCCTCTTGAGGTCACAATTTTGGTCCGATTTTGATGAAACTTTAAATTTATGTTTAGATCACAAAGATCTCCGTTCCTTTTAATAAATCATTCATATTGGAACGTAACTTCCTTAATTGTGACCCCTGATTGTATGAAAAATCACTTTTAGATTTTAAAAACGTTTAAATATGTCACCAATACACCCTAATGACGGTTGATTTCGAATTTCGTGAAAATCGGACGAATACTACTTGAAAAATGGCCGCTCCTTTCACACAAATATTGTAAAAGTATGCAATACCAAGATTGTGAACCCTCTCGAGGTCTCAATGTTTATCCAATTTTGATGAAACTTAAAATATGTTTATATCCCGAAGATCTCGGGGATATAGCCCTGGCAGGTGTCAAAATCTTTAACCCCTTACTATAGTTATTATGTATTTAATTAGGGGAAAATGTACTTTTCTTTTTTTTAGCCAAAACATTTCAAGATATGAAGCAATCTCTTCCCTATAATGTAAGTATCAAATATTCTGCTGTGGTTTAGAATCTTTTTGACTAAAATCATTATATGCATACAACAGTTTGATATTAATAATACAACAAAGTAGAAAAAAAGACTTAAGTTATTTACACTTGATTATTTCTTTATAAGTTAACAGACTGGTTGGTTGTCCAAGTGGTAGAACATGTTGGCTATATATTATTAAGTCTGTTATCTGTGCAAGTCATTGGTTTGATCATGGGTTTCTACTTGGTAAAGAGTAATGTCTAGGTTTTTTTACAGGTTTCCTCCGACTTCTATATAACGTGCATGGACAAATTAGTTAAATGAATTTTTTACATGTTTGTCCTGGACATTAAACCCCATTATGCAGACATTTAACTTTCAAATGGTACAAAACAGTTGACAATTTTGTGAATGATAACAATTGTGATATTTTCATTATAGCTACATAGATTAACATGGGATGCTCAACATAAAACTAATGTAGAACAGTATTATTGTTATTGTGGTGGACCAGGAGAGTAAGTTCTTAATTATTCACTCATTGATCAATTTATGATATCGAGAACAAGAAAGACAATCTTGTAAAACAAACCACACAATGTTTAGTAAATTGTGTTAGAAAGATGAACGTCTGATGTTAAAAACAGACATTGAGGCTTTAGAGACCTTCACCGATAGGTACAAAAATACTTTTATATTTGACTGCACAGTAACTCCGAGGATGCTTAAGATTGTATGTTTATTTTAACAGATATGTTAACCGTCAATATATCTGATTTTAAGTAGTTTAGTCTTTTTATTTTCTATAATTAGGGAGCCACGGTGGCTAAGTGGGTAAGATGCTAGCCTGGAGGTCGGTGTTCGATCCCTGCATTGGCCGAGAAAGTTCATTGTTATTTTTCGACGTGGTTTCCCCCTTGTCAGTGGTGCAGGACAGAGGACCTAACAAGGACAGCTGTCTAGTCGTTCAAATGATACGAAAAACCGAGGTCCCATGTATACATTGGCATGCACATAAAAGATCCCTTTGCAGTTGGAATTTGATAAAAAAAAAAAAAAAGTAGTAGAAAGTGCCGCTGCCCTGGCAAAATTTCCCTCATAGCCCAATCTGTGGCGTATGCCCGTCTTCGTCAGCCCAGTCGGAGCAGAACATTAGAACGTTAAACCCCATTTCATTTCATTTCTATAATTAGATGACTATAAAACTGAATATGATATTGTTCAATGTTAATTACATATATTCGCTTTGTTATAGTGTTAATGGCTCTTTTATGAACATAACATATAATGATTATAAAAATAAAACAAAACAATAACATGAGAAAATATTACAGTTGTATTACTGAGCACATTCCTAGTTATGATATTTCTTATTATACGGTAGTATACTTTTGTTTAGAATCAAATCTTTTCCTTATATTGACTGTTTGTAATTTTAATCTGTTATTTCAGCTGGTATTCTAAAATGTTACAGTGCTGTAGATGTCGACAATGGTTTCATGAAGGTATATTTTACTCATTCTTTCTATTGGGAGTCTTAAGAAATGTTTTCACATCATAAAATGTCCACGCGTAATCATATAATTGTTGGACATTTTAATCTCATTGAAGTCAGCCGACAGAATGTAGAAACTAGTCATATACTAACACCCCAAATCAATGGACAGTAATTATAACATTCAAAATGCTTCGATCTTTATCTACTGCCCAGTCCTCTACCAAGCTTGAATGTGACGGTGCTGACACATTCCGTGACTGCCGGTTCTACTTGAGTTCTTTGCCATCACACAGTAATTTTTATCTATAACCATTTTATTTCATAAGAAATGTCACAGGGTCCCACCTGACCGCCCATCTGTCATTACACAATGTTTTAACCATTTTCTATTTACCAAAAACAAAATATTCTGTACATGAACACAAAATGTATCCATATGAATTGCTTCCTACACCTTTAACTTATTTTCCGTATAGAAACTACATCTTTTAAGACGCCATGTCGAAATTTCCATCTACAGTGGCACTTTCACACGATCTCGCTATCACACTGTATTCATCGTCTACCATATAAGGTAAAATGGTTTATTTTGGCGACGTGACAAGGAGTAGGGTCGCCTGTCCAACCTCGTGGGTTTTCTTCCACTGCTAAAGACCCCTACGCGCAAGCGAATTATGTAAATAAAATTAAACCATATGTTAGTCCCGAAATGACCTAGTTTGTGTCGAGTGGACGTTAAACCCCATTTCTCTCTCTCTCTTTTATTTGGGCGCAAAATAGCTGTAAAAGATCAAGTACACCAATAACAGACATGATAATACGCAGAAATTGGCTATACCTTTTTACAAGTAATTAAAATACCAATGTAATTATATAAGAAAACGATCCTTAGATATCATGAACTATTTTTATCAAGAATGTTTCAATTTCATTTTCTATTGCACAAACGAAGGCAGTTAATTATTGAGGAATATTTTTGCTGTGAACAGGAATTGAATATGAAAAATAACGAGGACCACCCAATTCTTTATACTAATCGTAAATATTATTCATAATTCGATATGCTACATAACATAATAAGTCTACAATTTACTATATAATATGTACCATTTTTTGATCGTCTTGTCTCTATTGTTTTCCATCCAAATTTCAGTCAGTCTTCAGTGCTTGAGTAGATTTGATTTTTGGGTTTATGTTCTAAGTATGTACAATAAATGAAAGCAAAACCGTAGATAAATGATCGCTTTCTGTAATATTCTCATTAAAAAAAATAAAGACAAAAAGACCGCCCTCCTGCCCATACAATTTTCAGCAGTAGCCCAATATTATTTTGCACCATCCTCTAGCCATCAATGAGGTAAAAAAAGCAAAAAAAAGCTGCTCTCCCCTTCTACATTTTGTGTGGCCTAAGGGTTGGAAATTGTTAAAAATTAACTGCAGGTAATCACGGAGATAATTCAAAATTCTCCTAGGTGACTAGTATATTGGTTAAGGTTACAAAGATCTGTTATACTATAAATATTTGCTACACGAGCACATTGCACCAGTGAAGATATGTCAGTTTGAGTGGTATTTATTTCTTTCACATTGTTATTTTCAGCATGTATTCAGTGTTTAGAACATCCTCTATTATATGGTGATAGATTTTATGTCTTTGTGTGTTGTCATTGTAATAATGGACCCGAATATATCAAACGTATAGAAATGAAATGGTTAGTATCAAGTTGTATGAGACCTTTCTGAATTTACAAGCAGGGTCTTGTAATGTATAAAGTAGTGTACACTGTATTGTTAATATTTTATCACAAATGTTCTAAAAAGTATGAAGAATTTTTTCAAGGATATAAGCTCTTTCATTTTGTTTTTTAAAAAATGTGTCAATTTATAATGTTTCGGTCAGCAGAAAGAGCCAATGTGCATATCGGATCTTAACTTCACGAATTATGGCATCTGATTGTATGAAAAAGTGCGTTTTTACACCGTAATGATGGTTGAGTTCAAATTTCGTGAAAATCGGATCAAAACTGCCTGACAAAATGGCTGCTCCCTGTACAAAAATAAAGTGGACTCTTGTCACATCCCGTTTCTGAATACTATGGCATTCTGTGAAATCCGTCATCATTTTCATGTCCCAATTATATCCTTATTACTTCAACCAAAAAAGCTTTGAATAGTCCGTATTCTGAATATTACGAATTATGACATCAATCATCACACCATTTGCATTGAATTAACACTGGATAATCCAACCTTCAATCAGTGGTTGTTAACTTAGAAAAGATTAATGAGCAATCACCAATCCAAACTTATCGCTCATTGTGTTGATCTCGGTTCCAGTTTAAGAATTCCACGTGCGCATTCCGCCTATTATTGAAGGATGTTCTCCTGAAAACATTTTTGATTGTGATGAAACCAATTTGTTTTAGAGCATTATCCGACGATCATTGTGTAAAGAAAAAAATGAGTGCTAAAGGTGGACAAATTTCAAAAGAACGATTAACAATCTTATTTTGTTGTAGCATGACCAGTGACAAAAACAACCTGTCAGTCAATTGTTCGTCTAATCGTAAGCTTGGATGACAAGTGTTTTTTATTCAAGTTGGTTAGAACAGCTCAACTGTCAAATGAAGCATCAAGAACTTCACATTTTTTTTTATTTGTAGATAATACACCATCTCATATCCAGGCCATGAAATTTCATGCAAACGATGCCAATCAGTTACTTGCGGTCGCACTAGCTCTAAAACACAAGACTGATTTCCTGTTTACTCAAATTGAAATATAGGTTCCGGTTACAAATTTATTCACATTTGATAAATTTTTATACAGGATAACTTTGTGACTCGGTTCACTATATTTCTATACATTGTTTCTTTCACAATAGCCATGCTGTACGGTGGTTCCAATGACCCGTATATAAGTCGTCAACATTGACCCCCACTGGCACATGGCATCACTAGAGCGATAATGTAAATGATTTTACTGTCCTGTCTATTTTAATATTATTCTGTTTCCTTTTGAGACTTTGTTTACAGAATGCCGAGGTTAATAAATATTATTTATCAATTAGTCAGTACCTATGAGTGAGGTTGTATCTACTTTCTTATCAATTACAACAGGTTAATTATTACTTGTTAAAAGTATGTAATACCAAGGTAGAACGATGCGGCAAGTAGATAGTTTGTTTGCATGAGTGATTATGGCCCCTAATTGTACAAAAAATCATGTTTTTAGCTTGTGATCACTCTAAGAAGTCACAATTTTGATCCATTTTTGTGAAGTATGGCCCATGATTGTACGAAAATATATTGCCGTTACACCACACTGCTGAGTTTGTAATACCAAGGTTGTGGAACCACTAGAGGTCCCGATATTTAACCAATTTTGATGAAACATTGAAAATATGTGTTTACATCCCAAAGATCTCGTTCCTTGCGATATTGGCGTATATCGTATCTAAATTTCCTGGATTATGGCCCCTGATTGTACAAAAAATTGCGTTTTTTTTTTTTTAGGTTATGGACCCGCTAGTGATCATAATTTTTATTTGATTTTGATGAAACTTAAAATATATGTTTACATCCCAAAAATCAGATTTTAAAAACAATCTAATATATATCCGTTACACCATAATTACAGTTGAGTTCCAATTTTATGAAATTAGGACGAAAATTGTCTGACAAAATGGCCGATCCCCTTTCCGCAAATAGTATGATAAACATGTAATATCAATTTTGTGGGCTCTCTAGAGGTCAAAATTTTTATCCGATTTTTATGAAACTTGAAATATATGTTTATATCCCAAAAATCTTGGTTCCTTTCGATATTGACATGTGTCGGACCATAACATCCTTGGTTTTTTTTTTTGTTTTCTTTTAGCTTGTTCTCTATCCATCTCTTGCAATATGTGAACTTATCTTACAGATAATTTACTTTTGTTTATTCTAGGGTAGATCTGTTACAACTAGTATTATTTAATCTAACTATACAAGGTGTGAAGAAATATTATGACATAGAAGAAGTCGTGGCACCATTTATAATAAATAATTTACAAGATATGCAAGTTTCAAATGTAAGTTATATAGCTCCAGGTTGTTGGCAATGTTGTTTTGGTGGAGGGATGGAGGGAGTGTATGGAGCTATTTCAAAACAGTCCCACTCACAAATCAACCATAACCATTGGTGATTAAAACAGCCATAGGCCATTATAAAAATCAGACTTTTTTATAGATGAAATAGGTCACAAAGTTGAAATTCTTATAGAATGATAAAAGGTGGGGGATATAGCATCAAATATCTATGTTGATTGTTTACTTCCAGTAATTATTAATGACAGTTAAAATGAACACTAGTCCTGATCAGGCTGAGTTATGTCGACACTAGATAGTCCTGATCAGGCTGGGTTTTGCCAACACTAGATAGCCCTGATCAGGCTGGGTTTTGCCAAAACCTGGATTGTGTATATTTAAGAACTGATTTCCCAGAAATATAAATAGCAAACTTGTAGTTCTGTCAGATTTATTTGTATAGGGAATCTATTCATGGTTGATAGGGAGGAATTTTTGTTCTTTAAAGATACATTATTTCTAGTTCTCACTATAATAGGTAAAAACTAGATAATGTAAAGGCAATTTGCTGAAAATTTCAGTCAAATTGATCCACTATGAACCGAGAATTAAGCGATTGAAATGTCCGCCTAGCCTCGGTCATCATTACTAAAGTCAGTACGATAAAAAGCATAGTCTCGATTATCCATTTATTGATTTAATCGTGAAGGGAAGTTATGCAGTAAATCGGGTCATAATCCACTCAAGATCGCAGGCTAGCTATGCCATCGAGAATTGATTATGGTACGGATAAGTTAATTAATGTCTAATTAATAATTTAGATAACATTTCAGGCCTAAAGAAATACCTGCAATAGGCAGATTTAGCTCTTGCATTATGTATATAACTTAAACTGTGCTTGATAAAATAAGTAAATGTTATTCAGCTAGAAGTTGGTTCTATGCAGCAAGTTCAACATAAAATAACAGAAATATGTCAACATCATAAAACAAGGTAGGATTTAATTAGGGCTATTCCATTTAAAATTAGAATGGGGGTGGTGCATGCCAGGCAGCACTATTTAGAATATTGTGGTGCAGGTATTCTGGTAAGATTCAAGGGGATCTTGAAAAATGCTCTGCATGGTTTGCTTGTAATTTTTTAGAAAAAAAATTTGGTTGGCAGAAAAGTTAACATGAATTATTTTGTTGTTAAAACTCTAATTTAGGAGAATTTTTAATGTTTTTCTCCTACAGGTCCCCCTTAAAGGGACTTAAATACTGGTGATTCGCTTAAACTTGGTGAATCGCGTATGCTGTAAATAGTAATGATGAAATAATTTATCTTTCTAGGTTTTGTTCTGGTAGAGAAATTAGAAAAAAATCGACGCTATGGGGTTTACGAGTGAGGATACCTCCACCTGCTCCAACCATAATATTGCCAATAGATGGACCTATTACTGATGATGTCATGGCTAATTTACAGATGAAAGGGAAAAAAACTAAAACATTTGTTCCTATTCAATGGTAAAAAAAATGATACATGTAGCTTATAAATGAAACATATTTTACGATATTCCAGGGGCAATTTATGTTTAACCATTAGGATTTCTTAATACTGCAAAATCCCCCCGATATTGCAATTTGAACTAAAACATTTTTTTAGAATTAATTGAAATCTAAATGATATGCGAGGGACTTGTGCTTAGAATGCACAAGTCTATGCAAGAATACAAATTGGTCAAAATTTATGTTTTTTGTCTATTGAAGTAAAGAGCAAAATATGTTAAGAGTGTAAAATCTTAATACTTTTGAATATTGTTATTTGCTTTTAAACCTCAGAAAACATTGTAAATTAAAAATGCCTCCATTTTAACCCAATTTTTTTTTTATTCTCGAATTAGTAAATCATACTATTGGTTAAGTTTCAACCAGATGTTAAATGACCATTTCCTAGTAACAAATATAGTCATTACAGATCTCCAGTTGCTAAACAAACTTTGGTTTGGGAATGTCTTCAATGAAAATTTTTCTATGGATTTCTATTACAGTAATTCACCAATACCACTACGATATCGTAAGAATGGACTAGATATTGATGATTCTATTGTGTTTAAAAGTGAGAAAGCCAAGAAACTCTTGCAAGAAGCTACCACCAAGGTAATGTTTTCTGGGGTTTTTTTGGGGGGGTGGGGGGGGATTTAAACCTTGCTCTTCATTAGCCTTAAAAAAACTAATGGCGAAGTGATCTAACACATGGGCTGCCAATTAGAGGTTTGTACTCTAATGTTTGGGTGTATTCTTTAGGTACCTTGATTTTCTCTAACTTATGAATATTAGTCTTAAGATCTTCTTAGTAAAGTGTTGATGAGAAGTTATACCTTCATTTCATCCTTGAGTTTCTAAATTTTGTTTGTGTACCTTATTTTTGTTGATGATGTAGTAGTAGTATGCATTATTATTTATTGACAATGCATGTTGTGTAAGTGCACTGATGGACAGTGCTCTATAAATGCATTATTTTCTACCGGCCCACATTGAAATGTCATATATTGTCATTACTCCAGACTGTCCATCGATCGGACCACTGTCTAGATGTAACTTATGGAGTGTATGACCGATTTGAATAATTCTTTCTTTGGTTCCAGACTAAATCCTGAACATTTCACCAAAGCTTTCATATCTTTTTGGTACAACTAGTTATTATTGTTGCCAGAAAACTTTGTTTATTATTAATATTTTTTGTTTCTTTCAGAATGTATTGTCTGAATGTCATAGTTTTAACCAATCATATACTGGCTACGATGGAAGTCCCATTCATACCACATTCTTCTCTCAATTTGAAAAATTTGTTAGTGCTGAACCTAAATCACGATCCAAACCAACAAAATTAAAACAATTTTCATTGGATAACATTATACCTCATGTAGATAATTTCGAAGGTGCCAACCACCCATTTAAAACAGAACTCGAACAAAACGCAGAATTGGAACAAAAAAAATACTTTCAACAGAAGATATTAGATATATGTGAATCAATATCATTAAGTGAAAGTGCATCATTATGTGAAACTACGTCATTATCAGAAATGGATAATATGTCATGTACATCATGTGATCAATTAGAGGACCAATTAGAGACACCCCCCATTTTAGGACAAAAACGGAGACGTTCCCAGCGTCAGTTATTTAATCTAGACATTAACAGCAATGTTAGAAAACGTAAAAGAAAATCAAAATCGTCCCACGTAGAAAATGTTGTGAGTTCAGAAGTGATTGAAGCAGTGAAGAACACACAAGTTGATATAAATAAACTAAAATCGAAAGTAGGAAGCTATTTAGGTAAAGAAGATCGTCTAGCTCAAACTGATAAATTTAATGTGATTGCTCAGAGAGTGACAGTAGAGGGAAAGATTCAATATTTAGTTGAGTGGGACTAATCTAGTATTAAAATTACAAGACCTCTCTGATTGTTGACTTTAGTCGTATGATTTGTGGGTATCTGTCTTCATTTGAAATATAGTTGTGCTTAGCTACATGTAGATGTACATGTACCACTAATTCTTAAGCAAAGAAACATAACTAGAATTATTAGTGAATGTGCCAAATTAATTACGTCAAATAGAGCTTGTTACCTAATTCAATACTTTATTTTGGTCAAAATCAGAGGTTTATAATATATTTTAATATTATGTGTGATATTTTCTATTTTATTATTTAAAAGAATGGGGTTTCACAGCTTGTCAACATAACCCATCAGGTTTTTTGGGGTATTTTTTAAGAGGAACATATATATATGGCAATTCTTCTAATTTGTCCTAAGGTCACCCAGAAAATCTAGTCTTCGATTTGGCTCTTTGATATTGTGATGGTACTCCATTTAATTAAAGCCTAGATACATGGGCTAGTTATTCTTTTGATGTTAACCCCTTCAATTTCGAACTGCATGATCGAGTTGAATAATTAACATATTTTTTGGGGTACAAGTTGATACTTGTACCTGGCATTAAAGGAAATTTTTAAAGCTGAGTTGAAGATATATTTGGGTAAAACAAAAGTAAGAGGTCAAGTTCTATTTAATTTGGATAAGAGAATATCACCAACTTAATATAAATATTTGAACATTGCTAAGTTGCTGGTGTTGTAATTACTACAAGGCAACAACATTATTTTGTGCAGTAGCTGAATTTTGGCAATATAAACAAAGATATAAAAAAAAGAGGGGGGGGGGTAACATTTCAAGAAATTTGTAAATTGTACATATCAGGACAGTGAATATGAACTCTAGAAATATGTGTAGCTACCTTATAAACTAAGGATGTCACGGTTCAAAAAATGTTGAACTCTTTATTTGGTCATTAAAACCGCAACCAGTTTACCGATTTATTCACTTTAATATAAAAAAAATTGTATTAAAATATCTGTTGCACCAGGAAGACATGGTAATGCAGGTCTAAATTATTAGTATTATAGCTTTTAAGTTAACCCCAGTACAAATTCCATTCATTCATTCATTCTTGACATTTCATTTCTCCATCTTGGTGGTACTTTGATCTGTAGTAGTTTGACAGATCATGTATAGACCAGTTGAAATCCGGTTGATGGATGAAATTCAAAAATCTAATCCACCAAATTGATGCAGAATTTTATAAGATAAAGTTATACCATAAATATTTGGAAGCATACCTTGTCAGCTAATTTCAAACAATTTCCTACAGGTGTTCGTTTCACTAGCCATGCTGTATGGTTCCAGTGACCTGTGTATTTTCAACTTTGACCCCATCGGCACATGGAATCGCATTCAAGTATATAATAGAATTTTATGATCCTGTCTATTTTAATATTTCATCACATCAAACTGTTTTGTTACCTTTTGAGACTTTTTTTTATAGAATAACAAGGTTAATAAATACTGTGAACCAATTAATTTGTCAATCAGTCAAGGCTATCTTATGCTTGCCAGAGAGCTAATAATGTATTCAAAACTTCCAGCAGGAATTTAAAGTTTTCAGTGATTTATTACAAATGACAAGTGCAATATAAAGTATGTATGTGGTCTTTGTTGAAAGAAAACAATGTTGTAGCTGTTGTTCCTGAGTTTGAAAGTCAGATATTATATGAAAATGAATATCAGTGCTATGAACTGTTCTGGGGTAACCCAGTGGTGTATAGTTTTGTTGTTGATAATCTATATAAATAAAAAATTTAAATCGGTGTTATTGGCATCTTGTTAATGTCATTGTATACTGTGATGGTGTTAGCCAACAGTAAGTTATCTGAATGGAGTTACTTAGTGACAATAACTTACTTATTGAATGTATCATTGCAACTAATGATTTTGACCCACCAGTTAGTTTTGATCTTCTCTGAATTGTTATACATGTATGTGCACGTGTCTTGAAAAGATGTTGGTTCTTGGAGAATCTTTTTTGATGTAATTTGACTATAGATGTAGTTACATCGCAGATGTTCATATAAGATCGTACGCGAACTTTGAGACAAATCTGCTAAGCCATTGCTGATACATAGACGTTTTAAGATTTTACTGTTCAAATCTTTTAGTTTCAAAATGCCAAATCTTTTAATCCTTTATATTAATTTATTAAAGGTCGAAATGTCATGCATTTTGAAGTTAAAGAAGATTAACCTGTAATCATATCTTTAGTCAAATTCCTACTTCTAAAATTGTTATTTAAAACCTAAGTGATATTCTTGTTAGGGTATACTTACTGTGGTCTGAAAACAGTTTTGAAATGCCAAGAAACTGTTCCAGATTAGTTTTATAAAAAACATAAACAATTGTCTATTGATCATATATTTGTTTTTGCACATTGTTCAGTCAGAAATCATTCGTGATCACTAAACCTATGGCTTACATGGACAGCCTAATTGGTGAAAATAAATGATTATGTGCAACAGCAAGAGTTGTCACATGTACCATCTACATTTAACACCAGAAAATAGACACTTTGGGGGCAGAATGCTATGCATACCATTCAACATACCAGAACAGTAATTTGAAGAGTAATATTCAACTTTGATGTAAATATGTATATTTGTATGATAGTCAATTTAATGTGTAAAAAGACAACAATATATAAAAGAGAAATCTCTATGCAATTATTTTATTTGAAAACAAATTATTGAATAAAACTCAATATGATTTTATCTGTATTGTTATTTTTAGTATCAGTTTTATTGAAAGCTGAATTAAGTGTTTAAATATTCTCGTACATTTTTGTTACCCGTCTGCCCATCTTTCGGTCGTTTATGTTTGTGGACACTCTTAGATACATGTAGGATGGTCCAACAAGGCGGCTTACATGTACCTGTTCATTCAATAAATGTGATCACCTCAAGAGCTAAATGACACTGTAACAATTTTGTTAACTATGAACTTAGTTTACTTGACACAACTGATTGCACCAAACAGGTGATCCACGACCACGCATTTCAAGTGAAATATGACCAAATACTGTCATAAAATATGTCACTCTTTCCATCTTGATCAGAACAAATAACCATTACGTAATAAAGATTGATGATTTTATTCTCTAAATTTGATGAGTTGACCTATTTGCATAATTTGAATTTTTATACGCCCACATTGAAATGTGGTTGTATATTGTCTCCTCCTCCGGGGTCCAAAATTGCTTGTGGACGATCTAGAGGCTAAAGTTAATTTTCGATTGACTTTAAATTTATACACAGTGTTTAAGGTCATGAGACGAAGAGAAGCCTTTTGATTTTCAACGATTTCCGATAATTACTGCCAGAGTTAGAGCCCTTGATCACTTTGAAACATCTTGTGGTCATTCTAGAGGCTGAAGTGAATATCCAATTGACTTTAAATTTCAATAATACTTCATGATATGTTGCTGATAAGCATGTATCGTGTGAGATTTTCCCTAATTAAAGGGTTATTATTATGGTAAAATAGAAGATAATAAGAAGGAATAAATATATGTTGTGGCCATTGTACTTATATGCATTATGCAAATTACAAATCACGCGTTGCCGTGCACGTAAATGTGTCTCATAGCACACTGTCCGGTTGGTGCAGAAGAGTAGGACACCAAACACTATTTTATTAAAATTTGGTTTGTTATTGTAAATGGGAAAAACTATTGTCAATCACAGTTTAAAATAAATGTTTTAAATAGCGGCACACTATAAATAGGGGGTGAAAAACAAAAGTTTGCGATATCAACCTAGGTGGAAGCTGCAGCAAACGCCTACTGTCAATGCAAATGAGATTAGTGGGAATTAATAAATCACAACGTCAGCGTTTGTCCCACAACGTCAAATTGTATGCATTTAAGACAGCTGTAACATATGGCCATATCCCTTTAAATAAAAAATTATTGTCGTTCAAGGTCGGTCAAACGCATCCAAATTAAAATGTGAAACCGGTTTTAAAAGGTATTTGGTTTAAAGAATATCGTATTATTATGGTAAAATAGAAGATGAAAAGTAATTAATAAAATATCTGTTGCGACCATCGTGCTTATATGCATTATGCAAATTACAAAAAAAACATGCGTGAAGTTATAAAGGTGCAACATGCCTGAATAATGAGAGCGAGGGCCTGTTGAGAAATCAGGTAACCATAGGCGTAAGAGCCAGAGGGGCAGGCAGTGTGTGGGGGGAGGGGATGGGGGTGTCAGCTGCCCCCAAATTTTCGAGTAATCTGACTTTCCGGGCAGACGGGTAAAGTGAAAAAAAATATTATTATTTCATCTATAGTTTGCAAAATAAAGTGTCCGAAATGTAATAAAACGCCAATTTTGACTTTCTGAATTGCTTATGGATTAAAACATTTTGTCTGGAGTAACTCTACTTTGTGCGACATTTTTCGTGCATCGACTATTAACCATGAATGCAGCTGCAACATTCTGGTTGGATGATTGGAATTCAGGTCGGCATAGAGTGGGATTTCGGTTATAAAACCATTGGAAAACTTTGGAGTTGTTTAACTCACGGACTAGAATAGCAGAAAAGCGCATTTGCGGCGGTTAAATTTTCTCCGGGAGAGCGAGGCCCCCATACCCCGCTATGATTGATTGGACCACATTGAAGTTGCTGGATTCATGGGCTAGAATAGCTGGAAAACGCGTTTGCGGCAGTTTAATTTTCAAAATTTTCTCCCGATGGTCCCGCCTTCGTGGACTGGAAACGGTTGATTAGAATTTTAGTCAGCCATCTTAATCAGACTATGTTAGACCACGGGCTGTAGTAGCGGGAAAACGCCCCCCGTCTGTAACCCGAGGCCGAAGATTTTTGAGACATTTCAGGTTCTGCCCCCTAACTGTCCTCGAGCCCGTACGCCTTAGAAATAGTTCCACTACTGATGTCTTCTGTCTTGCCCCAGCCACAGTAGCGGGCCGTCATTTGACTACAAAAATGTTACTGGCCTATAACTCCCTTAATTTCCAGTTACACTGACCCCAAACTGTACTGTACATGGCTTTACATATAATAAACCATTTCCCATTGAGATAAAGGTGAAACCTTACCGCATTATTATATGATTTGATTAAACCCAACTGCTATGCGAAATTTCTGTTCATTTTAAAATGGCCACCGAACCAGAATCACGTTATTTCATGTCACTCGAAAATACAGAAAAACTGTTCGTTAAGTTAAGATTAAGATTTCAATGTTCCACTCTTCATTATTTGTAACATGATTACTTATTTCCATGCAAACTGTGATGATATGTATTGGAAATTTTGCAATTGAACCTAATTTTATTTGCGCAAAGCTTCGAATAGCATATCAATTGCAGCTGCGAATAAGAATTATCACGGCTGCAAATATTGCAGCTAGTACGCTTATGCTGGTAACTTCAATTATATTTCAAGTAAGGCATTACCACTACCCCCACCCCACCCCTCCAAAAAAAACCCAAAAAAAACAAATCTTCTTTATGACGGCAATATAACATTATATAGCACGATAAAAGTCTCCGAGTTTTTAATCCGACTGAATCCAAGCCGGAAGGATATCTAGCGTTGATATTTGTTTTCTTGATGAATGATAATTTGATTTATGGGAGGCACGGCGGTTTATTGAGTAAAGCGTTTGCTCGTTAAACAGGGGGTCTCGGGTTGGATCCCAGTGTTGGCCGAGAAAGTTCCTCGTGATTTTTTGGCATGGATCCTATTTTCAGTAGTAAAAGACTAAAGGTCTGGTACGGAGCAGCATCTAGTCATTCGGGTCCCGCGTCGGTCTACACGTTGGCGTTCTCCTAAAATAACACATAACAGTTGGAATCCCCTAACTGTTTGAATTCGCCGAATACTAGGTTGAAACGTCGCCATCTGGGCAAAATTTATCCGATAGCACACTATCCGGTTGGTGCAGAACAGTAAGAGGCGAAACACAATTTCATTTCAATTTGGTTTGTTATTGCTATTGAGAAAAAAGTAGTATCTGTACTTATTCTGTCAATCACAGTTTAAAATAAATGTTTTTAATACCGGTACACTATAAATTATAGGGGTGAAAAACATAGAAAGTTTGCGTTATCAATCTAGGTAGAAGCTCAAGCAAGCCCCTACTAGCAATGCAAATGTTATTAACGGGAATATATAAATCACAACGTCAGGAAGGGATGTTCATAATCATGTTGCTTGTTTTCGTATCCTTAAGACTGTATGATTGTATCATTATGTGAAATTATATTGAATAAAATATTGTTTAAACCAATTGCATGCATTAAAGAAAGCTGTAACATATGGCCATATCCCTTTAAATCAGTGATTTCCAACCTTTTGTTGGTTGCGACATAGCATTTATTCAAAAGTTTCAGACTAGCCCGCCACGACCCCACGAAAAGTACTCCACGACCCAGAGGTTTGGAACCAAGGCTTTAAAGAAAAACAAATTATTGTCGTTCAAGGTCGGTCAAACGCATCAGCTTAATTCAAATTAAAATGTGAAACCGGTTTTAAAGGAGCTAAATCGCTAACATTTGGGACCTAGAAATTGACAAAAGTGGGTCGCAACGCATATAATACTGTAGTATGAATGTATATAAACTGATTTACATTCAATGGTTTCCGTTTTTACTCCAATTTCAAATCAGTTATGTTCGGCGAAATAAGCCAGCAGTCTCAAGCGAGTGCAAATTTCTAGCGTCTGGTTATTCCGGTCTACATACGCAGATTGATTTGGTGCAATGTGTCTAGCCTCGTCCCTCGAGTCTCTTGATACAACTGGAGCTGAAGCGCATTATGGTACACGATTCGTGTACCAATGGTAAAATGTTTATTTTGTCTTAATTATTGGATATCAAAAGCCTATCTTTTTCCGGTAAGATCACAACATGAATGTTGATTTAATTTGACAAATAAATCGTGTTTTCAATGTTGAAGATTTTGGATGATATTGAGTTAGAGACTTAGCTACTTTAAAAGCTATTCAGTTTAAAGAATATCGTACGTCAACACGCATCAGATATATTAAATTTCATTGAATCAAAATAGTGAGTAAATTTAAATATTTATTTTCAAGGAATACAACTTTTAAATGCTTTATTCACAGCCTGCTAGTGCTCTAATAAATTGATGAGTGCCATATCATGTCAGCTATGTTAATGTCTCATGGGCTCTCATGTAAAATGTGGTTCTCCTGAAGTATTTTGTAAAACAACATGTATTCAACTGGCAACAAATACATTTTTCCTATTTGTTTTAATATATTTTCCAACTGATGATTTCAACTCATGATCTCAACTGTCAAAGTAATCTATCTTTATGGAATAAAAGAAATGAAATATACATGTACACAGGTAAAGTTTAGAAACAATAATAGAAAGGGAGCTAGGTTCAGGTTTTTTTCCAAAATCGCTTACAAAATTTCTATCATGCTAGATGAGTGGAGAGCGGTGCCCGATACTCCGAACCTTGATTCTTAAGTTGCAGGTCTCCTTCCCATGGGGACCCGACGAAGAAGAACACTCAAGTCTAATTTAAATTCTCAGGCCTCTAGCTAGCCCAAAAATGTTAGGAGAACAAGGGCTTCTGGGGGTATGACGGTACCCGGTACCGGGGACGCGCCTCCCTTCGGAAAAGGATCTAGTGTGCTCTCCCCCGACAAAAATTTTGGAAAATAGGGTTTGTACCTGAGGAGAGGAACTATGAAAATGACGGAAAATTTTTATTTTGAGGCTAAATTTGCGATATTGGCGTATTATGATATTTTGATATCAACATTATAAAAATATGAGTTTAGCGTACCTATAATAATTTATGAGAAAAACGACAGGTTTGGAATCGGGTTATAGTGCGTTTGAATTTCCGAGATAAGGCACCCCACAGATCAAGCTGTTTTGGCCGCCCCATCAATCAAGTTGCAGTGTTAATCGTGTGATTCATTGCGAGACGCCTCACCATTTGGGGGCGCTTCATATATAACGACATGATTGGCGAGGCGCCCATAAAGCCAAGTGACATTGGTTGGGCGCCACACCAATCTCGTCGTGAGCGCCCAACCAATGTCACTCGGCTTTATGGGGCACGTTGGTCGTTGGGTGACTTCGTATTGCGTCCAATGGGTCCGCCGATTTTTCACCTTGCCCCCCGCCCCCACGGTTGCCCTTTCGAACTTCGTGAATTGTCCCCGAGTCCTCCGGTTGCCTTCCACTGCTAAAGACCCCTACGCGCAAGCGGATTATTGAAAAAAATAAAATGAACAGTATGTTGGTCCCGAAATGACATAGTTTGTGTCGAGCGGATGTGCAAATCCCTGGTTAAGACACAGGCTTAAACATTTCAGTTTTTGGATCCGTATATATTTACAAGTGTACAGTTTTAAAATAACCACAACATAGCATAAAATCTCTATCCACATCTGTAAATCGACATGTTTGCTAGATATATTACCATGGGTAGCTAACCGAGGGGTGGAGGGGGGGGGGTATATGCCCACAATTCAGTGTCGACGTATTATGTTGTCACACTGTCAAGTTTGGCCAACATCCAGGTTTTCCTTCCGGATAAGCTCGTGTCGAGACATAGCGACGTATTATTATTTATCATAGTAATAATTTTATTTCATTCAAATTTTCATGATACCACGCCATTCTAGAATATATACCCACACGAAACATGCATAGAAGCTTCCAATGGTTTGCTAAGAGAAGGAAAATGGTTGTACGTTATTTTCAAAATTAACGATTCAAAGGACGCAGTTACAGTAGACCGACGAGCATAGGCGTAGGAGCCCCCCAAAAAATTTATTTTCGGGCAATGAAAAATTCGACGACCTTTTTTTTTCTATTAACGTTTAGAGAAAAAATATAACTAACTTATTTCTATGAGATCCACACTGCCCGAAAAGTATTTTCTCGTCTTTTTCTTGTCCACTGCATGCCCGAAAATATACCCGAAGCTCTCTTATGATATGTATGCCCGAAAAAAACGGTATTGATTTCGGGCAATATTCTCTTATGCCCCCCTGAATTACTTTGAGCTCCTACGCCTATGCCAACGAGAAAGGTAAGTTAGTAACAAAATATATCAATTACTCACGACAGCTAAAACATATATTGCTAAACTAATTATTTTTGTTTAGTGTACTGGGCAGGTGGTCAATCGCCTACCTGTTTATACAAAATCAAAAGAAACTGGAAATGGTTGATAACATTCGAATCCGATGAGATTTCCTACCAGGGTATACTGGACTGTGTGATAATGACTGTCACCTACGAAAGACCGACAGGGACATTCCAACTTCCATGTTCCAAGTTCCGACAGTCACCAATAGTGTCCTTAAAGTTTTTCACATAGCTAAGTATATGTAAAATAGAGCCTTTGAATACCGATTTAAGGTAAGACACTTGGAGGCCCTAGCACTCCCTTCACTCATTGTCGAACTTAGTTATGACTTTACATCAAGTTTTATTCAGTCCTAAATTTTCTGCCATTGAAATTGTTGTCCCCGCTCATTTATTAAACTTATGCCAGGGATCTAATCGGCTCATTATTGTCGGCCTCCAATACCTGTTTATCCTTCCGTCATTTTCGGAAGTTCATTATCAAATGTTTCACTGCATATCGGGATCCATCTGTGTCTCATCATTTTGGGAAATAAATTCGGTATGTGCTTCAATAGGTTTGGCCATCTTGGCCCAATTTTCGAGGTTGTTGATCGAAATCTGACATGCCCGCGACGCTGCGTCTACAGTGAGCTGAGAGAGGCCCCTTTCATCATGCCTGCTACACTGCTTCCGCAGTGGGCAGTGCTTGGCCAAAGCGTCTAAATGAAATTTAGCTGACACTTGATGAATGCAATAGTATTAGATCGGAGGCAGACTCGACTACTCTTAATCTCCAATGGGATATCCACATTTTGACCCAGGGGAATCAGTTAATTACCAAAATGAGAAAATGTGTCGAAAATGGAATCAGCTGCCACCAAAACGTATATTTTGACACCGAGTGTGATCATTTTGTAAAATTCGAATTTTCCCGCCAAAACTGACCGCCATTTGGAAGTATTTCCCGATATTGACTCCGCAGTATAACTAATCACCAAAATGTGTATGGAAATGGATTCAGCTACCCCGGAAGAATATATATTGATACCAAACTCGATCATATTATGATAATTGGATAAAACTGTCGGCCATTTGAATTTTTGCCAATTTGACACATTTGGACACGGATTTCGAAGTGGGGCTCTTTTTTTGTGATAATATACGTCTAGACCGACCATAAACCGTGGTCGGCTTTTCTATTGCAGCAACTGTTCGGAATTGTGTGAAATTGAGTTGAAATGTCTGGACTATGACGAGAAACATTTAATAAGGATCTGTTAAAAACGGTGTCCTCTTTCGTGTTCACAAAGGGGGCATACCCGGTAACTATTGAATGAGAGATCGTGAAACGCGGATTCTCTAAAGGTTTCGTCCTCTCATGACCCCCAATGCTTCAAACGAAAACAAAATCTGTTAAAATATATAGCCTTTGCCAACTACGGAACGGAAGGTCCCGTGTGTAACAGAATCGATTATCCATTTTTAATTGGCGATCGTGTTTCAGTCCATTAAAAACCACGACCATGGTTTGGCATGTGTAAAAAATGTCTAATTAATATAACATTTGGGACCAAAAGACTTGCAACAGGCAGATTTAGATTTTACATAAGGTATTTGTAATGATATACTTTATGTGAGAGCTAAATTAGCGAATGAGAAACAAATTAACATATATTGAAATAAATCACAGAGGTTGATTCCCAAAGTTCAAATGTCGATAGTGGTTGAAATTATTGCACATGACTTTTCAAACCTTCAAAGGCTAATATCTTCGCTCGCATTTTGAATGAAATTTTCAAATTATTCATTTTACATTATCTTTTTTCGAACTATTATAGCAAGAATGGCTAGCTCTTTATCTAAATCTTTGATAATGTATCTTTAAAATATACACGTATATCAGATAATCTTATTTTATCTTCATAGTCTTTAAATTTAGAGACAAATATAGCTCTATAGCATATATTGTTATTTTAGTATCCTGTTTTGTTTTTATTCAGGGTAGTGAAAAATGGGTGTAATGTCCACTCGACAAAAAATAGGTCGTTACAGGACTAACATATGGTTCAATTTTATTTCATTTATTCGCTTACGCGAAGGGGTCTTTAGAAGTCGTAGGTAACCGGAGGACCCGGAGAAAACCCACGAGGTTGGATAGGTGACCCTACTCCTTGTCACGCATTTTAGCATTTGGTCGTTTTTGCAATTTGTCAAAACAACCTACCGGTAAACTAAAATATGTCGCGATTGAAATTTAATTTATCAAAAAAAACCCCAACTAATTCACACTCTAAATATCAATTTGTGTGAAATATCGAAAACAAATAACTTAATTTCAGGGTTCCAAATGGTGCCACCCTTGGTGAGAAAATGCTGTATTCATCTTCAAGTGAGCAACTCAAAATGAAATTGAATGGAATTCGGGCCTACTTCCATTTTTATAATGAGAAAGAATTGACCGAAACTAATTTAGAGAAAGAAATAAGGCAGAACATCAACATCTCGACATTCAACGGATAATGGTGGCGTTTGCTGATACAGGGTTTGGACTGACGTCACATCCACCATTTAACACCTCAACTAGACAGACCAAAACTACTGTTCCTTAGACCGACTGAGATGTGAATAGCTCTTCATATTTAAGGGATGTTTACTAGTTTGTTAGTTGGTTTAGGGTCAGTCTAAGAAGCCATAGTTAGGAAAGTTTCTTACATTCCATGAGCTACAAGGTTATTTACTTAGGCTGACCTTAAAAATATCTTTGTTTCGCCTAACGCGAAGGACTAACTAAAACCACCCCCGACTTAAATTATTTTATTGCACTTTTCCACGATCTTTTTATTTTATTTTGTGTGTCAACCTGAAATATATCATGAGAGTTATTTCCCTTCACTATGGCTATGGTTTGATTCATTATTGAAACTGGTTGATCAAGACGAAAGCGTCATAGGTGTCGCTTCTCAACAAAATGGTTGCAGACGAATACACGTCCATTCCCACGAAATGATTCTGCCTCTATGTCTGTGGTGCGTAGTTTTAAACATGACGACGATATTTTCAATATCCGTTTTCGAGAAAAATGAAGGCACAACCGGCATTATCGTTAAAAACGTGTTGAAGGAGTTTCACACTTCAAGTTCGCGGCAAATCGTGTGCGAGTCGGGCATCACGAAAAATCCCGATGTCATTGATTTGTTTGCCAATAAAGAAGACGAATGTTTCCACCCGGAAAATTATTAAGCTGTCAAATTAGCTCTTAAGTTTAATAAAATTTTCAGTTCGTTACTTTTTACGTCAGACCCCAAATTCATTAAACAAAATTAATGAATCTGTAGTATACAGCTAATAAGTTTTCTGTATTGATTTCTCTTACTTTAAAAAAAAATCTGAAAAAAAAACCGACCTACCGACCCTTCTCCTCGATTGTGGGTCGGGTTTGGTGAAACAAAGATATTTTTAAGGTCAGCCTTATCTAAGAATAAGCAATTAATGACCTCACTCCACATGTAAGGAGTAACAAAAACCAATTTCTTTTTTTATTCAAATTAAATACTAAAGAAAACAAAAACAATTCTGTCCTGACAAAACTTTTATTAACCACTAGAAAGTTTGTAAACCAATTCAGTTTAATCTCTGCTAGCTTTCTCGTCGGCCACTTTCCTGACAAAACCAGCCTTCTTTTGCTTGATCATTGCAACACGTTGAGCCTTTGGCGTCTTTGCCTTGTTCCATCTGAAATACACACATACATAAGCTGTTTCAATATCAACTCGGTTTGCTTATCAATCGTTAAACCAACCAGAGCACCAAACAAATGGATCAAATCTCCAAGCCACAGGATTTTTGTGGAGTCCATGGTCCAGCTCTTGTTTGGTTACTGAAGCTTGGTTTTAACAGACTTTGTAACATGGAAGGGAAATCTTCCTTTGTTCTTTTCTTACAATAATCAGATTGTTTTTGCTCTAATAGATTGGGCTGAGCTTGATCGTGCAATAACTAGACATTTTCAATGTCATTGCACACTTTTGCTAGTTAAAGAGATCTAGTGTCGATTATCTGTGCAGAAATGAAATTTAATGTCCTACTTTTCTGCACCAAGTGAGCTAATGAAGACGGGCACATGCCTGCCACACAGTATTCTATGAGGGAAACTGTGCCCAGACAGCGGCACTACAGCCTACTCTTATTTCTAATTTTATCAAGGGTTCTTGGTTTTGCATCGTGTTCGAACGACCAGACACTGTTCCTTGTCAGACCCCGTCACTACACAATTGACAAGAAAAACCACACCGGAAACTTTCTTGGCTACTACCAGAGCGAACGCGAGACCTGTCTTACTGAGCCACAGCAACTCCTTTTTATGTGCAATTGAGCATGGACAGTATTACCGACATGTATAGCCTCAAATCCATTTAACCACATCACCTGAAATAACATGGCTACTACTCGCGTGCAAGGAAATCAACTATTTAATAATAAAAGAGACAGAGCGTTCATTGATTCGATTGGTTGGCGACGCATATGTCTCATCCATCTTTTTACTATTGACAGGTGTTGATAGCAGGTTTTCATTCATTAACAGGTTTAACACCTCAGTTCAACTGTCTCAGTGTTTAAACTTTTTAACTCATGAAAGCTGTGCTATAACACAGATTAACAAAAGATAAAGCTTTGCAGGTTTTTAAGCTTGCTGACCATGTGAATAGGTAACCAGTTTTCTGGTTATGCCATCTTCGGAAATTTCATGACGTGTTGTGCCATCCATGCTGTCAAATGCTTGCGATATCAATTAATCTAGCATTTTTCTTTGTGACTGTTGAACAACAATTTCTTATAAGCAGTGCCATGCACGATATGCCCACATTTTGCAAGAGATGAACAGAAAACAAGCTAAAAAAAGATACAAATTTTCATACAATCAGGGTCCATAATCCAGAAAGTTACGGTTCGACATGCCAATTTTGAAAAGAACCAAGATCTTTGGGAGAAAGTCCTATATTTCAAGTTTCATCAAAATCAGATAAAAATTGTGACCTGTAGACTGTCCACACATGTGAATGTCCACACAGATGGACGGACACACCGACAGACAGGGGTGTAAAAATTGTGACCACTAGTGGGTCCACAACCTTGATAATACATACTTTTAATTCAAACTCAGCCGTCTTTATGGTGTAATGGCAATATATTAGAACGTTTTTTTAAAATCTGATAAAAATTGTGACCTTAAGAGGATCCACAAGCTAAAAACACGATTTTTCGTACAATCATTGGCCATAATCCAGGAAGATCATTCCAATGGCACATCTAAAGGAACCGAGATTTGCCATGGATAGTTGTTACCAAACTCGATGCTTTTTGGGGTCAATATTTATTGTGTTTTTACAAAACAGACGGTGTGTTACTGAAAGGTTTGCTGTTCTTTGATTGTCACTGATGCTGTACACACACGACAGCGCAAGATTTTAAATCGTGACCTGTAGAGTGTCCACAAACAAAATGTGAATGTCCGGACTGACAGGGGTGACGAAATCAATGTCCACATGAAAATGTGAGCGTATAAAAATTGGTAATAATCCAACTTTATCGAAATATAGAAATCGATACTATTCTCTCACAAGCGGCCTGATAAAATAATGCTACATTAAACTTGTACACTAGTACAGAAATACTGCAGCCAAGAATATATTCTATGGCACACCCGTTAGAAATTGAAGTTGAGAATACAAACCTCTTTTTGGGGAATTCTTTTTTCACAGGTTGTTTTGATGGGCTTGGATCAGCTCTGATAGCCGCATGACATTTCTGATACATTGCTTCCATCTAGAATTATACATTAACACGTCAATAAACATTAGTAACATCGAAAATTAAACAAATTTATTCTTCTATCTGATTAATGGTCCAAACTATGAATCTGCAATACTTTATTTTAGCTTGTCATAGTTTCATTAAAATAAACAATTTTATTACAGCAGACTAGGCAACCACTTAAATATTTTTTCGGGAATACAAGTATTTCTATATTTCCTTCAAATAATAAATCATTCTTAATTGTTATAATACAAATTAATAGTATCCAAGCTGTTTAAAGGGGTGGTGCTTAAAATAGATAATTTCTCCATACACAAAGTCAACTGCTGTTGGTACTGGGCCCTTATTCATGAAAACTTAAACTAAGATAAAATTTCGATTTTAAGAAATACTGCAACTTCATTGGATATATGCAAATTGATTTTACTGGTCAGTCAATCGAATTGCAGTATTTCTTAAAATTTCGATTTTATCTTAGTTTAAGTTTTCGTGAATAAGGGCCCAGGACAGCCAAATAAAGCTTCACCTTCAAGCCCTTAACAAAACAATTTAACTTACATTATCGGGTGTAATACCAAGTTTAATGAATCGACTGAAATGTTTTTTAAATAATTCTTCATCCTCTTCTTCTAGGTACGTCATGTAATCACCAACATGCTTGGCAAAAATATGATCTCGGTGAACACCAGCATCGTATTTTTTGGCTTCTTTATCGTAACCGATGAATCTCTTGTTACTGTAAAAGGAATCACATTTTTACTCTAGTCTATTCTTCACCCTTTTGTTTATTTCTTTACTGTTCCTTACATTGCTTTTACATACAGAAATACTTAGGAAGGTGTGGTGGGAACAAAACTTCCAATTTTCTGCTGGATGTTTTGCATGCAATATTTAGAAAATATTTGACCTGTATATGGGTTAACAAATATGTATATTTTGTTGATAGGTACATGTAATGTTGACCTAAATTCATTAGAAAAAAAAAGGACTGAAACACACCTGTGTGGTATATCCAGACCTCCATCAGCAGATCCTTTCATTACACCAAAAACTTTAGCACCAGTAGAACTTCTTGATAAACCGATATCTAAAATTGCACGGAAAGCACCAGGCTTGTCTGGAACCTTTTCAACATGATAGGATTCACCATCTGGTGCTTCTTGTCCTTTGTAAATACCATCAAGTTTAAATTTTTGTAACAACTGAAAATACAATTTGAATGCATTTAATACCAGAAACAATTTCAATAGTGTGGTTTTACATTTTGAGACACAAATACATACTACTGGTTACACCAATTGCTATGGCAGATCACAAACTTGGTAAATTGGTTAATTTTTCAAACCTCAAAACAACTGGAAATCATTGACATTGTTAATAAATTAAGACACATTTCAACTTAATATTTAGCACAGATTAGAAAAAGGCCGCTTAGATGTATATGAAATTTGGAGTCAAATTATAATTAGTACAGATTTTTTTTTTTTTTTCATTTATATTTATACAGTAAGATTTTCCAGACGTCTCTGTCCAATGACCAGACTTGACCCTTCATTTAGCCAATGAAAAGATACTTTTCCTGTGGCAGACATAGTTTTAGACAATCAGACTTCCAATAGAACATAACTGGTAAAGAAGTGGTCATTAGTATATCAACAATACATCAAAGTAACTTGGAAGATGATAAAAGCTGAAAAATTGGCAGGTTCAAATTTATAAGCTTTCAGAATAGGTCATATTTAATACCATGACTAGCAGAAATGGTTAAGATTGTGTTCTTGTCAACTTACTCTTCTGGCCAACAAAAGTCCTGTACAGTATGCAGCAGCATAGTTCGTTAAACCAACTTTAACTCCATATCTGGGCAACTCATGAGCATATGCACTGCAGATAACAACATCGCCTACAATTTTAGCATAGGCAATCTGAAATTAAAATACTTATTTCAATATTGTTACAAAGCATTCAATGAAACATAAAACTGTCCGTTATTGCTATAATAGTTCAAAAATAGATAATGCAAAATGAATATATTGGAAATTTCATTCAAATTACTTATTCTGTGCGAAGTTATCAATGTTTGTAATTTTGACAAGACGTGTGCATTGATTGTTTATTATTGTAATCACAGTGCTTGTTATTCGAGGCTTAGCCTGGCTTCTCAGTTTTTAAATTTAATCATTAAATGGCCGAACTGTTCTAATCTACTTAAAATCAGAGCCTTCCGATGGCATCGAGAGTTGATTATGGTCTTGTTATGTTAATAAATGTATAATTAACAATTAATATACATGTAACATTTAAGGCCTAAAGAAAGACCTGCAAAAGGCATAATGCCTGTTCAACATAGCCATCCTTATCTAAATAAGTCGTTGGCCAAAAACCACTATATGTATTTACGGAGTTCAAGTTTTCAAAATTGTGTACACAAAATTATTACATTTGACTTAGCTGGATGAAACCAATCAGAGAAATTCCACAAGGTTAGGCAGGTGAGCCTTGTCACAAGACTGGGAACGGACCTATGTCTGGTATATATAAAGTCTTATTATCTACAGCTCACAAATTAGACCACTCAGTCACCCACTGCCATTAAAGAACTCTAGCAATAGCTCTTTTGCACGAGTTGTACTTAATTGGTTTAGAACCTGTTATTTCATTTACTTCTATAACATATATTTTGTCTAATAATCGAACAAGGGTGTTTCTGACATTCTCTGAGAAAATTTTGATTAAAATAATTTGATTAACCAATCCAAGAGTAATGCCATAAAAACTTGTCAAGGATACAAGGCTGTGCTTGGTAAATTTTGGATAATCTGGAATTATGTGCCATTGAATAAAAGATAAAATATGTAAGCACAAGCTCTCACAAAAACTCTTAATTATCTGTCATATGAACAGGTGTACCACAAATATTGAAAAAAGATTCTATACAAACCTGGCATGTGATGTCTTTATTAGAGAATCTGACTATCATACGATATTTAGGTGTGTTATATTTACATTTTTCTTGGAAGATTAATCGTCTTCTAGCATAGTAGTCAGTCTTTCCCTCTGTGGTAAAAGAAATATTTTTATAATCCAGGTAAAGAATAACATCAGATATCATAACTCGACATATAAATAACGGAAATTGCTGAAATGCAATAGGATTCTTAATTTTACTAATTTAAATGATGCATATAAATTTCATACAGATTGGCAGATAACTTTTGATGTTAGAATCTTCTTCAATGGTGGGGAATATCACAAACAATTATGTAGCCTTAGTGTCCTACTATAAATTTATTACGAGTTAAAACATACCTCTCCTCCTCCTAAATTTGACTTGATATCTCTTGAAGTAAGCCTTGTTTTTCTGTACTTTAACAAAAGGCTGGAAAAAAAAAACAACCACCCAGTTAATGAATTTGAGGCTTTGCTTCAAATCATATTCTGCCACCGGTATCAAATTTTGTATCTATACAGGTTCAGGTTGTCCAGACCACCTAACACCAACTAGTTCATTTCTAGACTAACATCAAAGCTGAGGTCAGGCGAACAGAACACTTGTTGCATAAAACAGACAACTCCGACCAAAGACCACTCAGACCAAGCCAGCCAGAAGACCAATCGGACCAATATTTTGCTTTACTATTACTAATTCATTTCATAATTAAAATAAGATTTAAAATATATTGTTATTTATTTAACAATCTGAATGAATTTATTTGAAAACTCAAGACACAAAAGAAAATATTAACAGGACACACATGGTTGTTAAAAGGTTTAATGATAAAACATAAACTGGCACCAAAGAGATCTGTGATGATTTGGGATTTGACATGTAAAATGAAAATCGGAGTTCAGTTATCATCACTGACATCACAAAACACAGTGCCAGTACATAAAATTGACCATAAATTAGTGGGGGTTAATGCGGTGGTTCAGGAGGCGAATTGGGGGTGGTGGGAAATGATCGGTCAGAGGGATCTGTCAGAAGTCGTGACGGATTTTATCAACACCTCCGCTGACCCATCTGGGTTGATCTGAGTCGAACAGACAACAAACCCGTTCAATATCGAACGATATCTATGCCATCGATGATCAACCATATATAATTATGAAACAATGATTATTTATTGATATGTGTGTGTAATTGTATTAAATTTTGAAGCCTCACCATTTTGAGGAGGAGAAACGAAACACAAGAAATTAAATTTCTACGTGTTTACACGTTCTATTTTATTAAAAAGGAAGTGGTTCGGCAGAACATGCGCAAAGAGCGACAGTGTAACCGGAAGTTGGATTAGCCCTTGACCTTGATAAAATTAACCAATCAAAGTTTGAGGCGGTTTAATGGACGACAAATGTCAAGTTCAGGAAACAAAGTTTTGTTTTTGTTTCTTTAAAACAATTTGATGAATATCAGAACGTTTTTATTTGGTCACTTTTCAACCGTTTTAAAGATTACAGCATTGATATTTACTATTTTTAATGAGTTTTAATTTGTAAATCGTTGGCCGATTAATAATTGTGTTGACAATTTCTCAAACTTCGTGCACGTTGCGGCTTGTTTGAATTGATCTATAAATAGCTTTTGGTTGTCAAAATGAAATAAGTCGGTTTACTGAATAAAATATCTTGAGATGCAGGATCAAACAGGCCCACTCACATTGATGAGAAATGTGCAAGATCTGAGACAACGATTAGCTGAAACGGAAAATAATCTGAAAAAAATAAAGAGACTTGAAAAAGTGGAGTTGGATGAGGCAGAGTCAGTTGCATCTTCAAACAAGTTAGTTGAAATGCTTTTCGTATTAGTACTATTGGTATCGAGAATGATAATTTCCTGCCTAGGCCATACTTTGGTAGTTCAGCTCTGAATGTAGGTCTCATTACACTCACCCAGTACGTTCAGGAACCGCCCTATTCATTGAATCCTTGTCAAAAAACTTTTGAACTCCAACGTCGTGTATCACGTTATGTCCAACAGAGGATTTTGTGGAATATTGCATTGAAGTTGAAGTCAGTCCCGGTGAAGGCGGCCTGTACAATGTAAAGGAACATTTTAGTGAGAAAATAAGACCTTGCTTACCTCGGTAAAGTCAGTATGGGCTGTTAAAAACACGTCCCCTTCTGGCAGAAGCCATTAAAATTGAAACATAGGGTAACACACTAATTTACGAAACTTGACCATATTTGACGAAACAAAAGTTATGTAAGCAGGGGAAAAAAAATTGGTATCTTTGAAAAGTTGAGAATTGTCAGTCATTTATTGCTTTGCCTAGCCCAATTACAATCAAATTTTTTCAAAAATTCCAATTCTACATGTCACTCAATACTTAATGTCACTCAATGCAGCTAGCGACTATACAAGGGGGACAGCCCAACCTATGTCACTCAGCTTTATGGGGCACCCATACTGATATGGGCACGTTGGCTTCGTATTGCGTCCAATGGAATGGGAGTGGCTTGGTGCCCTGGGCCCCCCTTCCCCTCTAACTACGGGCCTGGTCTCCAGATTAAAAGCCTTAGGTAGATTTTTATCTCTGCTGGTTCAGGACTGTACAATACTCTCAGTCCACTCATCTTATTTGTATCACGTCATTTGGGACCCATGTCATTTGGGACTCAACATAAACGACATTTGGGACTCAGTTGACGACGTTTGGGACTTGATTGGCGTCAATTGGGACTCAACACAAATGACATTTGGGACTCAATATAAACGACAGTTGGGACTATTTATTTACTCTTGCTATGTATATACATGTTGTAACTAATTGGAAAACTATAAGTATTACTAAGAAACGTAAGTTTTAGGATTGAATATTTTTCAATTTCGCAAACACGCATTTCAGTGAACCAAATTAATGTTTTCTATTTAGGCCTGCAGTGAGAAAGATATTGAAGCAGTCATTAAACTGCCTGACTGATGTATTCAAAAAACTAAAATTTATTCAATCTTATCAAATTATAAAAATAGGTTAACTCCAAACAAATTTTAGAGAACAAAATGGAAACATGTATCTTTTACGTTATAATTACCACCCAATTTCATCTAAAGAAGATGGGTAGGACTTATTTTTTAAGGAAGTATTTTGTCATATTCATCATAGATAGTCAGACGTGATTGTGTGACCCATGTTTGGTTCAATTAATTGAGATTCACATCAACTTTATTCAAAAAATAATTTGTTCAGTACCGCTCCACATTAGAAGCACAGCATGATTGTTTTTGGAATGGGTGGCATCTTTACAGCTGTAAAAACAAATTGTTTTAGGCTGTTCCTGTTACCTGGTATTTAATTTAAAAAATTTTGCTGAGCATGTGCCAATGCCATCATGGTTCTGAATAGTTTCTTTGTTCTTTCAGTGAGGACTGCATTAGAAGACGCGTTCAAAGATTAGAAAAGAGATTTGATGTAAATAACTACCCTGCAGCCATGAATAGAGATGGAGTACTTCATGCATCATTACTACAACGTGATAGTGGGACAATTGCTGATGATTTTCTAGACCGAGAGAGTGTTCGGTCAGGTCTGAGTACTGTACCTGATTCTTACACTGGTTTCACTAACAGACAGTTTCCTTCTAGTACACCAAATACCCAACGTGCTACTGTAAGCTTTTTTGTATTTCCCTGGAATTTAAAATGTCTGTATCTCAAAAATTGAAAACAGTCTCATTAATTACATATACCACACGTAACTGTTTTACTGTAGCTCTAAAAGTATTTGAATAGGCTCATTTACCTAGTAAACAACCCTGGTAAATAATACTGGATAATCACAAATTCCTGTTAAACAACATGATGCTAAAAAATGTAGTGACTTGTGTTTAAATGCCCAGTATTGATCTTTTGACCAAATATCGAAATAAAACACAAAAATAAAAAAAAGCTCCCTACTGCATCAGATTTTTAGTAAGGAGTGTCTATGAACCAGAATATATTTTTTTTATGGCCTTATACATGGGTCAGTAAATGTGGAATATTTGATCTTGTTAGCCAAATATTTCTTGATAATTTTAATCTGTACTAAGCTTTCCAAATTTCCAAATCACAGCTGAGGTTGCTATTTCCACAGAATTAACCATCTTTACGATAATGTAACTGTCATATCGGAAAAATATTTTTTCCTAACTGGCAAAAATCTCTTGTTAATTTGATTATATTTCAGCGGCTTGATCGATTCTCAAATATTTAATGCATGTGAAGAGCAATTTAGTTTTATTTTATTTATTTGGATTTTTTTTCAGACTGCTAGAGGACAGATTGAGGGACACTATGATTCAGAAGATAGTAATTTTGACAGAGGTAGATTAGACACTAAAACCAGAGAAAACAAAGATAAAGTTGTGCGTCAAAATCAGCGTTTACTAGCTGAGGTTGAAAAATTAGCTTATGAATTACAATCTGCTAATTGTAAGGTATATAATTTATGTATGTAGATTAAGAAACAGTGAAATAAAGATCAAGACACGAAGAATTCCCTGCTGTTCTCCTGCTTCAACAAGCTTTATTCAGGCTACCATTAGCATAAACTGTTTCACAGCGGTAATGCAAAAGCATTCTTTTACCACTGTACAACATGATTGACCTTTAATGTCGCGTCCAGTATAGTTCTACGTTTGACGTCACACCCTAATGTTTATCAACAACACAATATGGCATTGATAACACATGTCTTAATTACATCCGACGTAGAAATACAAACTGGTCTGGGCACACTAAATATCATGTGCAATTGGCACTCTTGAAATGGTGGCGATATCGTTGTGATTAAAAGTTTCTGACTCTGCGAATCTTTCCCCCCCAAAAATCCACTGCAGACAGATTTCTTTGTGCAGTATTTCTGGACTATGTGTACTTTCATAACCGTGTCTCGTACAACTGCTTTTAATATTTTCATAGATTCGAGAGTTAACTAGAGAATTAAAGTCTGGTCAACAATCAATACCTGAACTAGAAGATAAAATAATTGGACAACAGTCAGAAATAGATGCTTTAGAAAAGGCTTTAAGGTAAATTATCAAGAGGTTTTTATATCATTGAAAGTGGACACATTCTGAGAAACCCATCTCCATTTTGCCTTTCATTAAAATACAGTCCTTTTTAAGATTTTTTGGGGATGTTGATGTGTACAAGACACCAAATCAGGAAAAGACACAATGACCAGAATTTGAAAGTTGTTTATTGATTTTATGAATCTAGGTTTCACATGGGTAAATTAAATTCTCTCAATTAAACCCTTAATTGTTGAATGGCTAGGGAACATAATTTGTGAATCATTGAAGACAAATAATACAATTAACCACAGAAATTGTCTGACATTAGTCACATGTTTCATTGAGTACATCTAATTAAATTCAAATTCTTGATATGAGCATCAGGGCTCAAACTGGGGTCAATTTTTTAGTGAGACAGGACTTCTCAAAATAGGGAGAAGCGAGGGTGACTACAAGGACAGTTCAGATTTCACAAATTGCATACATTTTTATCACACAAATATTATTAGCATCAAAATAAATCTTCATTTACGTATCAAATGCCTAAGCCGGGTTTATGTTACTTACAGATAGCTGAATGGACCTTATAATTATATTTGTTAGGGTCCATTGTAGCCCTAACATTTGTACAAAAGGCTATAAATGTCAGTGTTACAATTTCTTGCTTTTAATACACTCTGGAACCATGATTATGAAATTATTAGTTGTTTAAATTAGAGATAGAAAGCAATGGGAAACTATATCTATATGACAACAAAATCATTTAGCTTGAATACAAATTCATTGTTTTACTTTAGCTATTTACATACAAGATTAAAGTGCAAGCCCAAATTACATTTGTGGAAGTTCATGTGTTGACATCTCACAAATTATGACATTTGTATTTAAATTTCTATGATTAGTATTCATTTTTATACAATTACATTTTTAAAAATCGTTGATATATATCATCATTACACCCTGATGATGATTAAGTTCGAATTTCATAAAAATCGGAATGAAACTGCCCGACAAAAATGGCTACTGCTTGAACGCAAATAGTGTAAATGTATGTAATACTAAGGTTTTGGTCCCCGTTATAGGTTACAATTTTTTTCTGTTTTTGATGAAACTTAAAATATATGTTTATACCCCAAAGATCTCAGATCCTTTCGATATTCACACATTTCAGACCATAACTTCCTGGATTATTGACCCTGATTGTAAGGAAATTACATTTTTTTTTTTTTAGCTTGTCCTCTATCCATCTCTTGCAAAATGTGGACGTGTCTTACCTGGCAACCGTTGGTTATATGCCCACATGGAAATGTGGTCGTATATTGCTGTCTTGGAGGGCCAAGTCAGCAATGGTTGGACGACCACTAGTTCGAATCCTGATTAGTGTTAAAGTTACTTACTACCTGACCCTGTTAAAAAAGCTTAAACTGAGGTTGTGTCTTGAGACATTGGTTGAGCTGAAGTCTTTTATTTCTGTATCTGATTTGGCTGTTCCAGATTATTTCTGCTGTCCATGTTCCAATATTTATTATCTTACAGCCGCTGATCGTCATATGAGGGATTTTGAATCCACTGCAAATTACATCATTGTCAAAGTTGAATCTCTTTGCAAAATGGAGAAGATTATCTAGTATTGATGTTTTGGTTTTGTTTCCTTAATTAAATGTTAAATAATCAAGTTACGACATTTAACATGGATCAAGCCATGAAAAATTAGATGTTTTTATTTAAAAAATGCCTGATCGGGATCACCAAGTTTAATTGTTATTATAGATATTTGATATAATAACTCTTGAAATGTTTTATTTGAAGGAAAGCTGAAGAAAATTGTGATGAAAATCAGAGACAGGTGGCTAGTGTTGAAAAACATGTCGGTAATTATAGAGATGAGGTTGACGAATTACGATTACAGTTAAATAAAGAACGAAAATCCCGAAAATAGTAAGATAGCCATACTCAGATCTGTTATATACTGAGGCACGATGAAAATGCGCCACTGATTTGAATAGAAATGAAATGAAATGGGGTTTAACGTCCTACTGTTCTGCTCCTATACTGGGCTAATGAAGACGGGCATACGCCATACAGTGTGCTATGAGGGAAATTTTGCCCGGGCAGCTGCACTATCGCCTACTCTTATATCGAATTCCAACTGCCAGGGGATCTTTCACGTGCATTCCAATATATACACGGGACCTCGGTTTTTCGTCTCATCCGAAAGACTAGACAGCTGTCCTTGTCAGGCCCTCCGTTCTGCACCGCTAACAAGGAGAAACCACGTCGGAAAATCTGAATGAACTTTCTCGGCCAATGCAGGGATCGAACACCCGACCTCCAGGCTAGCGAGCCAGCGTCTTAACCAACTAGCCACCGTGGCTCCCGATTTGAATAGAACTAAAAGTGCTGACCAGACATATTGCAGCACAAATGTGATTTTAGGCATAATTGTAGCCTGGACATTGACCGACGCAAGAAAATCAGCAACAGCCCACTGAGACCATAAACACTTTTAGTGAAATATGGACACAACTTCACCACATGAAGGAGATAAGCCTCTGAATGGCTGCTTGTATGATTCTTCTCCACTTTTGTTATGATGTAATTGTCACCTTGAGTGGCTCTGCCAACTTGAATTAACATAATGACATGTCTTGGTGTTTATGTGTCAAGCTTGGCTTATTGTTGTGCCAGAACTGTAGGAGTTGTATTGACCCTAGCTTTTAATAAGCCACATTTTATACTTCATGTCTGCACCTTAGAATTGTGGCTTTTGAAATTCCCTTTCTGTCAAATTCAATTGTTTTATCATTGAAAGAATTGATCTGTGGTGCTTTTATGCAATGAAGAAAACATCATTCTCATATGTTTTTGTTGTGATCTTATGTGGTTACATTCAGAATGTAATATTCAATCTTATCTCTCAAACAAGATTTACAATGATCCATTTAAAAAAGTGGTGCATTTTCATTGCTTCTGCTTTGTTGGACATAAATTTATAAATAAACTGATTTGAGAAATGGTCTTTATCAAATAAATAGTATTGCGTATTTTGATCATCATAAAAGTTTTCTATTAATCTATTTATCTACAATGAAGATTAAACAGACCGGTTTTAATTTCGATTATAAGTCAGAAATAGATTTATACTTGGAAGTTTATATGATATTATATTTTACAATCATATTTTGTTTCTGTAAAAATTATTCATTTTTTATACTTTCCCCATAAGTATTGAGACCCAGAGAGATGAAGCTTTACAGAATTTTCTCGAAACTCAGGAATCATTGGAAGAATATCAGAAGAAAATGAGATTAAAGGTTAAAAAAGTAAGTATCATCTAAAGATAATAGTAATATATTCTTTAAATGGCATTTAGTAATTGGAACATAATCAAATAACACACTATTTATGGATAACAATTACTGTGGTTTATTTCACTGCGACGTTTCAACAAGATTTCACAAGTCGTTATCACAAGTGTTATATGCTTGATAACGACTTGTGAAATCTTGTTGAAACGTCGCAGTGAAATAAACCACAGTAATTGTTATCCATAAATAGTGTGTTATTTGATAATAGTAATATATTTTGGGGTGGGGGCTGGGGGATCTTTTTGGAACACAATAACTCGCTTCTAATTGAGAATATTCACACTTGGTGTAGATGTTTATTAGGTGAATGTGATGGCAGAGTTCAATAATGAGCAATTTCTGTGTGCTTAAATCTTTGGGATGAATAAGTCTGAACATTTTCTGTTTAAGCAGAGATAAGTACATGTACATGTAATTTGATTTGTCAATGCTTGAGAACACAATAACTCTGATTCTAATTGCATGAGAGTGATGAAACTTGATGTACACTATATATTCCGATTTCTCCACTTCCTTGATAATCAGTATTTTCTGCTCTGGTTAAATTGCTTGACCTTTATAAAAAGATAAATGTGCAAGTAATTAATGAGTGGTCATCTATAGAAACATTATTGCATACAAAAAAAACTTACAATGTTATGTGCATATACAAATAAAAATAATAGAAGTATACATGAAACAAACAAAGGATACATACATGTACATTCAAAGATACACAGCTTTACAAAGACATGAACGAATTGTATAAAAAAGCTCCTAAACATTTTAAAATTTCTACATTTTTATTCATCATCAGTATTTAAATTTTTGTAAATCATTTAGTTTATAAAAATTTGGTTCACAGAATAAAATTAATCTGAACAGTTCTTTTCTTTTTTCGTCATGTCTTTTGCTATTTGTTCTAATATGAATTTTGTCTTCAAACTCCTGGCATATAATACACAGACGATCGTTTATGTCAGATTTTAAATATCTCCCTGTTTCAATTTTCAATTTACGTGCGCTTATTCTTAGATTTGTTATTGCTTTTCTGTGTTTTTGAGTTCTTATCACATCTAAATAATTTTTATAATTTATATCATTCTTAACTTATTTTAGGTTTTAAGGTGGGAGACTTCAGTCTCACTGTTGGCAAGTTTTATACAGAAAGAGCCTTTGAAACAATTATTCTGAAATTCTATAAGTATTTATATTATTCATTTGTATTTTTTGTTTGTAATTATAGCAAGAAGAAGGTGAAGATTATATAAGAGATATGTTAGATCAAGTTAATAATGAACGTGATGATTTATTAGAACAATTAGCTACCATGACATCTACTCTACAAGATCATGAAGAAGAAATAAGGTACACATTTTTTTTTAAAGGAACTAGACCTCTTCGATTTAAGGCAAAATTAAGTCTTTAATTGGAACTAGACCTCTTGAATTTAGTTCAAAATTAAGTCTTTAATTGGATTTGCCTGGCTGATATGATTTTTCGTTCGTGATGAAACAGGTATGATTTAATTTAAATTACATTTTTAAGCCCCTTGTTTGTCTGTCCATCCAGCTGACATTCTTGCTTTCACAATTGCTTGTGCATGCTCTAGAGGCTTGATAAGGATATAAATTCTGACAGTGCTTTGTAATGGATGCAAATAAACAAATCGACAGATAAAATCCACCAAGTCAAGAAGAGAGAGTGTCATTTATAACACAATGTGAAGTATGAGTCCTCTAATGACCAGATGCAATAGATACAGATTTCTTGTAAGGCCCCTTTCTGTTTTTATTCCCCCGAATTGATTGTGGATGTGCATTGTTGTTGCCTAAGCCTGTCAGTTCATCTTGCCAGATTTAAAACTGTTCGTAATTCTTAAACTGTTCAAAAAGTGGTACCCAGTTTCAATTTTGCAAAATAAGTAATGTTTATTTGTTTGCCACTGATAATTATTGATGCCTATTTTTTGTTTTTATGCAGACGACTACAAACTCTAGAAGAAGTTGAATCAGAAACAAAAACAGAAATGGAGGAAGAAAATACAGAACTCAGAAAACAGATTGCAAAATTATCTTCAAAAATCAGTAAATATTTTGTTATTTAGCAGTGGCCAAATTAGATCATATCTGAATATGTTCACTGTGAACTAACAGTGCCCAGAAATCTTTTAGTTTCATGTAGATAAAATATGTAGAAAATAACATGGTACATTTTTGATATAAATTACTTTTATTGTAAGATGAAATGAACTTTGTACTTGGCCAAACCCCATATATTTGAATTCATATTGTTCTGCTGCTCATTTTTGGGGTATTTGCTTTTCGCAGTCAATTAAAACTGATGTAATTTGATTCATGTTTTCATGTCTCACCTGAATATAATCAATTAAATCAGTTAAAAATGAAAAAAGGACAAAGGAAAGATTTGAATGATTTATACTTTTTAAATAGACCATTTGATTTGAATTATTCAAATCGTAATCATATAGTAAACTCAGCATTCTATCTCATCACCACTTACCCAATCGCTAACAAAGAATGTGCTGCATTTACACAATTTTTTCAGATAAGTTACAAGGTGAAGGCAATAATTATGACACTCTTCAGAGAGAAAACTCCAGATTAAAAGATCACATGGAGCATCAGGAAAGACAACTCTTACAATTACAGCAAGAAGTTGAAGAAAGTCGAACCATGTTAGTTCAATTAGAACAACTAGCTGATACCGTTCAACAAGGTGCTTCAGGGGTTAGTATTCATACATATTATTTATTAACTTTGAAAGGTATCTTAGTCTTGAATCAAAATCCCATTACTTTTGTTGGGACTAAAGGGATTGTCAACTTATAATATTATGGACCCTTCATATGTTTTCTAAAGTAGTTATGTGTAATTAAAACAATAAAAGTGATATATTGAATAAGGGTTATTTCAACTTAAAAGATGAGAAAGTGCATGAAATAATTTATTTGTTTATTACAGAGAGATTATTCAGGAACGAATGATAGTGGTTTATCTAGTTTACATCAACATAGTAATTCACATAGAAACAGTGGACCAACTGTTAGCTTCTCTAAAAGTCTTACTGAACAAAAACAAACATCATCTAGACCAGCTAAATCTATTGTATCTGAATTAAGGTATATAATAATTTGTATTTTTATTGTGTATTTAGGTCTTATCTGTGCAACCAAAATAACATTTCTGTACTGTGAGTGATGTTATCGAGAGATAAACAATGGTTATTATTCAAATTCCATGTAATGAAGCTTATACGGTGAAACTACTTAAACTGCTAAAATTTCTAAATTGATATGCTTATTAAACATTTAAAGGCTCAATACCACTCTTGTTGTAACTGAATAATATGTCCCAATCTTTATTCTGGTCAACAAATTGCACTATTTTACAATATTCCAATTAATTGATGATACAAATTTCATCTTAACACACCTAATTTAAAAAAATTGGAAAAATTCAAATAAATGATTTGAAAAGCCTGACGTAAAGCTTTTCAAATGTGACTTGGATTTAAAAATATTTTTGAACCCTCTGGACAACTAAAATAGGATATAATGGATAATCTACACAACAGGTAAGTCACTAACACATCTATTTTCTGGAGCTGTCAAGCCAGCAAGAGTGTTATTGTCCCTTTAATATGATGAAACAATGATTGGTAAAATTATTCTGACTTATACATAGACACATGTCTACTTCAAAATTTACTGTATATAGTGTGCATTCATAATAAAGAGTGATCATATTATTTGTCTGTGGACTGTGAAACTTTCAAGTGATCAGCACGTATACTAACTTAAGTGCAAATTTTGATCATTGATAAATATTTGCAGAGTAAAGTTGGCAATGAAAGACTCGGAAATACAGCGTCTTCAGGCATTATTATATGAACATGAATCTAATAACAATACCAGCATTATACACAGTCTTAAAACAGAAATAAATCATATGACAGAGAAACAAAAAGAAGGTATACTTCATTTAATGTTCACGTCAAATGCTGATTTTACTAATTGAATATTCCAAGTCATTATTTGTTTGTTTTTCAAATATTGGATTCAACTGAAATCATCCATGTTTGGACCAGGGTTTCTGTTGAAAAAATTTCCCCTTCAGACATTTTTGTTTGGGGTAAAACTTGCAAGAATTGGGTGACTAGAAGTTGTCACTTTCATGAAATAAGGCCAATAAGCTTCCATTCCCTTTAATATTAACAGACTTCATCAAAAAATATTTCTTGATAATTTGTTATGCAGCATATTATATTCTGAATATTCCTCAATAATTACCTGTCTTTGTTTATCTGATAGAAACTGAAAGCGATACATCCATAATGAAATAGCTCAAGTCTATCTATATTTTGTAACCTTTGTTTCCCTTTAGGAGTTCAGAAAAGCCGAGAACTAGAGTCAATTATAACCCAGCTGGAGACAGATAATACTAGATTACGTGAACAGGTTACAGATCTACGCCGTGACATGTCAGATAGAGAAGGTTTTAACATGTCACTTGACACGAGGCTGGCACAACGTAATTCACAAATTATAGAACTACAAGAAGATATCAATAAAAAATGTAATGATATCAGCCAGCTAGAGAGGGAGGTAGGTTTCAATGATATCAAATCAGCACTAGCAGGTCACCGTGGTTTTGATTCCCCAGTTGTACGTGACAAGGAGTAGGGTCGCCTGTCAAACCTCGTGGGTTTTCTCTGGGTCCTTCAGTTTCCTCCCACTGCTAAAGAGTCCTATGCGCATGCGAATTATGGAAATAAAATTGAACCATATGTTAGTCCCGAAATGACCTAGTTTGTGTCAAGTGGACATTAAACCCCATTTCTCTCTCTCTCTCTCTCTCTCCAATTATACCTCATCTTTTTGAATGGGATAAAAAGTTCCTATGTATATGTTGACGTGCATGTAAAAAAGAGTCCTTGACAGTTGGAATTTGATGAAGAGTAGGTGCTGCCTTCTTATCAAAATGTCACCCATCACGCTGCAATGCGTATGCCCCTCTTCCTTTTATTGGTTGTTGCAGAAAAGTAGGTTGTTCAACCCAGTTTCATTTCATTTTCATACAATAATCAAAATGCTGAAAAATTAATCTATTTTTATTTACCTTTAGCTTCGTAAAAAGAATTCTCAAGTAACAAGTGTACAGGAACAGCTAGATGAGAAGTTAAGAGAATATTCATCTCATATTGCGAGATCCAAACAGTTAGAGGAAGAGATAATTAGTCGGGATGAGGAGATCACATCGCTACAAGCAGAGGTGCAAACAGTACAAACAGATGTGCAGAAACTTCGTAAAGCATCTGAAACTGCCAAACAAACTCATAAAAACCAGTGTTCAGAATATGAGAAACAAATAGAAATGGTAGGTACCGGAAATGAGAAAAACTGTGATTAAAGAATTTTGTACTATATTTCATTTCTTTTATTCCATAAAGATAGATTACTTTGACAGTTGAGATCATGAGTTGAAATCATCAGTTGGAAAATATAATAAAACAAACAGCCAAAATGTATTTGTTGCCAGTTGAATACATGTTGTTTTACAAAATACTTCAAGAGAACCACATTTTACATGAGAGCCCATGAGACAAATATTAACATAGCTGACAAAATATGGCACTCATGAATTTATTAGAGCACTAGTAGCCTGTGAATAAAGCATGTCTTTGAATACCAATGGAAGAACACTGGTTGGCAGTCTGTATTTGATAACTATTCTAATTATTTGTGGATTTATTAAAGAATTAGAGTGTATGGTTATATTTCCTTTAAAATATCATACTTTCAGATAGAAATAAGTTTTGTACCGGTAAATCAAACAACTGATCTAAGGAGAATATCATTAATACTAATAGATATTGTGTATCAATAATACTAGTAGTACTACTAAATATTGTCTATCATTAATACTAATAAATATTGTGTATCAATAATACTAGTAGTACTACTAAATATTGTCTATCATTAATACTAATAGATATTGTGTATCAATAATGCTACTAAATATTGTGTATCATTACTATATTAATAAATACTGTGTATCATTAATACTTATAGATATTGTATATCATTAATGCTAATAGATATTTTAAATGGAAGTGTTTTGTGTTATATTCCAGTTACAAGATGACAATGAGAGAAAAACAAGTCAGGTTAAAATATCAGAAAAACAAGTGAAAAAATTACAAGATGAAGTCAACTTTAAAACACAGTCACTTGATGAAATGGAGAGACAGTTAGAAGATCTAAAAGAAGTTTGTTTTTCCATATATATTTTCTTAACAGTGGTACCAATCTTTTCAACCAAGTTCTCTTTGAGTTAGATATCCTATATAATATTTTGCTGGAGGTGATATTGTAAAAAATTACAGCCATCAGGATAGTAATGGATGATTAGAAATGCCACTGCTATATCAAAATCCTTCTAATTGAATGATATAAATTTCACCACTCAATGTGCTATTTAATTATTTTCTGTAGGAAATGTCTGGAAAAACAAGACAAAATCAGTCAGCTTTTCATAGACTGGAAAAACAAACAGAAGAGCGTGAAGCCAAGATAAGTCAGTTGGAATCCACCTTACTATTATGTAAAGATGAAATCAGCAGTTACATAGCAACATTGGATGACTCTAAGCGTGCCTTCGAAAGAGAACTGTCCAAGAAAAAAGAAGTGGTAAGATTATAACAGTCCTATCTATTATGTTTCAGGAAATCATTACTGGATTTCTTTAACTACCCCAAATATAGAGTGAAGTAACATACATAGTCAAAACTGCTCTTACAAGAAAACATGCTGATGTAGAAAAATGTTAAATTATCAATCCTAATATTGTGACCATTTGAAGTTTGCATTATTAGTTTTATTAATTCTACACTGCCATATTTATTCATCTGCCTGTAACATAGATAATCCTCTTAACGAAACTAAATGATACTTTTCAGCCCATATTTTTTCTACAATTAAATAATCAAATTTTTGTTGGACTTTTGCCATGTTGTCCCTTAACCCCTTAACTGCGTAGTTTTTAAAACGTTAACTACCCCCTATTGCGTAATTAATTTGACGAAAAACGTCATTTTGGACCTTTTCATTCCTGAATACAAAATTTGGTAGTCTGAAACCAAATTAAAACTAACGGTAAATAGAGTTGTCTCCCTTCAATTAGATTTCCTCGACCAGGCGTAATATAACGTCTTACACATGCTGCGATCGTGATCGAAGAATAGGTTGGGGAAAATACCTCCAGGATGTTATATTACGTCCTACACACGGTGAGTGGCAGTTGTCCAGGATGTTATATAACGCCCTACGCAGTTAACGGGTTAAGATATCACTAGAGATGTGAGTAAAAATAAAGAATTTATGTACACATTGCCTATAAAATTTCTTTTGAAAGCTGGAATTTGAAGAAAATTTGCAGTCAGTTTTGATTCAGATCAATTACTTTATGAATAAGGATTTTCTCACAATATTTACGTTGATCTGCATTTATTTATCACTCATATTTTGTAGATATCAGATCTAGAGATTCAGTTACAAGAGATGAAATATGAAGTAGATGATAAAAGACGAGAGAACGTAGAATATGAAAGGAGTATACTAGAAAGACAGACCATGTTACAACAACAATCTGTTAGAATAGCAGAACTAGAAGATAATCAAACTGATTTACACAGACAGGTATTTATAGTCTGTCACTTACTGAAATTTGTCTTTTAAGATTTCAGTAAAATTCGACTTCAGTTCAAATAACATCGCACCTAAGGGTTTAGTTTTCAAAAAAGACAAAATATGTTCCTAACAAAAAGATGGAGTTTCCATGACTATTGATGTAGCAGATTGTGTAGGTTAAAGTACTAGAGGTAATTTATTATCTTGATAGGTTGCCAGATTAGAACAGGAATTATTGAAGACTCGTTGTTCAAATAAAACAGAGATTGAAGAATTAGAGAGGAAATTACATCAAGCTTGTCTTGATTTAGAACAAAAAACGAAAGATGTCAATGATCATTTACATGTCATCAGGTATTATTATTATTCATTTAGATTGTGATTGGGGAATTAAGATATAAACTTTGACCTCAAAGATATTTATTACAGACAATATGTTAATGCTTCATAAAAGTACATCAAACTAGATATCAATATTAGAATCAATGTTATAATTTTATTGTGTCCTTGGTTCACAGTGACGTCATAGGTCATTTTTGACGTCATTTTTTAATTCCTTGTTATCGATTTCCTATACGCTCCTAGTACATTATTAACACCAAATATGAATATTAAGCGAGTTATCATAGTCATTAACGGATTTTAGGGCGATTTCGGGGGTCCAAACAAAAAAGCCCCCTAAAAATTTTCCCCAAGGCCGATCAAATGGGAAAAGTTTTCTGGAAGACTACTCACCCTACTTGTTCATATGAAATAATAATCGCTTGGGTAGGAATTTTTTCCCACTAATGCGAGATTTGAGGATAGTTCAACCAGGCTATATAGTCTTTTGTTGGGGATAACTTGTAATACATACTAGTTCCAAAATAACCTAGTTTGTGGTGAGTGGATGTTAAAACCCATTTCTCTCTCTCTCTCTTTATAAAATAGGGATTATCAGGAAGAGAAAAAAGAATTGACATCTGAACTGCAAACAGCAGAAGAGAAACTGGAAGAAGAGCAGAAAGCTAATAGAGCATCTGGTCCAAAGATAAGCAGATTAGAGAAAGAAGTGAGAGATTTACGTGTTCAACTTGAACAGAAAATAGAAATAAGTAAGTCAGTTTTGCCATATTCCTAACCAGTTATCACTGCTGTCCATTGTCAATTTCAATGTTGTGTAGCTCTTGAAAATTAATCTCACATGGCAATAGCTACAATATTCATGATCATCCTTTCACCTCTTCTTCAATAGTTATGTGAGATGTAACAGGCTTGTCACCATTGCAGTATTTCTTTACAGAACCAATATTATTATTAATTTATAAAAACAAACCACCTCCAACTTTTACACAGAGTTAAAACCTACTATATTATTATGGTCAATCATGTACAAAACTCCACATTTCTCAGGTACAATGTTTGAAAACACCAATTCTTAAATTGGTAGGCTACCAAAATATGGTTGTTTCCTGTGGTACTATGGAAGCCTGTTGCAGCCATTTTATAATCTTGACTTCTCACATCGAGCGGGAAGTCAAGATGAGAGAATTTGATGGCCGTGAAGGCAAGGATTTCCAAACACAAGAAAGAAATTAGTAGAGAAATCGTGGATGAAGGAGCGAGAACTTAAGATTGCCAAATTTATTACCGACCCCTGTATTAAATTCGCAAACTCTGCCAAGAGGCCAGCCCCGGAAACCGGCCAATCTGTGACCATGGAAATCCCGCCTTATTTTCAGAATGGTATAGATAAAAAAAAGCCAGCCATGTGATTTGAATCGGTGTGTAGACTGCAGCGTACAATACGAACGAAATTAGTCACTGACACCCAGTATAACCAGGTCTTCATAGGCACTCTTATATCATGCAATTACCGGAGCTTACTGTTAGAATTTTTAAATTAATATGCATACTCAACAGTTAGTATGATTAAAAGCTGATTTATAATGACAAATTATTCTAGCTTGCATAGACTTATTACCACTTTTAAGACAAGTCACATTTTAAGAGTCTTACTGCACTTTGCGAATGTTAATAAATAATAGTTAATGTGCTACCTACACAATGTTTCAAAACATTGTTTCATTTTAATATCTATGTATCTTGTGTTGTGTTTTTGGAATTATGAATAGTATATAATTGTTTTCAGTATTGATAGTTTATATATTATAGATACAAGATAATATATTAATTAAATACACAAAGATATATGCATATTGAATTCATCAATGTAAATAAAAATTTAACCAAAACTAGATAATGTTGACTTCTTTAATGTTATTATCATTTTTGTAGTTTCTGATTTTGAAGAACAAAGGAAGATGAGAGAAGAAGATATGAGTCAACAACTTGGACTCGTTTCTAATTTGGATTCTCATATTCTGAAACTAAAGGTAAGATTTGATCTCTGGTGAAACCCATCTTCCATAGAAGGTTTGATCTTGCTTTAACTCTGTACACCTCGATCATCAAGCCCTTCACATTATACCCTGCATTGACTTGTATGTAGAACAGTTTTACATTTTAAATGCTTTGTCAAAACAACAAATAGTGTGTAATGCCTCTTAAATTTTATAACCTTAGTACTACTGGTGCAACAATTCTTAGGTCAGCTTTGTCAGTGTCTTGGATTAAAAAATAAATTTACTTGTTAACATTCAGGCAGTATAACTCTTTATTGTATGATATTTTATCAGGCTGATATACACAAAACAGAAGACAGTAAAGCAGAATTAGAAAGACAGTTACAGAAAATGAAATACGAAGCTCAGGCTAAATCACAGTTACTGGATGATACACAAGATATGCTGAGGTGGGTCATCCATTAAAATCTATTAAGAGGGTATACTAAGGACATCCTGACTTTCATTTGCTGGCCAGAATTGTAGCGCTTTCTCCTCACTATAATGTTGAGATCCACCAATAATGCAACCTTAGAGAGCCTCTGTTGTTCAGTGAGTTTGGCACTGGCTTGTTAACTTGTGTTTGCATCCCTGTTTTGGCTGAGAAAGTTACTCATATTTTCCAGCCCATTTTCTTCTCTTCAGAGGTGCAGGATAGAGAACCTGGCAAGGAAAGGGTGTCTGTTCTTTCTGATGGGGTAAAAACGGCATTGTACTTGTTGACGAGCACATAAAATAACCCATGACAATTAAATAACAAATATATTTTATTTTCAATGTATTACTGAACATATAATATGAGCTAGTGTAACCATAGTGTAATTCATGAATTTCTGTTAAACAGTAAAACAGAGAATGAATTAGGGGAAAGGAATATAGAAGTGGATGAATTAAGACAATCTCTAGATGAAAGACAGAAAGAACTGGATGAACGCGTTCAACAGGTAAAACTTTTTTTTTTCTATCCATTGTTTGTTGGATAAGTGAATCAGTTTATTGACAATATACACAACAGTGATGTATTTCTGTACAAAACATAGCTAAGCCTAAAGATGTACCAATATGTACGCAACCTGTTATCATAATTTTTGGTATCAAATGGTATTGCTTTAGTGCCCCATAAGTGATAGAAAAGTAGGATGTTAAACCCCATTTTAATTGTGATATGTTGTTTGTATTTTAGTTGAATACATTGAGTTGTACTATAAAAGATACACATGAGGAAATGGAGAAGAGAATGGGAAAATTAAACGATACATTACATAAATATGAAATAGAAATAAAAGACAGAACGAAACAAGTAAGTCAGTTGTTCCAACTTCATGTAATAAAATTCAGATTACAATATAGAAATCAGTACATGTTGCTATTGATAGCAGTCAATGGTCAAATAACATTATGAACTAGAATTTAATTCTTTCTCCAACAATTTAATTACAACAAGGATATTAATAAAAATTATTCGCATTGTTTTAACTTGTCATCTTCAAATACGTAGTGAGCTACTGACATAGAATTTATGTATGAGCTTTAATGGGGTCATCAGCGAATTGACATAGAATTTATGCATGAGTTTTAATGGCGTCATCAGCGAGATCAAATGAGTCTCACTTTCTAGCCACATAGCATAATGAACACAGATAAAGGAGTCTTTATGCTCGATGTATCCTTAATGTAGTTCAACAAAAAGGATACAAATGCTAGTTAAGGAAGTCTATTTGTGGTCAAACCGTACCTTTTGTGGAACATTCTCTTGCCAACTATCAGTACATTGGTAGTATTTGAAATATTTTCTTCATCTTAAATTTAGGAATAGTTCAGAAATGTTCCTGCTAACTATAATAGTATTTAACAATATTTTTATTGTCTGCCGCCCTTCGGAGAAAGCAGGGGGCTATTAGATAGGGTTCGTTCCTATGTCTATCGTCTGTCACACATTTTGGAACACAATAACTTTGGGAGAAGGTTAGTAATTTCTATGAATTGTCCTAATCCCTTTGTAATTTATTTGCAATAAAATATGTTTTAAAAACTAATAACTTTGCTTGTAATTGACTTGTTTGTTTTGATTAGATTGCAGATTTAGATGATACATTACACCAGACACGTAGTCAATTACAGGAAACTACGTTAAACTGGAAACAAGCAGATCAACAGGCACAACGACAACAGATTGAATTACAAGCGACGTCAGCTAAACTATCAGAACTACAAAAGGTAAGAAGATTGGCTTGGGCATAATGTATAAATTCACAACTCTTTCCATAAAGGCCCGGTCCCACTGCACTTACAGATGCAAAGAGGATGTAAAACGGGGGAAAAAACGTGCATTCCGTTTGAAAATGCCATGCAACCGTTGTGTACTCATTGCATACGTGTTTCATACGCTCTATCCATCGAGCATCCGTTCACTTTGATTTCATCCGCGCAAAAAGTTTTGAGCTGCACAAAACTTTTATAACGGATGAACTTTTCTGCCGTGTAAGATATAAATGCACGACATATACGAGCACCATACGTTCCATGTCCGTTATCATTCGTTAAACGTCCACTGTATCCTCTCTGCATCCTCTGGGCATCCTCGCAACTCACATACGCTCCAGCTGAAAAACGGAAAGAGGGAGGAAAGATAAGGTACATGGAACGTCTATACATCGTTAGTAGCACGGAAATAGAAAGGATGTAAGCGTATGCATCTCGTATATAAAGTTTTCAAAACGGACAAAGCGTTTGTATCTGGGATGTATCTAGTTTATTGAAGGATGTCTGGAGTTTGCCTAACCCCTTCGGAGCTGTCATCCACTTCCATCCGCTTTCATCCGCTAGACTTCCAATGAACATCCATTTAACATCCCCGCTACATACTTCCCACGTTCGTTCTTTTCCATTCTGTTTTCGCAAATTTTCATCAATTTTGTCCATTTTTGGAGCAGATGAAAACAGATGGAGCCACCCCCGAAAGTTTGCTCATCCGCTGTGTCCTTTTTGCATACGTTTTGTGTCCATCGGCCACTGGGACCTGGCCTTAACCCTGAATCTTTGTTTAATGGTTTACTAAAGCTCAAGGTTACTTTTAAATTTCAAGACCTCCCTAGTTATAACTTACATATAAAATAGATCCTGTATGTGATATTCATGTAGAAAATAAATATTGAAAGTGGACCTCTTAAGAAAGTGAAGCAAGGTAATCAATACCCCAATAGTGAAGCATTCCAAGTATTACTGATATAATGAATTTAAAAACAAGCCGAAGCTTATATAAACTCATCTCCATGTAAAATATACATTTCAATACAATTACTAATCACATGTGACTGTGTCATGAAAAGTAAAAATATATATAATATATTTATCAACAATATCAGTAAATTATCTTTCTTGTATTTCTGTTGGACTGTTCTATTATTTAGCAAAGGTAACAGTATCTCAATATGCTGTGCAATCAACCATATTGTTGTTTTAAGGTGTCTTAAGATTTGGGAGGATACCAATTATACCTTTTATTTCTATAGATGACTGAAAGACAGAAACACAGATTGGAAGAGCAAAAAGAAGAGAATGTTGACATTACACAGGAGCTTAGATTAACCAGGTAACCTTAAAATATGTCATTGATCTTCTGGTTCTTGAGCAAGAATCTGTATTACCTTTAATTTTATATAGTACTAGATGAATGTAGATTATTCTATTATTTTATTATAGATCAGTGGTACTTTACTACATTTTATTTTATACTAGTATTTGACAGAATACTCATCATGACACAATCTACATGCAAGTCGAGTTTTACTTCGTAGCTGCTTTGCTAAATTATAAATTTGTATTTGTATATTGTTGAATACACACAGGGGCCCCTTCACAGTGCCAGACTTAGTGACAGAATCTATATCTATGTTCTTGCTCTACACAAATTTCAGTTGTGCCAAAAAAATTTTTATACGCCCACATGGAAATGTGGTCATATACTGCCGTCACCCCCGCATGTACGTACAAGGTATGTATGTCCATCGTCTATAATTTCTTGTGAACACTCTACCGACTACATTTATCATCTGATATATGCTGTTAACATCAGTGAGATAAAGAAGCCTTTTTAATTTCAATAATTTCCGTTCATTTCTTCTAGATTTATGGCCCTTGTTTGACTTTGTTGAACCTGATGAATGCTCTAACAACAAAAGTTATCATCCAATTTGTATGAAATTTATATGCATCATTTAGATTAGTGAAACGAAGAAGCCTATTGTCGTTAATAGGCTTGTCATTAATTTCTTCTAGAGTTCTGGCCCTTGTTTTTCTTTGTTGAACTTGTGAAAGTTTGAATGACAAAATTTTTCCTTTGATCTGTATGAAATATATATGCATCATTTACATTAGTTAAACGAAAAAACCTGTCGAATTTCAACAATTTCTGTAAATTATAAATTACTTCCAAAGTTAAGTCCCTTGTTTCAGTTTGTAGAACCTTGTGAACCCTCAAACAACGAAAATTATAATCTGATCTGTATGAAATTGTCTTGTAAATGCCCCCAATTATCTACAAAAGAATAAATATACAACAACCCTTGTCGACGATTTAGCTGCTGTGGGCGTATGTTTGTTGCCTGGCAACCTATCTTTACTTTTCTGATCAAGTTTATCAAAGGCAGCCGCTGTGATGTTTATCAACAAATCATTTTAATAAACTGATTAATTTTTTTCCCAGGGAACAGTTACAACAGCAGCATGGTGAATTAATGTTGACCAGACGTGAATTAGCTCAAGCAAATCGTGAACAAGAAAGGTTAATGCGAGAACTAGAAGATACTAATGTAGCATCACAGGTATGCAGAGAATCGATAGGTATTCTAAATGTAGTAATAAAAATGCCCCCCAAAATGCCTTATTTGTCAGATGAATTCCAGTTGGTGGGTTTGGTCAGTGGGTTTCCATATGTCATAAATACTTTCATATGACAACACAAATTGAACACTACATTATACCAATATTATTGATAGTTTTATATATTATGTTTAGAACCAAGAGTCTGATACTGTGAGATTAGCAGAAGAACTGGGAACAGCGAGAGCTCGAGAAGCTTGGGCTGAGACTAAGTTAACAGCAGAAGTGCAACAACTAACTGGTGAATTAGATGATGCTCGATTTCAACTAGAGAAGGAGGTTTGTTAATATTTATATAGGACCATCTTTTTTTTATTACATCCTGTACCTTTTATGTTCATTTCAGCTTTAGTTGATTGTTTTGCTCTATTATCAGTAGTAGCTTGTTTAACAATTACTGTAAATATGTCCTCCATTTTTATCCACCCAACATATTATTGTGTGAATATGCGGTGATCCTCCTTGCTGGATTACTATATTAAGTAATCTATCACTTTCCTGCGTTCTTGACAGTTTATGGGAAGGATTTGAGTTTAGTAATGTCATAATAATATTTTGTATATTACTTAGGTATCCAAAGGGAAAGATTCTGAAAAAGAAATAAAGTCTTTAAGAAATCAGCTAAAAGAAGCTGTTGAAAGTAAAAGGAGAGAAGTAAGTGAACTGGATGAAGACTATAAAGATCAGTTAATTAAAGCTCATGATGAACTAGATTGTCTACAGAATGAATTATTGACACGCAAACAAGTTATAGATGTAGCCAATGAAACTATAGTTATAAAGGTAAAGAATAAAACTGGATATTATTATTGATTGGTTTCAAAATGTTGAAAGACAAGGGCTGTTTATAGGGAAAACTAGGCTCTAAAGCAAATATTCATATTATAGGGGGGGGGGGGGGATTTATTCTTGTATGCTAAAGACAGGGCTACTTTTGTTTAGTGCCAAATAAAAGCAAAGGTCGCATCTTCACCGTGCCTAGAATCTCTTATATGTTGTCTTTTTGTACTCTGTTTTAGTTCTAATATATTCACTACTTCATTTTAATCTTCTTAATATTTAGGAAGCTGAAATAACTCGTCTACAGACTCGAATATCTGGGTATGAACGAGCTGCATTATCTCAAGTTTTGGAACCAAAAGAAACAGTGAAACCAAAAGCTAAGTATCCCACATCAGTCATTTCCAGTAACCAACAACAACAAGGGCAAATTACTCTGACACAAACAGAACCAGAAAGACTCACAAATCAAAATGGACAAAGTGAAAGTGAAACAGGACATAATGGACGTGCTATGTTTCAAACTCAAAATTTTCATCAAAAACAGTTTTATATAGAAGGATTAAGTGAAATTTCCGGTGAAAATATTCTACCTCCCCATATTGCAATGAACAGAGAAAATCCCAGTTTTCAAACTTTGTCAAATAGTTTAGAGCAAAGGCCACCAGTCAGAGTATTAAATTTTGATGGTGAACAAACTACGAACCATTCACAGGCATTGTTACAAATGAGTAATGGATCAATGATACTACCTCATCCTAGCAACAGAATACCAGAGTCTGGTGAATATCCTTATATTCATTGTGGTAAGAATTTTTTTACACATAATCATTCCAAATATATCGGCCATACTGTACTTGCTTGAATGCACATAATCTACAAAAAAGAGGTCTATTCTCTAACAGGGGGGGTTGGATGGCTGAATGGTTAGCACGCAGGCGCTGTATCACAAGGCCTGTCTGTCCAACCTCGTGGGTTTTCTCTGGGTCCTTCGATTTCCTCCCACTGCTAAAGACCCCTACGCGCAAGCGAATTATTGAAATAAAATTAAACCATATTTTAGTCCCGAAATGACCTAGTCTGTTTTGATTTGACGTTAGACCCCATTTCTCTCTTTCTCTCAATACTAAACAGTATCCATAGAAAATTAATATTACTAGTATCCACACAAAAAACATACAAATGATACATGAAATATACACAAAAATGATAATCCATTGCCTAGAGTCACTGTGTAACACAGAGAGAATAAAAAACCAGCAGGTTCTTTTGGATTATAAAGTATAACTTGAATTTCATCTCTATCTTACAATTTCCAAAGTATAGTTATTCACTTGTATATACCAGTTAATTCTTGTCCTTCATCCTTTTAGTTGTTTGCAGTAGTGGAATACTTGTATGCACCCCGGTACTGATTCAGTGGCAAAATTGCCGTCCTTATATGGAACCAAGACATTCCAATTAAATTAACCCTTACTAATTTCATACAATCATAAAAAAAATAGAAATCTGCAAACAAAGGACTTCTCCTAGCAGTTATAATGCCATAAAAATGTAAAGCATTCAGAAGACCCCACAAATCTTTCATTTAGCATCAAAGCCATCTTCTAAAACTAAATTATAAAATATATATCAATGAGTTTGTTGTTTGTGACATCTAGTAATACAATCTACTCAACAATAGGTAAAAAAAATTATTCATGGGTGATAACATCTAAAGTAATTTGGTATATTTTTTTTTTAGATCCAGTTACTGCAGTAGGTGTTTATCAAACCACAGAAGATGATCTAACATTGAGTCCAGAAAATTGGTAAGACAGTTTATAAGCTTTGAAAGTAAGATAATTGTACTTTTAAATGGCTTCCATGTAGCTCCGAGGATAGTCAATTTTTATTTCATAACCCCAAATACAACATGATAAATTCAAACTAGTTCAAAGAGTAATAAATATCATTATCTTCAGATTTTTCCACCTAAAAGCTCTAAAACTAGGAATAGCTATTTATATGAGCATGAAAATTACCAGACAATCTATCTTACATCTCTGTATAATTTAAGCTATCAAGATATTAGAGAAAGATTACGATGTAATGCTTTACGCCAACAGATGATTGAACATGAATTAAAGATGATGGATAGTGAAGAAAATGTTGACATGGATTTAGACAAGTCTACAACTGTTTAATATAATATCTTGTATAGTACAGCAGCACCTTACTATAGGTGGACAGTTTCAGTGGTAGTCAAGGGTCAGAATTCAGCTTTTCTCAATCGCTCCATTTACTACAATGAACCTTGATCTGGATATGAGGTCCCATGTGTATACAGTGTCAAAAGTTTTAGGGACATTTATGTACATATTACTATTGGTTGAGAGGAAAAATGAATTTCACCTCATATTTGAAGTATGCAGAATAATGGAGCAAGACAACAATTGCCATAAGTAATTGTGTGAACTGTATACCCACCCAAATAGCCAGACAGCTGGCATAAGGCTATTTTGTCCAGATCACTATACACTAAGTCGATGTGAAAGAGATCAACAAAACGTTCACCAACTAAATTTAGCAAAAAAGTCAAGAGATATAAACTTAGATAGACCTACTGCTTAAAATAAGCCATGAAAGGAACAGTCAAATTTTTCTTTACAGGTGTCTTTTATTTGTATAATAATAATAATAGACAATGTCAGAGATAATAACCCATACATTTTGATTTAGTATAATTTGATGCCTTATTCAAGCCATATTCAAAAGTAAAATTTTACAAAAGATATATTGATATAAAGTCTTTAAATTGAAACAAATTAAAGTGGATTATTAATATTATTGGTAATATCTGTGTCATGTTCATTAAATTATATAGTCTAATGGCACTATATAGTGAGTGATAAACTAGTCAGTCAAAATTTAATTTAATTGATCAGCAACCAAATAGAAATCCTATGGCATTGAAATTAGAGCAATCAGTCAGTCTTAAGATTGGTAGGTATTCATGTTACTTGGTATATATATATTGCTCAGCTTTAAAATGCAAATACAATGTAGGTAGTAACATACATCTGAAAGATATCCAGTATTAGTTTGCTGATACAGTCAATGTCAGTGCATGTGTACGGCCTGTTTCCCATGTACACATTTTTGCAGAGTTTCCGTGGGCGTTTTCACCGGTCTAATATGTAATGGGACCATTTCCATGTAAACGGCAAAATGCGCACATAGAAAACAGGCTTAATTGTACAAATCATGATTTTATTGAGAATATTTAAAGTCTGTATTATTATTTATATTATATTAAATGATATGTTTACTTTTCAATTATTTTTTCATGATAAAGAAAGAATACTGTTTTGGTATGTGGGTATATAGCTTTCAAAAAATTTATTTGTAGAATTCATACAGTTTTATAAGGATAAGAACACTAGAATTGGATATTATGAATGGTCTGATTATAAATCATAACAACTGATGTCTCACCATAAGTATTTATGCAAATATTCCTTTATACGGTCCAGCATTAAATATTCCAGTCATATTTTGAATCAAAGAAAATGGAACAACTATTCAGTATTGAAGTGATTATATACTATTTAGATAAATATTATCTTATCAAAAATTAAATGTGCTGAAATATATTGTATATTTATATAATTGATGTGTGTGTATATATATATGTTATTTATTTCATGTAAATAAAATTTAATACCGTTTTTAATTTTTGTTCAAACTTGTATTCTGATGGCGTTGCAGCTTTGGGTGCATTTTGGAATATTTAAAATAAAATGTAAAGAAAAAAGCAACCTCTAAGATCATGGGGAAAGGTTATATTAAACGCATTTTATACTGTATGTTTCTTAACTTATATTAGGGAAAATATATAAAGTGAAAATAGAGTTTCTATCTACCCTAACTTTTATATCATTAGTTAGGTCTGTCATTGGCGTGGTTTCGATCACAAGCTTGTAGGTGACAAATAGTGCGAACGCCTGACTAACCTCGTGTATTTTCTCCTTGTTCTCTGGTTTTCTCCCACTGCTAAAGAATCGTACGCACCGAATGTTAGTCCCGAAATGACTTAGTTTGTGTCGAGTGGATGTTAAACCCCATTTCTCTTTCTTTTCTATTTCTTAATGTAAGCAGTGTGTGTTTATGTTTCCGAGCTCTGGTCCCGCGCAACAAGACAAGACGCACATAAATGTGAGGTAACTGATTTGTACCTATATAATTCACACTTTTGTAAAAACCTTTTATTGTCTTTTCCAAACAATTAATTTTCCTGAAATAACACTACTGATAGGGATGGTGAACTGTACTGGTAGTCTTGGCAAAATATTAAAATCATGTTTATATAACACATTTATTCAGAATGTGGTTACCATCCAAACTTGCCGCTGATCGTCATTAAATTTTCCATTTTTGGGGCAAGATCTGGCTCCGAGTTCACAAAGTATTCTCAGACTTAAGTTAAGAATTTACTTAGAATTGTTGGCCTTATTTTTACTAAAACATAGCCCTTTATAAAACTTTTGTTGTTTTAATGTATCAAATACATCAATAAGAAACTATGTGCAAAGTTTTGTGTTTTTGGATCAAAGATATTTCTCATAAACAGTGATTGAAAGTTGAGTAAATTCTTAACTTAAATCTGAGAATGCTTTGTGGTCTCAGCCACTGATTTATAACGACTTAATTCGTGCTAAACTGTGCACAAATTGATTATTTAACATTTAATGAGAAAAATAAAATCAAAATCTCTATGGATTAATTCGGATTAAAAATGTCCCATCAAAAGATTTTAGCGAGAGTTCTATGTGAGCGCAGGGGATGCCGACAGTTGACAAATTTCCAATTCATTATATCTGTAAATACTGAACCCAATTAACATAATCCTTTCAGAGATTCAACTCTCGCAATATTTTAGTCAGCAAAAATCCTTCTAAAGACGACCAGAGACGTTAAACCATAGTTCTGATCAAAAGAACCAACTCATTTCTATGATTATTATGGTAATTGAATAATTCAACGGTAAAAAGTAATGATTTTGCTTATAAAGTTGCAATTGCCAATTTTCAAGTTATAATTTTAAAATGTATTAAAATAAAGCCTTAAAATAGATGGTATCCATAAACAGCCCTTACTTGTTAAAGAATAATCCTATTAATCCTATAATTCGCTATTGCCAGCTGAGAAATTGGCAAAAATATCATTTTTAACTTCAAATTCCAACGTTGGAAAATGGCTGCCCAATGTTGTCAATAGCAAAACAGGGGAGGTAATTGTGTTGTTATTTCCTGTGTCATAGATTTTTAAGGGTGGGAAATAATGCCCATGATCGTATAATTAATAATAGTGATTTGATAACCTATTGAGCAAAAGACAGAAATAATTATGTTTTGACTTTCTTAGAAAATTTGAAATTCTCGCTTTAAAGTGTTGTTGCAATATACTGGACAATTTCGGGCAATTCTTGCTAAATTCTATATATTTCTATAGTATATTGTATAGGCCCGACAGTGCAAACACATCACTATTTTATTTCGTCCACATCAGCATGGCAACAGAAATGACTAAGAGAATATTGAAGGTGTTTATTAGGAAATCAGATGTAAAAGACATTGGGCAAGAAACGATAAATATATACAGTTAAACCAGGGGCCTGTTTCACGAAATTTTAACTAAGATAAAATCCAAATTTTAGTAATTTGATTGGTTAATATTTGATTGATTTTAGTGCTTAGCCAATCAAAATTGAAGTATCTACTAAAATTTGGATTTTATCTTAAGATAAAATTTCGTGAAACAGGACTTAAACTACCAATTAAAACATAGTGGAAGTATTTATCTTTAAGAGTAATAACATAAAACAATACAAAATTAAACAATTAGTTTGAATAGAGAATTATTGCTGAACATGATTTTCCGTTTCAATTTAGATTTAAAAGGTAAGCTTATATAAAGACTTTCAATTTTCCATGGTCGACAAATAATCGTAGACGGGTGAAGTGTACACCCCAACATATTGTCATTGAAGGACATATAATGATATAGCAGATCAAAAAATGAGCTTTTGGCTGTAAATAATCCTTGAAATGTTGTAGGTCTAAAGTTTCGAAATTAAATGCATATTTTGATGTAGATCTTGAAGCTGTCTCTGAACTATTTCCTGTGTTCGTTTTAACAAACGTCTGAATTTAAGAGTATCTTTAAGATACCATAAACTGTTCGTTAGCGGCGGTGGTCCCACTTCATATTGCCTAAACTGTCTTTTTACTGACTGAAAAACAAAGCGCAAGAACATTTTGATGAAATTAACACATCAATATATTATATATGCACTTAATCCTGATAAAGACTTCAGCAATGCCAGTAACCCGCAATATGACGGAAGCTTTATTGCAACTTTGCAAATAATAGCAAACCTTTTATACATACAAAAAAAAAAAAAAAAAAATCCAGAACACATCCAGTGTGATATTTATTATCTGAAAATTGGTTTAATTAGTGGAAAGGTAAAATTGGCTCACCCATTCAGTGCTTTTGCCAAAATCCAGGTGACTAAACTTCTAGTTTGTTGCTGAGCCATTTCCACCAATCCACTAAATGTGTTAAACCATTTTTTCTGAAATGGACGAATTGACAGTTCGTTTATGACTTATGATGTCCCCGTGTTTTTTCTGTGATGTTATCGTGTGATACGACCCCCTGCATTTACTGTTATTATAAGGTAACCATGGCAATTTCTCTTCTGGTTTCGGGTTTTTTTTGTGACCCTTACACAAACAAATTGAATGATAGTTACCTCCACTTCTTTGCGTTCTTTCTTGTATGTTTTATGACATTTATTAGACGATTTGCTATGTCTTTTGTTGGTTATGTTAGACCTTGGTTTACAGTTTCCCAGGGAGGTACTCGTCGGTGTCATTTCCTGTCTAAATCTACAATAATTGACAAATTTATGTGTTCATCATAAACCCCGAGCCCACAATACGCAGATGTTTTCTGCTCACCATGATATTTTCACACTGGACGATTATCTTTAAATATCTTTTGTCCCGACCGATATTCGATCTATACTAAGCAGCAAAAGAAACGTCAGGTTGGTATGTTACTCTGAATAGACGCATTGCATAAAACTTGCCAAATGTTTTTATTGTATATTTGTGGCCACATCTCCAACTTTACTTTAGCAATAAGGCTCCTTCCCAAACACAGAATTGAACCCAGGAAATGTTCTCAATAACGCAACCTGACTTCTGAGATGGTAATGTGTTCTCCATGATTTCATGTAACTCATGTTGCACGTGCTGTTCACCGGGACCAGCTCTATAAAATGCACCCCATACCTGGTTGAATCATTCACACTACAACGCCAGCAGCATGCAACGACTCACGACAGTTCAGAGGAAGCCGTTGCCAATCACTTCCAGGTCAATGTTCGACCATCTACAGGCTTCAGCAACGGTTTCGGGCCACCAACACCGCGGATGATCCCCCCCGAACTGGTAGACTAAGGGTTACCACAAGGCGACAAGACCGCCATGTTGTACGACAGCACGTGCAGAATCCCTTCACACAGGCATCTGAGACAGCACGTCACAAAGTGGGAACAATTTGATTAAAGTGCCTCTCTGATTTTGAAATCGTAGACTTTTTTTTTTTGCTGTTTAGTATATTATATTTATATGTGGCATGCAGGTATAAACCACTTTCATAAAACATAACATCGGTTAATTTAATCCTTAAATAATTTTATTGAATAATCTATGCATACTCAGAACTTGTACCAGCGGTAGAAGCAACACAACGATCATCTGATACACCTACATCACCACTGGCATAACATGGAACCCTTTGCTCTTCATGGCGGGACCTCTGGTATGCTCGTCTGTGACGTCGGCTGCTAGGCTCTATCTGAAGGTAGTGTATAATATAATAGATGACCAAGAGTTCGACATATTTTAGAGTTAATGTGAATTTTACATTACTTTAATTCCCATGTTTGCAGATAAAAGTTTAAAAGATGATCAGAATTCCGTACAATATACAATCGCTAACTTCAATCAATCAAATGAAAAATTGGATTGGACAGCCACAAAATAAAATTTTACATATTTGAACATAGTTTGTCCTATACCACCCGTATTCACATTGGCGTACACGTAAAAGACCCATTGACAGTAGGCGTTATGTGTCATATTTGGTTGATCTCACTTACTAGTATTGTCTTGTGAGATTGGAAGTTCTGCTTATACTGCTATTGACCGTTGTCCCTTACCCAGGGCCTATTTTATGGTTTTATTGACGAAGTTTTTTGATTGGGTTTCCCCCCTTTGGTTTCCGACAAAATTTCCAAAACGTGACTCACGATTTTCCACACAGAACTTTGTAGCTCAATTTAGCTTCTTCCATCACCGTTATTAGCTCTAATGTGTTGGAATAAACCGTCTGAAATCGTGACCAATTAGTTGTGACCAAAACAAAGGCTCACCAGAAGTGAAATAAAAAACTTCCTGAATTATCACCAGGCTTACACTTTTAAAACAAAACAAGCGGTTGGCATACACGATACGCCGAGATTCTGTAAGATATGGATAGGGAACAGGGAAAATCGATAGGGCTCAACCTCTCATTGTCCCAATGCTACACATCGAATATGAAACTTTAGCCTATATCGCGTTCACAAGGCCTAAATTAAAATTTGCATACTATTGACATTTGCATTTATAGCTGCGTATCGGTATTATTGACAGTCCAAAGAAACGCCCAAAAGCAGACGAACCTTTACTGTAACATGCAGCTGACTACTTGCGCCAACAACAGCTTTATTTTTCGACATTTACATACAATCCACGAAATTGAATCGAAACCAAACGCAGTGATTGATGATCACAATGATTGTTAATGACACACTTGCTAAATTTCCTCATGCAATCTTTTCAGATTCACAAGGATACATAACATACCATGATACCATCTTTTCAAAGCACGGATTTTAGATTCTCCAAGCACGGATTTTTCATTTCGAGGCACGTCCGTGTCTGTAGGCACGTTAAAATAGGCCCTGACCTTACCAGTGCGTTTTATGCGTAAGCAAGGGGAGGGGGGCGATAATCGTCTTTTAGTTACTTATTTATTGGTATCAAAATTCCGATTATCAGTTCATGCAAACTATTTCAAATATTAAATTGAATGTAGAAAAACTATAGATCTTAGTACTAAAGTTGTACTGAAGAATATCATGAAAACGAAGCACTCACATCGAGAGCGGAGGTATCGGGTGGAACTAATTCTGTATCAGGACTAGGATACCATTCTGCAGGAATATCGTAAACGTCAGCATCAGGTAACGGTCGAGTACGGCCCACGGCTGTAATCAAATAATTTAAGATAAGAAAAATGTTACTCCAGTGTGTTGGATTATAACTTAGCTAAAACGAATTATTTACAGTGGCTGATTTAGGACACGCAAAAAAAAAAAAAAAAAAATATCTCGAGCGCCATCCCATGCTCATCACTACCACTGAATATTTCCCATTATATCAATCCCCTTCCAAGTGGGGAGTATATCGCAAGCTTTATTATACGAACCAATAGTTGTATATCGAGATTACAGAGTTTTGCTAAGAGAGACTGACATCTAGAATCTCAGGTCTGTTCCAAGGTTATTTCATGTAGGAACTGGTCATTGCCTAATTTACCCACGCTATCGTGTGGGCTTTTTTGCGTCCTGCTTCTCTGCACCAAAACGGACACCGGCTACGTCTTGCAATTGCTATGAGACATTTTACCCACTCATCTTCGAATTCCATCTGCTAAAGGTTCTTTTACATGCCCGTCAATGTGTACACGGGGCCTTGTTTTTCGTTCTAGCCGAACGACTAGATGATATTTCTTGCCAGACCACCTATCCTGTACCACTGAGTAACCCAGAAAGGAGTGACTCTCTCGGCCAACATCAGGACATGGCCTGTCATGCAAGTTTCCTCTCAGGGTTCAGCGATTTCTTTCAATTTTAGTTTTAAGTTTATTTCGGCCAGGAGGCTCACGTCTCCGCTATAATCCGCTTCTGAACCAAATAGATACCCACGTAACTTATTGCCTTATATTTTATACTTTTCCTACAAAAGCAAACGAGCCAAGCCGGGTACCGAATCAAACCCCAACACCGGTGCCGCAAGTTCGGAGTTCTCCTAAATGCCCACAATATTATGAGATTAAAATTAATGTCAACTCATTTAATCGACGCAAGGAGGAGGCATCCCCTTTTTTTCTAAAAACTAAATGGTCGAATTTAATTCATGTGTAATTAGACTAATTAATTACAAATATTACAAAACAATAACTTTCGTTACGTTTGTGCAGTATTAAAATTAAAACATACCGTTCGCTGTAACTAGTGGTAAAAATCTATCTGGTATGATATTCATAAAGTCATAATTTTCAGGTATTTCTTCGTGTACGTTTCCATCTCCATCCATTGGTGGAAGTCTAGGTCTTAAAGCCATATTTGTCGTTTGTTTTTTGTGTGATAAATTAGCAGCCAATACGGATTATTTTCTTGGAATTTTACGAGTCCCCACTCTTCATCTTGCCCTCGGCATTGCTATGAAATTTAAACGCTGACGTCATTTCAACACAACGCAACAGATGACGTATAGTTCATAGACTTTATGACTTCGTAAGCTATATTCCATCCCTGATGATTAATAATAATCACTTTATTTCGAAAGGGTAGACATTCAGGACAGACAGGCCTAAAGGTAGCAAAAATCAATCGGGCGAAAAACCAAAATAAAAAAAATAATAAAAATATTTGTCGATCCATCAAAAATGTGCAAAGCCCACGATTAGAGTTTTCTGGATTTTTTTACGCGTCATTATTAATTGCAACAAAACCAGTGAAAAACTAATTGAAAGATCTTAATAACTTTTTTAATTAAATATTTTAAATGTTGCACCTAACAAAGCATACCTTCTGTGGTGCCCCCATTACCATGATACCCCAAGCACGTGCTTAGTTTGCTTAGTGGTTACTCCAGCACTGTTTACTGGGGGGACTAGGCTACTTTTACACTATTTGCGTACAGGGAGTGGCTATTTTGTTGTGCAGTTTCCGTCCGAATTTCACGAAATTCGAACTCGTCAATCATTACGGTGCAACATTGTAACCTTTATATGGCCCACAAGCTAAAAACGTGATTTTTCATACAATCAGGGGCCAATATCGAAAAGAACCAAGATCTTTGGGTTATAAACCTATATTTCAAGTTTCGTTAAAATCGGATAAGAATTATGACCTGTAGAGTGTTCATATACAAAATGTGAACGGACGGAGAGGGACAACAAAATACGTCCACATGAAAAACAAATAATTATCTCAATGTTTCTTTTTAATTTTTTTTTGGGGGGGGGGGGGGGTTGTAGCGACGTTAACGTACCTACAATTTCCCGCATAACGTTGATCGTGTACCTTTCGGATTCAGCAGACCGTTTACCGATTAAGGGATAGTAGGTGTGTCACAATCGGAACAAAATTTGGGTCGGGTTGTTTCTGAGGCTAAATTTGTCACTGAAGACGATTATGAGATGATTTCTCTTCTGTGACGTCATTTTCGGTTGGGTTTATGTCTAATTTCCAAAATGGCCGCCAAATTTTGACGAAAAATTAATTTCCAGATAGGGTGAGTGGGTATCACGCAAGGTATAGCTTGTAATATATCATATATAAGGTTTTTGTAGTCACTGAACCTAAAAAAAATCTTTAAAACTAGTTTCCCCAAATCCAATATGGCGGAAATTCAAATGGCGGCCAAAATTTACATAAAATGACCGATTTGTGAGATAATATGTAATTTAACAGGTTTTCAGTGTCACTGAACTTAAATTCATTCTAAGAAAAAATAAAGAGTTTCCAAAATCCAAGATGGCGGCAATTCATAATGGCGGCCAGAATTTTATTTCCCTAAAATGGTTGATTTTTTGGATAATCGACATTTTTCTGTTTAATATAGCTAGTTATATGCGATTTAAAGGATGTTCGGTGTTACTGAACTTAATTTATAAATACAACCTCAAAAGAAGATCGAGTTTCCAAAATTCAAGACAGCGACCAAAATTTCCCTAAAATGAACGATTTTTCAGATAATTGTCATTTTTTCTGTTTTGTATGGCTTGTAATAAGGTTAGAAATAATAATGTTATCTTAGCTCTAGTTAGATATGGTTCTCCACTACTGATGTCTCTTACTCCAGCCACACAGCGCGACAACATTGTAGCTATATATATAAAAGCTTTATTGGGAATGTTAATCACTTTACTCACAGTCACCCAATGAACATCTACATGTACATCATACATTCTACCTCAATTAAAAACAGAGTTGTAACGTTGTGTTCCAAAATCTTGACCAATCAAATTGCTTTTTGCTATTTAGCCTAAGCAGATACTCATTATCGAACTTTGCTAAGGTATTGATGTAATGAAACTATAGATATACCAAGTTTCATCACTCTCACTGAATTAGGGGGATCACGTGGCTAAGTGGGTAAGACTAAGACGCTGGCTCACTAGCCTGGAGGTCGGGTGTTCGATCCCTGCATTGGCCGAGAAAGTTCATCCAGATTTTCCAGCGTGGTTCCCCCTTGTCAGTGATGCTGGACAGAGGGCCTGACAAGGACAGCTGTCTAGTCCTTTGGATGAGACAAAAAACCGAGGTCCCGTGTATACATTGGAATGCAAGTAAAAGATCCCTTGGCAGTTGGAATTCGATATAAGAGTAGGCGATAGTGCCGCTGCCCGGGCAAAATTTCCCTCATAGCACACTGTATGGCGTATGCCCGTCTTCATTAGCCCAGCATAGGAGCAGAACAGTAGGATGTTAAACCCCATTTCATTTCATTTCACTGAATTAGAACTAATATTATCGTGTCCCAAAGCATAAACCAATCAAATTGCTTATCTCTGCTTACCCCAAGCAGAAAATGCTCAGTATTAATTTGTAGATTGAATTTTCAAAACCAAACACTAGCTTTTTAAAGACACAAAGAAAATGTCTGACGTATAAATATCACAGATCACTTGATGTAAATTGTTTTATACATAAATATAACATTTAAAACGTATCACAATAAATATATCACATGCGGCTTTACATATTCTGTCATCCTCTTAATATTTAACCCTTGTCTTAGTTGTAATTTGACATAATAGTATTTATTGTAGGTATGAGGTCACCCTACTTGAAAGGTTAGTTCCATTGAGACCAAATCAAATACTTTTTGTATCTGAATTATGCTCCATATTATCCTGACAAAAAATTCAAAAATATAATGGCAAACATATTAAACAACATAGGGATGTAAACGTCATACAATAATTTCTTCCACGCTATTCACACAAGCAGAACAGTAGGATGTTAAACCCCATTTCATTTCATTTCCATTTACACAAAAATTTAACAAATACAAGAGTTATCTCCCCATACTATAAATTTTACTGAAAAAGGGGTAGGTAATACAATTATTAACAAGGTTTAGTTCATCGACTATTAGTGCATTAGTCTATTCAAGAGTAAATCGTTGTGTTCAGTATCAATCATCATGCCTCCGATATAATTTAACTACATCATTGTGTAATCACATTTTAGGAAACAGTCTATATGTTCACAGTTAGTCTAATGTTTTTCTATGAGGTAGTTTTTTGTGTTTTGTTTCCCAGTAAATCTAGAGCCTTTTCACATGGAGTCATTATATCCTGAAATAAAATAAAAAAATAATTTACATTAGTTTTTAATATATCAGTATGCATTTTACATACAGCAAATAAAAGTATGCCTGTTTATAAACTCTTTGTTGTCAATCGAAAGCTCTATATTTTTTTTTTTTTAAGGCAGTTCAGGTTTCTCATCTAATTTTTTGGCAGCAGTTAAAAACTAAAGTTAAAAACAATTCAAGACTTAAACCAATGACCTTCAAAGGAGACAGATGAATTAACATAAGCCCTTTGGCTTGTTTTTAAATCCTTACTATTTATTGACATGTACTTAGGGTAACATGAATCTAATCCCAACAAAATATTGTTTAAATCAAAAGATTTCATAATACATTTGGCAAAAGAAAATGTTCTGCATGTAGTTTGCTGTAACCATTTTTGAAGCAAGGTGTTTTTGTTTATAATTTAGTCTTACCCTGGTAGGTTTAAATCGTTTATATATCTCTGATAAAACAACTGGTCCAACACTTAAATAACGTAACTCAGCATTCACATCATCTAAACAAACAGGCAACATGCAACGTTATAAGAGAAGCAACACAAAAACTAGGGAAAAACAAGAAATTATTGTGGCGTGAATGTGTGAATTAAAGTAGCACAGCATGCCATGTAAAAAATGTGGCAAAAAAATGACATGAAGTCATATATCATAAAAAAAATGACATGATGTCATGTAGCATAAACGAGTGACATGATGTCATAAACGAGTAACATGATGTCATAAATGAGTGACATGATGTCATAAACGAGTGACATGATGTCATAAACGAGTGACATGATGTCACATATCATAAACGAGTGGCATGATGTCATGTAGCATATAAACAAGTGACATGAAATAAAGAATAAAGTCATTTGGTTTGAAATCATGTGGTTGAGTTATCAGGAATAAATATGTAACATGAGTATTGATACTCAATAAAAACTGATAAATGTGATATAATAAATGTGACATATAAATGAAATAATTAATCTGTAGCAGGTATTTATATGTACAAATACAGACAATATGCACACAATAATTTCTTGTTATGAAAGTAAAATAATAGTAATAGGTTATGTTACAATTACAGGAAGTTGTGTTTTAATACAAAAGTAAAGTCAGGTCAACACAGTATTTCAGTCATTTTGAAAGTAACATATGACTAATTTTAATTTTTCTCGGAGAACAGCATTTCTGCGTAATCTTTTTGAAATTAAATAGAAATGCAATAATTTGATGAACACATTTATAACATTTTTACCCGAATTTGAAACAAACTAATATTAAAAAAGGAATAATTAATAAGCAGGGATTGGATTAATAAAACCACCAAACATAATTTTTGAAACAAAACAAGGATAGATATAAAGGCACAGTATTCTAGACACATTAAAAGTAGTCTTGTCAAGAAGCATTGGTCCTGAAATTATTATATTTGATCAATCCTAATGTAAGTGATGAACTTTTCAAATTCCAAATCATTTCTACTGATTTCATGACATAGAACATCAGTCACCTCATGAAGAATAACTCATTTCTGTCCATGAACATCAAGGATAAGATGGTATCTAACCCATTTATCTATTACTATCTAAAGAATGCCTTTCAGCCTTTACGTTTGTTGAATTTAAATAAGAAAAAACAATTATTAAGTGTTGAGATCTTAATAATACAGTAAATTGAAATTCAAAATTACAAATTTAAACAAAAGAGAGACAAAATACTTCAATTTCAAAAAGGCACGATTGCTTACAAGTACAAGAAATCTGAATCCACAACACCAATTCTTGATTAGGATTTGGAAAACAGAATCTTTAGATCCATAGATTAAATTTGAATGAATAAAATAAGCCATCGATGGAAAGTATAAACGCTAAGAAAATCCCCCAAAGCCGACAGTGAGGTTGACGTCGCAACACCTAAATCCAAAAGTAGATAGATAATATTCATTAATTACACAATTATCTTCTTATAAAGCATCAATCAATCACTCTGCTTAACCTGAGCAGAAAATGCTCATTATCGAACTTAGTCAAGGTATTGATGTAATGGAACTATACACCAAGCTTCATCACTCTTGACCAATCAAATGGGTTAATTAACCTGAGCAGAAAATACTTATTACAGGTAATGATGTAATGAAGATATAGAACAAAATGCTCATTGTCCAACAGTCAAGATGTTCACTTTATGAACATCGACACCATGTTTGAACATTCTACCTTAATTAGAACCAGAGTTCATGAGTTCTGATGTCTTAACCAATCAATATTCATCATCAAACTCTGTAAAGACATTCATCTAATGAATATCTACGCAGTGATAAGACAGACGAAAGGCAGGGGACAAAAACAAACCCCAAACATTATGATAGTAATGGATTCTTTTGCAACCTGGAAAACAACAATGTCCAACACAAAGACAACATTTTAGAATTATGTTAAACAGAATTAATAAGCTGGGAGAAAAACACATCATATAACCAGGGAAAATATAAAACCAACTACAAACAACATGAACAAACATTTCCATCAGTCTCTTCCCATGTCTCCTACCTTAACCTGAGAAAATTTACTATGCATTTCTTTCACAGATTCGTCAACATGATAACTATTCATATCATTACACGCTTCCTCTAAAAACAAATCATACATTATATAACATAATTCGACACAATATAATGGTCACTTTTTTTACTTATAAAGAGACACATGCCCTAAATTTCAACAGTGCCTAATTTTTCAGTATATAGTGAGGTAATTTTCCATAATAGTATGTAATTGTCATACCTCCCAGGAAAGTAATATTATCCTAATATATAAACTTTTGGTATAAGAAATAATCATCTAATTTAATCCACACTGTGCTAATCTCATAAAATGATTTCCTAATTATTGCATGATTGAGGAAGTCAACTTTTAAAATACGTACCATATTCAGCGAGTTCTACTATTAGGTTAACTATTGATTCAACAACCTCTGCATTATCTTTATGTACTTCATATGATTTGATTATAACAGGTATACCAGCTACACCATCCACATCTTCTGCCGTTAAAACACGATAGGCACATTCCTCTGTAAATATATATCAACATGAAAAAAACAATATATATATAATATATTATTCTAAGGCCAGAATATAATAAATAACAGGGTTGGTCAGTCAGTCAGAAAATCATTTTATTTCTATGGCGTTTGTGGGGTAAGAATGAAGCAAAGTCAAAAGATAAGTTGATGGTTATAAAAAGGTGCAACATATACATATATACATACCGTCAACTACCAGGCTAGTTAAAGCCATACAAGAATTCTTGACCACTTTTGACTGTTTCATATGACTTGATATACCATTAATTAAATGACCCACACAATCTATCTCATTTACATATTCTAATATACTATCTGCAATATAAAACCAATATACTATCTACATCATAACTGATTAATGATAAAATAATTTTCTCTTTGACTTGATTAATTCTCATTCATTTCTCATTAAACCTATTGTTGCATTTAAAATACCATAAAAAAAAAAGCCTTAAAACATACAATCTATACAAAGTCCTACCTTGCAAAAAAAATATCCTATTAATCCTTTAATTCATTCTCATTTGAGAAATTAACAAATATATAATTTTCAACATTGATCTTTGCCAATTTCATGAAGCATATAGCTATAGAAAGCATGTGAGGTTATTTTGCTACAATTTCCCATGTTATTATTATTTTAAGTGCTAGACAGATTCCCATGATTGTATTATAGTGATTTACCTATTATTTAAGTAATAGATATAGAAATAATTGTTGAATTTCTTAGAAATTTTTTGCCTTAATGTTAGATGGTTACTGGTATAATAAATTCTCATTGATAAAATTCAAAATGATATAAATATAATTATATTCAATGATATAACTAATTTTCAATGACAACAGATTCTAATTGATTCTCAGTGTATACCGACCGGTTGCCAATTCAAATAAGCTTATAATCCATGATATTATTATAATTGAAATAATTAATTCTCACTGATATCATATTTTCTCAGATTATATTTTATTCTCATTGACATAACAAAGTCTTGGTAGTCTCTTGCTAATCTAACAGATTCTCCGACAGACAGTTCTCATTTATCTTAATCGTTAGATTCACATAACAAATTTTCATAAATATTAGATTTTCACTGAAATAACTGATTCTCCCTGGCATGACTTATTCTCACCGACATAACAGATTCTCACAGACTGAATATTTTATGAAGTCTCACCATCTAGAGCAAGAGACACAATGGCCGCTGCAGCAGATTCCACCACATCTGGTAATAAAATATGATTCTCTAAAATATTGCTAACATCTTTTAAAGCTTTACTGTTGGAGGCCAACAACAGATTACTTTCTGAAATAAATATATTGACAAAATTACTATCACACATTTTCAGAACCTTTATTTATGGGGAGGGGTCCAGGAAATATGCAATGGAAATATTTTGAGATAAGAACAACCGGTGACTATCAAAACTCAATGGAAAAAGGACAATGTATTTAAATCCAGTAAATATTTTTTAAAGATCAAAAATTCATAAAATCATTTGGTCAATGGTCAGTCACTTTACAGATATTATGCATACCGTTGACTGCTAAACTCCACAAGGCACTACAACAAGTAGCACATAGTTCTGAGTTATCTGGATACATTCTAACAGCTGTTAATATATTCTCTATACCTCCAACCTGACCTATTACTTCTGATGCTCCACCTGTAGTAGAAATTAATGCAATTAAATATATCACTTTAAGGAATAATACCGAAATACAATCATGGCAGTGTCAACTTCCCGGGAATGATGCAACTTTAATTACAATTTAAGATCACATTAAAATTATAAGTCTGGAACTTTGAAAGTGAATGAACGGCCATAACTTTCATCAAAAAAGATGTGGAAAAGAGAATGTTCTTACCATCTGCAGATAGTGCCATCAACAGAGCTGCTGCTATTTGTTGTAATTCAGGGCATCCCATATGTTGCTTTAATATAAAAGGCACAAACAATAAACATACACAGGGAAAGTACATTAAATCAAACAGGATTAAATGGATTTTGTCAAATATTACAGCTATGATTAATGACACAATCTGCACTAAATTCAAAAGCTGACCATATGAACTGTCAATGCAACAAATATAACATGCTGAAACATTGTATTTAATTCAGGTAACTTTACTGAAACAGGTAAATAAATAAGCTCTGGTTATCCTGGCAATACCAGTATTTATTTTCAAACATGGCTGGCAGAAATAGTGTCAAGTTAAATCTTATTAATAAAGCAGATATTATAATCACTTTGCTGTAGAGTCTTGAAATAGTGAAATATTTCATGGTGACTAAATTCACAATGCACTTTTAACATTTTTGATATTTTAAGACTGAATAGGTCCACATTTCACAAAGAACAAGATCAATCATAACTTTATTACTAATTTTGAAATCAATCATTACTACTACAGGGATATGATGGGGATTCGCTGTTTATCTTGAATAAAGTTTGTATGGTTATTTTACCTTCATGGCCACAGGTACAACAGATATTATTTCAGGTGTATATAAAATATCTCCTGCATCAGCTGTAATAAAATCACAATTATATAAAAACTGGCATACTTTTTCGAAAGATCTAATGACCGTCTTTGATTTAAGTTTGTATTAAGTGTTGAATGGGTTGTTTGGGGTCACGGTGGCTAAGTGGGTAAGATGCTGGCTCGCAAGCCTGGAGGTCAGGTGTTCGATCCCTGCATTGGCCGAGAAAGTTCATCCAGATTTTCCGGCGTGGTTCTGCCTTGTCAGTGATGCGGGACGGAGGGCCTGACAAGGACAGCTGTCTGGTCGTTCGGATGGAACGAAAAACCGAGGTCCCAGGTACACATTGGCGTGCACGTAAAAGATCCCTTGACAGTTGGAATTCGATATAAGAGTAGGCCGTAGTGCCGCTGTCCAGGCAAAATTTCCCTCTTAGCACACTGTATGGCGTATGCCCGTCTTCATTAGCCCAGAATAGTAAGACGTTAAACCTCATTTCATTTCGTTGAGTGGGTTGACCGATGTGTTATCAGTATGAGTTCCTTAATCTTAACCCCTTGGCACTTGCGTCTAAAGGACATTTGCCTTTATGTACCATTCCACTTCAGAGCCCTACCAAGGTCCTGTGTAACATTAGATTGTACGTAAAGATCCCTTGTCAGTTGGAATTCGAAATAAGAGTAGGCTGTAGTGCCGATGTCCAGGCATATTTCCCTCATAGCACACTGTATGCACACGTATATCCCTCTTCATTAGCCCAGTGGCAGCACAACCGTAGGACGTTAAACCCCCATTTCATTTCATTTTCATCCCAATTTGCACATTAACTTCATGTAAATAATCATTTCATGTTGTCCCTGCTCACCTTTGACTATTAAATTATTCAAAACTGTGCATCCAGCAATCTGAACACCTTTATCATTAATATTATTACGCATCGCCATGGCAATCAGCTTTTTACTCTTATCATCCAGTAAAATACAATCTTCTTTCTCTGTAAGACCAACAAGCTGTTCTAAACCTTCCCGCACATGTGTTTCATGATCTATAGATTTAGCGATATGTTCTAGTATAGCAAGTAAACCCTGAGCTTCTGGTGATAAAGAACCTATAAAATAATATAATTAAACAATTTATAACATCTATGATTCAATTTTATTCAAATATTTTGATTGTATAAACCAATTCATCTTTCTCAGAAATGAGAAATTTATAAAGAAATAACTTCCTTTAGCCTGTGGTTTGGGAAGAAAATGTGGAAATAATGTTTCAGCTGTTTGGTGAGCAAAGATATTTCCTTATTCAGTCTGTGTATGCTTTTTCACCAAACATCCTCATGTTTACTCTATAGTCATTCATCACTGGACTTGAAAGAATCAAGTATGACCAGTCAAAATTAATTTTAACATTCACAACTCTTAAGACTTAAGAAGCAGGGGATATGTCAAATTTGATTTTGAAAACAGTTGTATTTTCACACCCAGTTTTTGACTTTAAAGAGAGAGAGAGAGAAATGGGGTTTAACGTCCACTCGACACAAACTAGGTCATTTCGGGACTAACATATGGTTTAATTTTATTTCAATAATTCGCTTGCGCGTAGGGGTCTTTAGCAGTGGGAGGAAACCGGAGGATCCGGAGAAAACCCACGAGGTCGGACAGGCGACTCTACTCCTTGTCACTTACAACCGGGGATTCGAAACCACACCAGTTGACTCAATGACAGGCCGTATGATACAGCACGCACGTGCTAACCATTCGGCCATCCAACCCCCCTTTGACTTTAAAAACCCAATGTAACAGTTGCATCTAAAATATGACTTACTAATTGTGTTTCTACTTTCTGCTTGTCTTTTTCGTTTTTCTACCATTAAGACATCACTCATTTCTACACATTGTTTAATATAATTAATCTCTAACAACTCTCTACAATAGAAAAATATCAATTACTTTCAAATTAATTAACACCAGATATTATATTAATTAGGAATTTAACGCGACTGCTTATAATTACCAGGATAATCTAAGCAGTGGGATGGGAACATGACCTATTGCGGGAGACTTCTGAAAGAATGAATTTTGATTGTGGCTTGGGAATTCTCTACACATCATTTTAAACCAAAATTCTATTAGTAAGAGAGATATGACATACAAGTTCATAAATAACATTTTCTGATTTGGGATGTATTTTCTGCACCACAGTGTAATACAAGGGAAAATAGTCATGGACAGCGGCATTTCCACCTACTCTTCATCAAATTCAAACTGCCAAAGATACACAAGACATCGGTTTTTCGTCAAATCTGAATGACACTGTTCCTTATCAGCCCCTCCCCGACTGACACCACTGACAGGGGAAAACCATGGTGGAAAACCCTGAGGAACTTTCTTGCCCAACACTGGGATCGAACCCCAGACTCCTTGTTAGAAAGCCAGTGCCACAGTCAGACAATTATTTTAAGACCAGTTTAAAATCACCAGGGTTTTTAAGACAGGATCGTGTTGCATTCACACGTACTTTAAGCCAAACCAGTTTAACTATTCTGAACTCTTCGGTCAGGGGTTAGAGTTTAACTACGCATGGGTAGCTTCATATTCTTTATTCCGTTCTTGCACACATCTGTGGACATTATATACCCATTTTCCTGATAGATAGAAAATACTAGAATATGAGAAAACAGGTGATATATTTAAACGATTTTTAAAATCGAATAAAAACTGTAACTTATAGAGAGTTCACAAGCTCAAATTGCAATTTTTTCATACAACTGGGCGCCATAATCCCGGAACTTACGGCCCGATATGCGCAAATTTCGAAAGATACCAAGATCATTGAGGTGTAACGGTGATATTTTTAAACGTTTTTTTAAATCGGATAAAAATTGTGACCTCTAGGAGGACCACAAGTTAAAAACGCGACCAGGAATTGTTGTACACACGCGCAAAATTGTGACCTCTAGGGGGACCATAAGCTAAAAAACAAGACCAGGAATTGTGGTCCATACACGCGAATATTGAAAGGAACCAAGAAGTTGGGTTATAAACATACATTTCATCTAAATAGGATAAAAAATGTGATTTTTTGTACAATCAGGGGATAAAATCCATGAAGTTTCGAGCTGATACATGCCAATATCGAAAGGAACCAAGATCTTTTGGAAATAAACCAAAATCGGAAAAGAATTGTGACCTGTAGAGTGTCCACAAATCTGATTAAAATACAGATCTATATTTCGTTTTGTTATACTTTCGATGGCCTACACTACATGAAGATCTGACCAGTTGTAGCGCTAGGTTGCGTCAAGTCATACGAGCGACTTTTGACCCTATGACATCAGACATTTGATTAACCAATCAGCATTGATGTTACTAGTGGATTACCCACAGTTCCGTGCATAACATGCCTAACGCTCGCCGTAACAGACCTTTTCTTTGGCTATTCCCTCACATCATTCAGAACACGCCAATGATAACAACCCTTTCAGATCCTAGTGTAGTAAATACAAGTAAAACGAAATTTTGAACTATAAAAACGAAACGAAATAGGATCTGTGTCTTAATCAGATTGAGTGTCCACAAACAAATTGTGGACGGACGAACAGACAGGGGTGACGACAATATATGTCAACATGAAAATGTGGGCATATAAAAAGCCTTCTTGAAGACAGGTCGCGAGCTGGGGTTTTTAAACTGGTTTATTTGCCCCACCTTTGCGTTCAGATGACAAAGTTACACTGGTTTAACGATCGCCAGGGTTTTGGTAGTAGCATATGTGCAACAATAATGTACACATATAAGTTTTCAGATGTTCAGAATATCCACTTACGTTGTTCCTTTTCTTTTATCATGTTGTTTTTTTAACATGGACCTAATTACACAAATCAATTCACCAGAAAAATGCTGAAAAAGAGAAGATAATAAGATATTAGAACGATGCCAAAATTTATGCAAAATGACAGTTACACTTACAGGATTCCTACATGACACAAAGTCTGAGAACATGATGACACTAGGACATAATAGAATTTTTAAAACTCAGCAGGATTTGATGACAATGATCTAGAGATAGCTCAGGTGACTTCAATGTTGGTGAGTAATTATCGGGGTGGAGCGGTGGACAGGCATAGCTAAATATTAATTGTCTTGGATCAATAAACTGTTACATAGTTCCTAAAATGATGTAGAAATAGTCACCAGCATGTCATCATAGTCCCCTATACACTGCATATATGCAGTTTTGCACAAACTGCCCTCAACAGCAATTTGAAAATGAGTATCATTTCTTCATTGAGTACAACCGCTATGAGGAACTCCGAAAGACAATTATTTATGTGACATTTGAGATCCAAAACTATCCATTTTCTTTCGAAAACATGTTTAACCTGCCGTTTGCTCTGGCAAAAACAGTGTGCATCTTTGTGCAACATGCTTTCAAAATAAGGAAATGAAATGAACTGGGCTAATGAAGACGGGCATACCCCATACAGTGTGCTATGAGGGAACTTTTGCCCGGACAGCGGCACTACGGCCTACTCTTACATCGAATTCCAACTTTTATGCAATTTTCATCCCATTTTTATATACTGTAAAACATGAAATTATTGCGACATGAAATTATTGCGAGTTGGGGTGGTGAAACATAATTGCGACATGAAATTATTGCGAATTTCTATAGTGGGGAAAAAATTATTGCGACATGAAATTATTGCGAATTTAAATAATTTTTTTTAGTAAATTTGTCTATAAAATGTGGTAGATTGTTAATTTTGAGGTGACAGTCGGCTCTTCAACACATCGGTTGATTGGTGATCATTAGTAACAGTAAATAAACAACTATTGAGGATTATAGCTTTGAGGTGATCAGTGGGGGTCCAGTTAATTATAACTACTACTCACGGGATTAGCGGGGGTGTTACAAAGAACGACAAGATGATAACATTCAACAATGGCCGTTGAATGGGCGATGTTTTGTTGAATTTATTTGTAAAATAGTGACCGCTGGCCGCGTTAGTGGAGTGACCGTCGAATAAAGAGATGAAACAACAGAATTTTTACGGGGGGAATTTATCGTGACCGCTTACAAGGAGATGTCGCTGAATAGGAGTGGCTGCTCATACAGATTCTAATGTACTTATTGGGACTCTTTCTTGTGAAGAGTAATGAAGGGGGAGTAATTCAATATGAACGACATTTTAAAGAATTTTCACAAAATTATTGCGAACATGAAATTATTGCGAGAGGGCCTCGCTCGCAATTTTCGCAATAATTTCATGCTCGCAATAATTTCATGTTTTACAGTATTTTCATCCATATTTTTTATGTAGTTTTCATCCACTTTTTATGTAGTTTTCATCCATTTTTCTACATGTATTTATCATGCATACCGTTAATGTATAATTTACATGCTGCCCGAAAAGGGTGTTTTACGAAAAAAAATCTATCCATCTACAAGGGCTTCACTGTAATATCTAGGAAATGCTGACCCCAGTCTTGTAAAGCAAGGTCTCTGTGTACATCCAAAACAGCTACCGTAAATGTGTCTTTATTTGTAACATAATATTAAATATGTTGATTGTCAATTGCACTTTTCACACAATATCTGATAGGTGTAGATGGCTTGTTAATTACTATATTACTTACATCACTATTACCAATATCTTCAAATACATCCTCCAGGATTAAAGGATCATCTCTAATCTCTCTAATTTTATCTGTGACCTCTTGACCTGTGTACAAAAAGGTTGTACACAATTCAAATAAAATACAACCAAGAGACCAAATATCACTTTTCTCATCATAACCCTTCTGGCTGACCTCTGGTGCCATATAATTCTTAGTTTCTGAAATATAACAATTAGCACAATTTAAGTATGTGAAATGAAATTAAGTGGGATTTAACATCCTATTTTTCTGGAACAACTAGGCTAATAAAAGTATGTGAATTATATTTCATAATGATTTCTGGTATGTCGAGTTTAAAAAGTACACTATTAATTTTACTTATTATCCATGTAGCAGTTATGTGATCCTGGAATTTACAGTATACCTACATTCAGATAGTAGTGTCCGATGAGGCGCATAAATATTTGTTCACTGAAATATATCTGGAATTGATCCTCTAAATCTGAGCATCAAATAATCAAATCCCCTGGAAGTGGAAGCAAGTAATCCAGATAAAGTAAAATTCATACCCATTGTGTTTCTGGTATTGTTACAAGCGTCAATCATGACACTTTCTACACCAAAATCACCCAGACATATTGTTTTATCATCTTGTATAAATATATTACTAGGTTTTAAATCTCTGAAAATATAAGGTGAAAGAAATTGCAGTCGCAGCCAGTGTAGATTTTACCATTTTCAAAGTCATTATTCAAATGCTATTCAAATATTTAATTCAATTCTAAAGATCAATGTTTACTTTGTGTTCTTTCAGATATCTATACATTTTCCATATTTATTTATTTATAAACTGATCATATAGTTGATAGCATTGAATAATATTACTCTTAAACTTTGTACAGTAAATGAGATTAAATGGGGACTGACCCTGCATCGACTGCTTGAAGCAATAAAAAAAACAAAAAAAAACTGATCAAATTCCATTATTTGTATTAATGTGGAAGAACATCAAATAACTAAATATCAAATTATCAGTTTGGATAAATATTCAAATACAAATACTTGATTGATTGTATTGGCACTAGAAATAGTAATGTCTGGCAGCTTATTTCGTTCAGATAGAAAAAATCTAAAGCCAAAGGAATGGAAAAGAAAGGAATGGTAATTTTTACTTTAAATATAATTATTTGTGCAATGGCGGTGGGTGCGCTTCTTTCAATTCCAATTTATCTTTTATGTACGATACCGATTTGTATCTCGTTTCATTGTCCCACCTGAACAACTAGTATAGGTGTTTCCACTAGGCGACAACAACATATACATGGATGTATACAAATTTTTAATGAAATGAATTTTTCCTACCTGTGAATAACACCTTTTTTATGTACAAATGAGAGAGCTTCAAGAATTTCTCCCAGGTATTTCTTAACCACCTCTTCTTCTACTGGTTGTTTCTGCTCCTGGTATGACTTGATTACGGAACTCAGGTCACCTTCTGGGTAATATTGGGTGGCAATACACAAATACATAGATGACGTCTGAAAAAATAATGTTTGTCTTAACCATTTTACACAAATCATTTTTCTATATAAACCATTTTAAAAGAGAACAGCACCTCATCTAACCAAAAACACAACAGGGGGGAAGTGACACAAAACACGCTACGGTACTCTATTTAAGGGCTCTACGTTTAGAAATGTGGTAATCCACAAAAGCATAACCCAAAACAAGGGAAGCAATTCTTTAGAAATAGGAGGTAAACAATGAACCCAGATGATCCACAGTAGGGCTTACTAAAAATGTTACACTTCTCAGCAACCTAATTCTCCCCCAACCCCTCCTTAAACAGATTATTCTGGCATCTGAACATTCTGGCATTTGATTTACTTACTTAAAAATGCACATGTATAACTGGATTCCCCATTTTAAATTTTTTTTCCCTAAATTTGTTTTGGCAAATATAATACAAATCTGAATTACAAATTTACAAGTTAGACAATTAATAATGTTTACTCAAATAACGGTACCTCTTTCTCCCACATGACAAAGAAATCTTTATAACTACTGATGTATGGATGTTGTAACGCTTGAAGACTGACAGCCTGTAAAACATAATATAAAACATGATGAACAGATTGTAATTTGTCCTTCATTCAACGGGTTGATTGAACCTATATGTTGCATAGACCTAGCCTACATGTACCTGTGAGGAGTAGAAGTAATGAATGCTAATTGCTGTATTATTTAGATCATTTCATTTTATTTTCTGATGCATTCATATTAAACTTTCAAATATCTTACAATACAATAAAATACACTTCATAAATAAAAACAAACAAAAAATAAAAATGAAAGTAGACACTAAATAAATTGATGTTTGTATATTGTATTATTAAGTGGAAATTGAATATTTTGAGTAAGAGTCAAAGAGAGTTTTTGAACGTTAGATTCTAATGGATAGTTGATTCCTTGATCAGAGGTAGTTCTGACACTGTAAGTTTATGCCATTATAAAATAATACATTATAGAATTTAAGTATCATTATTCACAACTTGCATTTCTATACAGCTATTGCCAAAAGGTGAAACACATAAACTTACAGTCTCAGCACTACCTCTGATCAGGGAATCAACTATCCAGAATTAGCATTAAATGCAATACAATTTTTATTTTTTAAAACACTAACCTCTCTATAGGCTTCATTTGCTCCACTTTCATCATGACACTCGATCTAGTAAGAAATGATAAGGAAATAAGACTTGTAACAGGTCAACTCATGTATGTACAAACTTGCTATTTACATTAAGAAATAAACAACATGCTACATTTGAACAGCTCCATAAATCATTTAGTGCCCTTCTCTAGTGGTATTAAATTAAACTATTAGTATTAGGGCCGCTTTACATGTACACATTTTCGCCAGCAGAAAAACCCTTTTCCCACGGGATTCTTTTGTAATTTCATGTGTACAGAAAAATCGTTGGGAATCCATATATATATATACTCCCATTGAGAATCCCATTTTAAATGAGAATCCCATTTAAATGACATCATAAGTGAGGATTTCTGTTTACAGCATGGAGCCTGACATTGTTAACATTTAGTCGCATCTTTTTATAATAACACATGACCAAAAAATCTACCATTTGCAGAAACAAGATCAGTTGATTGACTTAATGGAATAAAACACCTGTGTTTGTACAACAGAATGTAAACATTCACCTGTGCACACTTTAGGCGAGAAAAAACGCCAGCAAAAAAGTGGCTATTCGCTTGCATGGAAATGCGTACGTCAAAAGCGGGCCTTAGTGCTAAATAAATATCCAGAGTAATGGTAAAATGGATTTTTTTATACAAGAAATAACCGGTACAAGTGAGCTTTTACTTTTACTAGTTTTTTTATTGGTTGATCTCAGTGAAATATTGGCAGATTTGCTTCAAATTTTCTATGCAACATAATTTTATCGTAGTAGATGTTAAACCACAGCAATTTTAAAATTATTTTCTACCATTGGCATTGCCAGCCAGATAAGATCTACAAAATGCTTATCTTATATTTAAACATACATTATGCAAGAGCATATCATGAAATGGATAATCAAGATTATGTCTTTTATCGTACCGACTTTAGTAATGATGATCGAGGCTAGGCCGAAAATTCAATCACTAAAATTTTGGTTCAGAGTGGATCAATTTTACTGAAAATTTCAGCAAATTCCCTTTACATTATCTAGTTTTTAACTATTAGTATTAGTGAGGACTGCCAGCTCTTTATCTAATCTCCCATAATGTATGTTTAATAAGGCCGATATTTACATTACTCATGACTTGATGGTCAACAGTGGCAGCGCCAGCTGCTGGTGGTTGGTGGGGCAAAGACGGAGCAAAATCCACAGTTAAAACTTAAGGGGGTAGGGGCACAAGCTTCAATAAGGCCCGGTAGCCAAGAAATTTTTGAAAAAAAGACTGTCGGAAATGCTGTCTGACAGGATTCCGGCACCGATTGTCGAGATAAAAAGATCTGACCAGATACTGCCTGTCGCCTGACCACTAGTTTATCCAACCAGAGAGGAAAGTGTCAAATGAAGGGACTCGCAGACCTCGCAAGTCTATAGTCTATATAATATTACTGACTGAGTGGCAATGTGGGATTTAATCATCAGGTATTGATTACCAGATATCACAAATATTTTCAAATTATGGGAGGGGGGGGGGGCAAACAGACGCAGACCAGATTTGGGAGTGCAAATCTGCCCCCAACCCCCCCCCCCCCTTTAACGCCACTGAACAGGTGCCCCGACAACTTCTTGGTCACCCTTAAAATAACATTTCCTATGCAATAGCACTCTGATATTAAATCCCTTTGAGAATATCTTGTTAATAAAAATAGAAGAAGTAGGCCTATAGTTTATGACTTCGTTTCGGTTTACCTTTTTCAGAACACATTTGTTTTGATTTTCACGAGTTTCCGCAAGATAAACGGACCCCTGTGCTCCTTTTCCAATTCTTTCTAAAAGCTGAAGAAAAAAAAGCATATTTAGAATGATCATCAATGATTCAATTTATCTTTATTTTGGGAAAAAATAATACTAATTTTTATATAAAAATTTAAATAATTTACAGAAACAACAACAACTTACTTTGTAGTTCTCCATACTTGACAACATATAGCTATCTACTATGCGCCTGCGCATTTCCAAGGAAGTGGTTAAAATTAATCGGGAATAAACGGTCGTATGTAAATCGGCTCACCAGGGTTGTTCTGCAAACAATAGGGACATACATTAATCCTTTCTTTAGAGGCATTTAGTAACTGGATAGGCGATAAATTATAAGACATAATATTCTGTCGACTTCGCTCGTATAACTAACTATACAAATATTAATTTGACCAAAACTGCAATGAATCTTTATTTAACAAAACTGTTCGCCTATCCGTCCTACCATTTTTTTATGCAGTGGACGTGGATACATAATTGAAAGTACATGATATTATGATTATTATTTACAATGTGATTAGCAAAAAGGGATTTAAAAGGGAACTAATTCTTTCAAATCCCTTTTCACTAATCACATTGTAAATATTAATATCACTATGTATATATAACATGTTATTGTCTGCGAGCTGGTGGAAGCGGACGTTAAATAAAGCTATTTGATTATTTCACACACATATTAGTTTTGAAAACTATTGTCATTCTGTAAGATTTTACATCTATACTAATATTTGTGACTGTAGTTTGTTTGTCTGTTCAGGGTTAGCGGCTACACTGGGGCTATCCTGAGGCCGAAATTTGGTGTAAAGGGGTAGCTCAGACCAGGGAGTAACATAGACCTATACATAGGCCTACAACGGACTACAACCCCCTGGCTTTCATCTTCAACAGAAGGCTTGATCTCGCTTTAGCTCCGTACATTTTATCAATGTAAAACTCGCAGTCGTTGCTTCAGGAACATGCCTGGCTTTGGGACCCGTCCGAAGCTGGGCATCCTTCTAGTGTTAATATATTATAACCCTGATAGCGTTGATGGATTGGTAACTTATGACAAGTTATGAGAACAGTGTGTGCTGAAATATAGGACCCCTACATTTTTGGGCCAAACTTTCATTTGGGACCATCCAGGCAAAACCATGTTTCATATGTTTACTTTATAGAGACTATATAGATTTTCCAAGGAATATAATGTGACCACCTTATGAGTGCTACATGGTATTTCCCAGAAAAATAAAATGGTTTCACCATATTACAGTTAACATTAATTGTTATTACAGTATTTTTAACCTTACTACCAATAGCCAGTAAGTCCCTATATAGTAAGCAGAGTTACACTATTAGATATACGATTGTCGGAGGCCTAGCCCTGTAAAATATAATTGATATATCAAATGTTAGTAACATGTGTGTCAACCTTTAGAAGAAACACATACCATGCAACTCGAGCATGGAGGGGATAAACCTCTGAACTGCTGCTTATGGGATTCATTAGTGCCTTTAAAAAGTGTTGATTTGTTTTTGGGATAAAAACAATTTTCTGAAGGTTCTTCTTAGATCCAGATCTGGATTAGTGTAGTTAAAAGTCAAGTTGTCTGACCACTTGATTACCACTGCTCCCTCCAAGAATTTTAAATTAAGTTGATTTCACAAATCAGATGTTACTTTTGTTCAGTTTATTCAGATGGTCAATCCATTAGTAACTAAAGCCATGTTTAAGAAAAGTGCATCTAGGTCTATGGCAACATATTAATATGGTATCATTGACCCTGATTAGTAGGTTGATCTAGAGTTGACAACTCAAATCTGTGAATTATGGAACAAGCTCTATAAGGATAAGTGGAGTAAACAAGCCCCAAAAGGAACAAAATGTTGGTATAATTATAAACAGACTGAGGACAAACAGATTTGGTAACTTTTCCTCTTTCTAAGTATAGAAAATATATATTATACTCAAAACATGAATTTTTTTAAAAAACTTTATTGGACAAAAGCACAACAATAAATAATAGAGTAAAATCATGCCTACATCTTAATGCCTGGAAGATAGCTGTGTGTAAAGGATAATCAATAGCTTGGTAGCTCATCCTGACTAAATTTACAGCTCCATTCAGTCGACAATGCTGAAGGTCTACTTGTATAAATACCAGAAATTGAACCTATTTTATTCACAATTATAGTTAACTAAAAGTGAAGAATAATATTAAGAAATCTGAAAATAATTTTACAGGTTTAATGACTGTGTATAACATAAAAGTTGATCTTTTGAGACACATCAGAATTTTGTGATTATAATAATGAATACCAAGGGGATACTCAATTCCAAAAATAATGACAATCGAGTGAAAGGAGAATTTCGGTCTACAACGCATGCACCAACTGCATAGTAAATTATTTCAACCAGTACAGCTGAAACAGATGCGTTGTGTTTGATTATGTCACAATTCTACTCACGCCACCCCCTAGGCAGAACTGATAGAACTGTAACAGTGCTGAATTACCCATCACTCATTTGCAATTCTTTGTCAATTTGGGACGTTCCGGACTGACAATCGAGCATCACATGAATTTTCAAATAATGGCATGAATTTATTTTTGAAGGAAGAAATTGATCTTGAAATTTATACTAAATTCTAATTATCAATGTTAACTAGACTTCTCAGAAGCAACATTTTAAGTAAAAAAAAATTCTTTATATGGAGTCCTGATAATCAATTTATGTAATGTAGGAGTTACTAGACTAAGCTGTGTATTTATGCAAGTAGAGCTAATATTATACTAAACACTTATGTTGTTAAATGCCATTTTATATATACATACACTTATGCTAATCATTATTTTATATATACAATTATAAATACAAAGCATGTAACATTCTTCAATTTCAGTAATCTGCATTGATTCATTCAAGTAATTAAAACAGTTAGTCTTAATTAGGCACAAAAGTTTGCATATTATGCATACACTACTAAAGGTATAATTATCATGTAAAAGCTTGATATATATACGCCAAACCTTATCGATAGAGAGTTTACTGCATGTGGTTTGGGAATAGTTTAAAGCACAAATGGCCTGGGTGAACCATAAAATATGTTATAAATTTCAGGAAAATATAAGTGCCAATTGTTTTAAAAATAAAATGTAAAGAAAGAAATGAGGCAAGAGTGCAACCGGTCATTTTTATTTTTTGACAAATACAAATATTAAAATAGTACTTCAGTATGAAAACAGTTTAAATGCTCCTGCATTTATCAAGCCACAATATGACAATATTGTTGTTGTATAAACCTGCATTGGTTTTGTCAGTTGGCCAAAGTCTCCAGCAGAAGAAAATTTAGCAAGTATTTACCACAGGCGTCTGTAACGTGGAAAATATTTTTAAAAAACCCTCTTTAAGTCACGTCGACAATTTTTAAACGTCATCGTAGACTCGATTGTCTACCTAGCGAAAACTGGTGAGTATTGCCACTGGTTGACGGAATCTAGAGTAGCGAACTTTGATCCCAATTACTTAATTCCAACACGTTTCTCACCTTGGTATTATTATATCTACTGACAGAGAATCGACTTCAGACAAGTTATTTGCTCCTGAGTTAGAAATTGGAATCAGACCAGTTATTTGATAATCTTGCTTACGAACATGGATGTAACAGACTTTCGAAATATACTTAGTCAAAGCTAGCTAGCTTAATGTTATTTTTTAGATATTCTCCACATTACAGGCGCCTGTGGTATTTACTACATAAGGAAAGCAATGCATTTACAACCCTAAATAAATAAGAGAGGGACAAGTCATGATAAAATGCACAATAAGAGAATATTAATCCCAGTATGCTTTGTCATATTTTGATTGGCTATAGCATTCAATAGATAATACAATAATAACAATACAGCTATAAATTAAGATTAGGAATATATACAATACAATTTCATTCTTACATACTGGTACACAATACACATTCTAAATATTATATTTCATGGCATAAACATAAATCACATGTATCATAGAAGAACATATAATATTATATATTATGAAGGTTATTGATATTCTACTGTGTGTATATGTATTCCAATGTAATAACCGTTAATTACTATGTGGTTTCTAATTTACTGATATCTAAATTTCATATCTAAGTAAAATATGTATATATAACTTGTCCATGATGTAATATTCTATAGATATTTGATTAAACACATGCTTGGTGATGCAAACAATGTGACTAATTTATTATTCTTATGTCCACTATTGTAATTAATAAATATTGATTACACTGCACAATATAAAGAACAATTACACGTCTGAATTGTCTATCTAAAATCTGGCTTAATTATTTAAATATACATGTAATACATAATTATGGATCCTAAATATACATAGATGAGCACTACTTATGAAGCATCTCAACTGCAAGAATCATAATAATGCATGACTTTAAATAACCAAACCAGAGGGCCAGTGGCCTTAATTATGTACTGAATTTTAGTGAATAGCATGTAGTAACTTTTGAAAATATAAATTGACGATCAAAAGAAAATACACCAACATGCACATAGCGTTGATAACACTTTCAGGATGTTTGTTCTGATTTATGTTGTTCTAAAAAATGCAAGCATTTCACCTTAGCAATGCCGTAGAAAATAATATTGCACCTTGGCTAATGTTTAAAATATTTTGGTATAGTTTCTATTCATCCTCAGTATATAAACAGATTTCTAAGTTTTATATTTTTATATTATACTTTATTTTAAAATTTTAACAATGCTTCTAGTAAATATTGGTACTTGATTGCACGTTAGATGTGTGAAAATTATGTTTAACTCAAATCTAATTCATCTACACCAAATTTAATAATCTAACCACATCCTTGCACAGTATATCTTTGATTTATACATAATATTAAAAAATGCAGGACACCTTAATCATCATAAGCAACCTCAGAATCATCAATCCTTAAATCAAAACCTATGAGGGAATTATTTACAATACTCAAACTAAAAACATACATTCATATTCTATGTACAATTATTAAAAATTCATCATTCAACAATTACATCTTAAGTTTAAAATAAGCATGTTCATTTTGTTAAAGATCATAATTAAATGAGAACTTATGTCATGATTCAGTTGTATGTACAATAATATGTGTCTTAAAAATCAAAAAGAAATTCATAAAAAAAATTATGACAATTTGTGATTAAGGGACAGAAACAAAAAGTTAAGTTTCTTTACCTTTTTGTCTGGACATTATAGATTAAAAGCGATATTATGCAAATTCGTTATTTGTTTTATGATAGTATTATGAGGTAAGGTTTTATTAGGAATCCTGAATCCTTAAAGCTATCATATAAACACATTCCTACTTCTGTAGCATTCTGTAAACAAATTGGTACAAAGTATTATGTAAAATGATTTGATAAAGTATTATAGTTTTACTACAGCTTTAACAATAACTAAATTCAAATTTAAATTATGCCACAATTAATTACTTAAAAGATAAAATAATAAAAATTAATTATGGCCATATGAAGAGCTGTATATTATACCCCTCAAATGTTTATCCGTATTTATAAACAATTACAGACTTGACATAATTGTCTCTTTAATTTTTCGACAATTCATAAAAATTTATTTTGTAAATAAATACAAGTAGTTTGTATATGTAAAACCTTAATAACAATAACAGTGTGATGTATATTAACAAATGAAGTTTTTGACATGGGGGAATTTCAGCACTAAAGATTTGAATATCAATATCAAATCAAATGACAGTCATTAGATGTGAATCTGACAGAGAAGGTAAGAAGACACCAGTGACTAAATTAGACAATTAGAACTAAGGTGTTTTGTATACAAATGGTGGTGATCCCTTCATATATCTTTTGCCAGGATATCACTCATAGCAGATCTGTTGGCCATTATAATATATATTGGCATCTTCACTTCATAATAATATACAAATTAAACAAAATCGCTTTTATGTACCATATTATGTCAAGATGGTTATCAGTATGATTGCTGCCATCTATTTTTGTGGTTATATAGTTTTATGCCATACAAAAAAAATATTCTGGTTCTTAGAATATCCTTCAAGTTCAAAATGATCTAATGTTGAAGGAAGGATTTTATTTTTGTGTTTTTATTATGTCAAAGATATGTTGTTAAATAACTCATCTCATTATCAGTTTACTCATGCTGTTTTAGGAATTCACTTATATAATTAATAATTCTTGTGGTAAATATCTAAGATAGCTAAATTCAATACAAATAGTTTTCTTCACAGTCTACAGATCAAAGCACAGATTTTATAGTTCTAATGTGAATGCTGCTCCTTCCCATCTCCATGGAGTATCATTTCAGTCATCTCTTTCTCAAACTAGATGTAGTAGTTCGCAAGATAATTATCATCAGTGAAAGAATAGGATTAAAAAATAATTTTAAAAATTAAGGAGTTGAATTTATGGTCACCATTTTAAGATAACTAGTCAATTACCATTATCCAGTATCACTTATGATTTTCATTGCAGCAGTATCTGAGAACCAGAATATTTTTTTTTATGTCTTAATAATGAAATCAACCATATTATTATGTGTATTATTATTATTATTATTATTAGATTACAACCACAAAAGGTATCCTTATATTACATACTTTTAAGACATCTCTTAAGCTGGTTATTCATTAGATATAGGATATTGATTATGAGTGATCGTTTTTTATAATATCAGTATCACCAAACAAATTGTAATTTCTAATACATAGATATTCTGTTGAATAAATAAATACATGTACACAATCACCACAAATAGATATACATGAAACACAATTTTTTGTATTAAGCGTAGCAGTCTTTTAACGAAATGATGAATTATAAGTCAGTATCATCACATAGATTGCTTCACTACTGAATATACTATAGTCAAGCAATTTGTTTCAGTTTATAGTTAACATTTGCACAATCAATTGTCATTCACAGCACAAAAAGACTTGTAAAATGTCTCTTGAGTCAATATCTCCATGTAGTTACTCATATTAAATGATGCAATGTTATATAAATCAGTAACACACCATAATTGCACAAATACATGAAATAAAAGTAGTCTCAAGTCTACATTTAAAAATTTGTTCACATCTCCCATAACCATGTAATCTTCTTTGATTACTAATTTCAAAAACTCATCTTACGTCACAACTGGAGACTTACATTCAAATGGAAATTGAAGGAAGTCATCTGTGATAGTATCAAATTTTACTGTGTCTATATTTTCTATTAATTATGGCATCTCATATATTTCTCAAAACATTTTGTCACAGAGCTACACAAATGTGATGGAGTGGTCACCGATTTGAAAATAGAAGTCCGAATTCGAGCAACCTATAAATCAACTTCCACACGTTTTCGTACACCACGAGGTTTGATTTTCTCAGATCTTTGCCACAATGTTTCCTCGTTGTCATGATCTTTAAAATTACTTAAATAATTCAAAATAGCATCCTTTCTCTTGATGTCGTAGTTACTGTAAATAAGAAAGCATAATTTATTAGAATATCATTGGTCTTGATTGTAAGCCGAAGATGCATGATTGCAAGAGGCAATTTTGTGCTGAGAGCTGTTACTAAGCTAGTTTTAGAATCGGCCCGAAAGCAATAATGACTAAATTCACAAACTGGTTTAAAGTTCACTCTACACTAACCCGGTCATTTTGGGACTAACATATGGATTAATTCACTTATCTACAGGTGTCTTTAGAAGTGGAAGTAAACTGGAGTACAAGGTACCCAGAGAAAGTTCATAAGATTAAGGTAGGCGACTCTTATCCCTTGTACAAACCTGAGATCAAACGCATGACATGAATAGACAACATGCCTTATGATCTTCATCCACTTGGCCACCCCCAAAAAATGGAATAAAAATGAAATAAACTAATCTGTATTCAAATTTAAAGATATCATTTATAACCTCGGTTGCAAAATAAAAGAAAAGAAAACAGAAGAAGAAAATTACAATAATTAAACCTACCATTTCTTAAAGCGTCTCATACTATCTAATATATTAAATAACTGCCACCTCTTGGCGAAATTGATGCTTCCATCCGGTAGTAGATTCTGATTGCCAATATTTATAAACGTCAAATCTTGTAGAATTAACCCTAGATAAGGTATACAGGGTGGTTCTGTTTCAGATAATGCCAGTCTGTATGCTCGAAATGATGAAGAACTATCAATCAATAAACAGAACTCTTTCAATGCCTGAAATACAAATTACATTTCAATAAATACATTTGTTTATGTACATTGAGCATGAGGTAGCAAAGAATAGGGTTTAATGTCTCATTGACAGTTTATTTAAGCCGAGTTGAGACTAACATACATTAACCTTTATTTTGAATCGTTTATTGTACAATGTCTAGGGAGAATATTTTCCTGGACAGCAGTAATCTTCAATGTACACTATCAGTTTGTACATGGTGCCTCTATGCTTTCTGCCCTGCAAGATCTAGAAACACTTTCCTTGCTAAGCCACAAACATCTTATATCTTACTTCACACAAATTAACAATTCTGTTGATGAATCTTTTATGAGATAATTGATTTTATCACCCAGTAATAAATTCTACAGAAGATATTGCTTGTGTGATATATTTCATAATCTACTGCGATACCTCCTTAGGAGATATCGCTTTAGATGAATTTGATTGGTCAGTTGAAAAGGAACTACTTTTTTTTATTTTCAAAGAACAGTTCATTTCTTATTAAAAGTAACTTTTTTTTTATTAAAAATTAACTATTGTTATTCAATTGACCTTGATGGAAACACTGGGTCAATATAAAGGACTTTGCAATGGTTGAATTGCTGTCAAAAAATGAGGGATCACTACGCAGTAATGTTCAGTAAAAGTGAAATCTACAGCAAAGAATTATATTTATCTATTTGTGCATGTAAGAAGGGATTGGGTGATAAATAAAATCTCCTACTCATCTTTTTTGATATCAAAAAATATCAACACTCGTTGATATTTTTTGATATCAAAAAAGACTGGTAGGAGATTCTCCATATATCCAGCACTTTAACATTCTTGTTTGATTGAAGCACGACAAAGAAAACCTGTTTTAACTCATGTAAGTTACCTCTAAGTTTTGTTTCTGCCATTCTAATCGTCTAACAGGAGCTGAATCTAAAGCTGATAATACAGCTAGGTATGAATTAAAATTACTCAGTTTACGTAAATGCTGAAAATTTAAATACAAAATATTATTTAATCATGGGTTTGACAGCCCGAATTGGAATAGAATATAGCAAAGGCTGTGTTATTTTCATTGTCTATAAAAATAATACATTAGAACAGATATTGCAGACAAATATGTCAAGTCACAACAAGTATATACATGTATATATTATTGGTTGTATTGAAAACAAAGGCACAAAATGAAAGTTCATAGTCAAAAAATGAAAACATTAATTTACCCTCATAATTTTGATAAATTTCATTAAGTATTTTTCCCGTTCTTTTGGGTCATTTTGTTCCAATATTCGTGTTCTACACCAGTATGACATATTGTTAAAATGTTCTGTGAAAAAAGTTAAATTTGGACTCAATTCCTCTGATTGTTCTTTAGCCCATAATAACACTTCAGGTATCTGAAAAGAAAATACAAATATAACTTTAAATATATTTTTCATGAAAACTTTTTACAGTACAAGTTAATGGCCAATAATGGGTAAGTATTACTATTTCGTACATATTTTTTTAAAGTTTGCTGTGAGTTTGTTGGTAATTCTCAACACAAAACTTTGTGCATCAAAGTTGTCGGGTAAGAAATCCAGAATGCCTAAATTAGTTTCTGGCCAGAATACTTACCTCAATTTTCTGAAATAATTCAGCATCCATTAATGTCATCTGTTCAGCTATGTCATGTGACTTAAAACTCAACAAATCAACAACTGGCCTATAAGAAAAAAACAGGAATCAACATATAAAAAAAATTTAAATTTTCATTCTAAAATTATAGATATCAAATAATTTTTGAGTACTTTGAAGAAATACTTTCAGATCTCAAAATTATATAAATGCAATAAAGGAAGGTTTTAATATTTTTTTAAAGCATTTGACAACTTTAGCGTTGCTCCTTGCTTGCATCTGGTTCAATTAAAACAACCTGTGCACCTGTAAATGTATTGTGCATGTGAAGCATATTTGACCTCTGATCGCACAAGAGAGTCTGAGCCATAGCGACAGTACTTTTTCGTCCGACACAAAAGTAATAAGGGATCAAAGCAATAATCTCACTGGTGGCACATTCTGAGAGAGAAATATAAATCCAAACTTTACCAAGATAAGCTGATTGTTACAGAAATTTAGTTAGATACGTCTGATCAAAATACTACTTACGTGGAACTGAGTGTGACATTTTGTGATATAGGACCACCAAAATGTACAGCCTCCTGTATTGTATCACGATGTTCACATTTCTCTAAGGCTTTCCGACGCAAAATCCTAGCTAAAACCAAGTCATTTTGACATAATAATTCATAGACTAGATCCATCAGTCTTTTTATTATCTCATCATCCAGTTCCATAACTCTGTAAAATAAAATTAAATTGGACATAGCAATTAAAATACCATCTTGAAGGGTTAATATTACAGTAAGCATCAGAATTACCGATATATATGCAAATATTTTGTTTTAATTTTTACTCACCCCAATTCATCAATAACTCTAATGAGAAGAGAAAAAGCGTTTTTAGCCAATCGTACTTTATTATCGGCAGCATGTTGAAACTTATAAAATCTGTATAACAATTTCTCTATCAGTTCTTTTGGTGTTATAAATGTACGATATGTCGTCAAAAACGCTTCTTGATAGATAAATTCTGTAAAAGAACACATAAATATTGGAATAAATATCAGGATAAATTAAGATCATTTTATGGAATAACTTTCTAAGATCTAAGAATACTGTTGTACATGATGGTCAGTTAGAGAGGTTATCAAGTACAGAATCCTGAGAAAATATTCTTTTGGGTATTTCTAAAAATAATGCAATGTATTTTAATTTCTATTGTGTGCAATATGGATGTCAATTTTGCTAGGACAGTAAATGAATCACAATTACGAGCTAATTAATGTGCACTGTTGTAGACTGCAAAGAACAGATCTGTGTGACTTTGTTGATATTTTGGACTTTTTTAAATGCATTTCTAGGCAAAGATAACATTTTCAGTAAAAGAATACCCTTTATAAATATTTCTTAAACATTGTTAAATACTATTTTTAGATCAAAACTTTAATAATACTACAAGCATATGATAACTTCAAAATAACTCTCAATAATATCTTTAGATTTATTCAAGTCTTGCTTCAAAATATAACCCTAATACTTTAAAATTTTAGCCACAGTTTTCATAACATTTAATAACAATCAATGCTGTAAGAATCTAAGAGTGCTGATCACCACAGGTCTTCCAAATATTCTGTGGAGTGATCATAACAGAACAGATTTTCATAATTAAATCCATATGTTAAATATATGGAATTGATTTCCAATAGGAGAAGCAGTGAAATCAAATGAAAAGTTGTGCTGTGAAAAATAACCTGTGAAGGTGCATGTGTTTTAAAATTAAAATGAAAGTAGCGTGATCAAATCTCCTTATCAAAATTCCTCTTAAAACGAAATATCAAGATGCAGTAAAAAAAGAAAAAATAAATCAAAATAACTCATGCTTGTTATTCACAACGTCAATAGCTCATGCTTCTACATCTAATATTGTAAATTGATTTAATTAATTTTATAATCCATATTCTATCTTAATACATTTCTTTACAAAATACAACAATTTCTCAATGATTATAGAGCTGAATTTACAACACAATTCTAACTCTTAATCTAGTAATGCTGGTGCTAATATGTTTACTCCAATGTATGCAACTTCTTATATTACTTATATATTGTAAATTGGCTATTTAGTATTTATACAACTAAAAATGCTAATTCTTTTGACTTATTTCTTAAATATTGCAGTTTAAATTTGTATTTTGTTCTATTTATATTATTAGTTTTAATTCATTGTGTCACATGACCTCGCACAAGTTATAAATGATCAAATGCCTCCTTACAAAATATATCTTGCCCTTTCCATCGCAGCAGAAATAGGCTCATAATTATAATGTAAAAAAGGTCAATGTTCTTATGGTCTAAAAATTATGTTTAATAATCAGAGCTATTTTAAAGATTGCGAATAATTATTATTTTTTGACCATGGCAGTCTGACAGTATAACAGTTGCTTCAATACCTTTCTATGGTTTCCTCATTGTATACAAAACATGTTTGTCTGTTTGTGAAATCAAAAAAAAATTCAATCCTAAACCATGTGTTTCGTTTAATTTTCCATTGAGTTACATAGTAAGAGTGGACTGGTTTGACAAGAGTATTGTTTAGTCTCGATCTGTCAGAGATTAAGGACTATGATGTGGGGAAGATCATATTCTTCAGATTAATATATCTCACATCATATTGAGTGGCATGTAGTATGTATTTCATGGAATTATATCTAAAGGTATGGTTCATTAACTATTTGATAATTACTATGTCATTTACGGTACTTAAATTATGATTTAAATCAGTTATAAATTTTAAAATTGACCACACTAGAAATAAGTCATATAAATTAACATTTTTACATATGTAAACAGCCAATTCAAAATCAAAATAAAGAAGTAAGAAGTTACATGCACTCAAGTAAACATAAAATCAGCACAACCATTACTAGGTTAAGAATTAAAATGATGTTGGGAAATCCGCTCCATACATGGAGACACTAATAGATCTCTAATTTCTATGTAACCGTCTATACACAAAACATTATTTTTTCACATCTGATACTAACAACATCCACACATAAAGACACAGCTTTAAAAGCATGTAAAATGAACGACATATGAGATGGTACATGTACGAAGTGACTTTTCTTATTTTGGGTAATTTTCAATCTAACAAACCAAAAATCCAATTATCACATTTTGTGTAAAAAAAATTTGAACTCTAACAAATTTCAGATTTTCAGAGACATAGTTATGGTTTTTGGAAATAATTCCAAACATCTTGCTTTTCTCGGGCTTTTAAAAACTGAATTTAAAAAAAAAACAAAAACAGTCCCGCCATTTAACATAAAATGTTAGTGTAATCTAAGAAGGTAATTCAACTCTAAATATATGTTACAGTTAGCCTTCTGCACAGGATCAAAATAAGAACACTAAATATTCAAAAAGAATAATACAAATTTCATTTCTGTGTTAGTAAAAAAAAAGGAAAATCTTAAAAAAGAAAATAAAAAATAATATATAAAAGTAACACATCTGACTGAAATAAGAAAAGCCAGGCATAAGTATATATGTACACATAAAACCATAGAAATACATTCGCAACAGGAATACTAATTGCTCACAATTTCAGAATGATCTACCCATAACTAGAGTCTTCAACTGATTGCTCCCCTGGATTCAACTGGGCCAATTTTTGCTTCAGTAATTTTTTTCTAAACCCCATGCATAAATAAATCTGTGTCCCACAAAAAACCCAGCTTGAGCTATATTCTAAGAAATATACTCTAGACTTTAGATGATGCCCAGTTGAATTATGGGCAATAATGAATTGCTGACAGGTGCAAACAAAGACTATGATGACAATAAAGCATTTGACAGAAAAACATTCAAATATTTTGGCATCCCCTGTAAATGTATTTCTATGATATAACAACAGACAATGATGGAAGGGAGATTACTCTGTTCTTACCTTCTTCATTTACATGTAAGTCTCCCACGGAGCCTTGAGATAATAAAATGGAAAGTGTTCACAGAAAGATAGATAAAAGAAAATCCAGTATTTACCGTCTTCAGAAGCGATTTGACTAGTCATGAGTTGATGTGGGTCATAACAATTTTACCAATGTACTGTCACAGTGTAATTTTACCAATATTGAGCAAAAGAAAACCCCACAACATAATATTCTTAAGTTGTTGTCACTACTGACAAAATAAGCATTACTGAAGTAGGTCCAACTCTTCTTAGAGAGCTCTTTTTTGAGAAAGGATACATAGATTATTCAAGCAGATATGTTCAACTAAATAAGTCCACTGTATTCTAGAATTTCAGGTAAATCATTAAGATAAAAGTCTACTTGCTTAGTCAGTAAAATGACGCTACATAATGTTTATTCTGCCATTTCATTCATTCAATAACATACTACTACTAGGTCTGCTGAATGCTTATTGGAGCTTCTTAAACTTTCAACTTTTAAATGTCCTTATATGGACAGAAAATTTATGATAAACATCGGCTTAAGAGTTTGCAACAGTTCATTTGTAAACAGAGTTGCATAGTTTGTTCAATATAATTTTTACCTATGATCTATCCACATGCATGTTAGCTACTGTTTTCACAAGCAGGTTTACAGATCGAAAATTTGCAAGTGCTTTTAATACACAGACATTATGGTTCATGTATCCACATCATATATCCAGTCCAAAATATAGCCTCCTGTAGTAACATTTTGTCAACAAAGTACTTCAGTCATTTTCAGACTAATATATGGTCATTTTTATTTTAAAGTTACAAATGGAAACAGAAATTGAAATATCCTGATCTGAGACATTCTAGTCACATTTTCAATGTCCTACTCTCAACTGTACAAATGAAATCGGGTTTAACATTTTACTTTTCTGCATCAACTGGGCTTCTAAAAAATGCATATGCCATGAAGTATGCTATGACTAGTATGAGTAAAATTTTGCATGAAAAACAGCACTACACTCTACTCTTCTTTTAACTTTCAACTATCAAGGGATACAACTGCACTGTCACTCTATACGTAAGTTTTAAATTTGTAAACATGCTGGAGCAGACAGTAAAATATATTCTGGAATCCTGATTATCATTAAGCTACATAAGTTTTATATGATTATAACTTCTCAGTATTAACATTTAATTAATCTCCAATCCAACTAAACAAATGAGTATAAGATTACTTAAGTATAATAATGAATTTATGAAATTAAATGAGGTTATGTTTTTGATTATGCATGATATACATGCAGTTTTACTCGAAGTAAAGCTAAAAAAAATTTTTTTCAGAGAAATGCACATTAAATTCAAGACTTTTGTTGTTTTAAATTATTGTCTAAAACATTCTAAGGAACAGTGAAAATGATCAGAAAGCTGTTATAACAGTAAGATTTGCTCATATTTTACTAAAACATTCATGAACACTATTAAAATATGTGTAGTACAGTAAATAGTGAATTGATCTGAATTAAACATTATTGATGCACAATGGCTTAATAGTTTTCACTGTTCCTTGTTTAAAACCTTACTTACTTTTTAAATAAAGGGAACAACCATTTTTTTCTAATAATTTAAACCAGAATTTAGAAAAAAATCATCATAGGGTTATATTCAATTACCACAAGAATCATAAATTTCCCAAGAAAAGATTTGTTGTTGTATTAAATCACAGTTGTCAAAATGACAGTTACTTGGTCAACAATTGTATATTTTGAATGATTTAATGATGGTTCCCTTCAGAAACATAATGCGATTAAATGCTATTCTACATAGTTTATTAACTATATTATACTATATTGCTAATACTATCATATCGTGACAACTACTATATAAGGAAACAGATATAACTACTATATGAAAAGTTCTTTTGCCCCAAAAAACGGTACTTCAAGTCCTCAAATGAGATACATTTATTATTTATATGTTTAAAAAAATACCCCCAAAAAACACATAACCAAAAACTGGTTTATAATCATTGATCTATTATAAAGGGAGTGTTGCCATTCCCCCTCCATGCTCCTCATACTGATACAAGATTTAATCATTTGGCCTTTGATGTTTAAAAAACATCACTGGCGGTTCTTTCCCGAAATTTGGAATGAAGTTAATTGCGTTTTGGAAAGAAGTATTCATATACAATACAATACTGGTTTATTTCATAATAAACATTATTTGGATTAGCGACCATATGATGATCACTTTTAGAATTCCTAATAGCGATTTAACCAGTATTGTCATATAGTAGTTAGATATCAGTATATTTTAGAACAAGTGAAAGAGGATTATAAAGTAAAAGTAGACTGACCTGATTTACCAGCAGCTGTAGCATGAACAACCAGAGCATCAACCATACCACCTCTAATTGCTGGACCATCTTCTCCCTATTAAAAACCATACTTATTAGTCTCAAAATTACAATATTTTGATATATAAACCCTTATCTAACACAAGACATAAATGACCATCCTAGCATAAACTTACACAAGATATCACTATAACTAGTTGAAACATCAAATACCTCCTCTAGATTCAAACTTAATTTCTCCCAAAGTTTTGAAAAGATTTTGGAGGATGTCACCAATTTTGAAAAAGAATTTCAAGATTTGAGAAGGATATATAATCAATCTGCACACCTCCTTTTTACGAATCAGTTGATCTGAAACATCTATGTCATCTAAAGGTTTCGGTTCACCAAATGCTGAATCTGTGTCTTTCTGTATATCAGAATCTGATTTGGATTCTTCTAATGGTTCCGGTAATATTGATTGAACATTCATATCAGCAGGTGCAGATGCCCTCTTTAAATCTCTGAAAAGATAAGTAATCTATTGCACAAAATGAATCTGTAAGAATTAAAGAATTCCAGTGAAGCTTGGTGAGACATGGAAAAAGATCCAGTTATTGCTTCACTGTTTTTGTTTTAAGATGATCACAGACTGGTATGGCAAGTCTTCTCTTTAACTACACCAAGGCAATGAATAGCGGCCTGTTCATATTTTTTACTGACTTATCCAAATAAACTGCTGTAGTCCCAAGCCTAGAAATGGAGATATAAGTACACCATATAACTAGTAGAACTGTTCAAAGAGTGAAATCTTTGTATGATACAAAACTTTTCTATAAGGATTATAATGAAGCCTTTATAAAGTGTACCACTATAAGTGGATGAGATTATTGGACCTATACCTGGAATATAGACAACTTACATATCAGTTACATGTACTGCTGGGTCAGTAGCAGACGCCTCAACTAAACTTGTTGTTTTATCTCTTAAATCATTGGCTGATGTATCTGATAAACTTGATACAATGGAACCTTGACTCTGACGATTTAAATACTGAAAATATAATATATTGTTGATAAAACAAAACATTATATACAGGTTTTCAAAAGGTGGTTTTCAAGTTTTCTTTCGCAATAATAATATATGAATTTGATAGGCTAGTAAGAATTCCGATAGAGTGTCTCCTTGTGATTTGCAAAACAATTCCACCAAGTTTGTAAACAGAATCTTAAAAACTCTGATATAATATTTCAGCAACAAGGGCAGTAATTCTGCCAAATATTGTTGTGTAAGTCTGAATATTGATCTCTTCAGGACTAGGTGAACAAACAAAATCTCATAAACTGTGAGCTATAAAGCATTTTTACAAGGTTTTGATGACAGGGTCGGTAACTCTGAAATAAGATTTATTATTGAAGGAAAATGAAGGCTATGTTGAATCAGATATGCACAGATATATCTTAAGATATTATGCTTGTACACATATTGTTGTATAGAAATATATTCTCATTATCTGTTGTCCAAAAAACTCCCAAATTCCATACCATTACCTTTTTAGTTTTAATTGGTAAAGCCGGTAATCCTAGAAAACGATCAGGTGATCCACTGCTGAATGATGTATCAGAACTAAAGTTAGAAATATCTGATATCACACTGATCGTGTTGGATCGTGGGTACTGAAACAGCTCCAACTGGTGTTGATGCCACTGACTTTCGTAGAAATTGATGGAGTGGCGGGAAATGGTCTCCAAGGCAGACGGCTGAGTGTATGATCCCACCATTTGCATGTAGGCATGGACTGCAAAATTATTAACTGTGAAAATAGGGAATAACAAGAGGTTGATGGATGAGGCGCATACAGACATATATAGAAGCATTAAGCATATATATAAAGACAGATAATGTCGCATGTATTCAAAACACTTTTCATCACACTATCATCATGTAATCATCCAAATAAATGATGTTAAATTCTTATATGTAATTTGACTTTTTCATCTTAACTAAGATGCTAATATTACTGCCAAATAGATAGCTTTAATTTGAAGATCTGATCTCAAATAATTATCCAGTAATACTTTGAAATTGCTTAATTTTTGAACATTCATTTCTGTTATGTAAAATAAAATACACCTATCACCACCGTGTGAATTTTATAGTAACAAGCACTAAAAAAAATGTTTTTCATCAAAATATTATTTCATAAATATTGAGGTTTTTTTTAATCATTCTAGTTATTTCTTTTGTGACATAATTCTTGTTCATCATGAAGCAGTTTTGAATACAGTCATATTATTATATAGACAAATAGCATATATTATTGGCTAAAAGATGTATTTCTTTCTGTTCCAAATGACACCTACAACTTTTATATTCAACTGAAAATATGGTTATTCGCTTAATAAATAGGAAAAATAAAATTAAAGACTTGAAGCTGGATTCATGTTACAAAATCAAAGTAAAATTTTAAAATGTATAGAGACATTACAGACATGGAAATGTGTTTACGTTGAAGTAGGCATGGTAAGATATGTTTAAATTATATAATAGCTTTTTAAAATTTAGTTCCCTGACAGTAATCCAACTTTAATTAGTTCTCTGACAGGAATCCATTTTTAAGCAGGATTTAAGGGATGCAGGTGACAATAACAAGGGAAGTTATTAGAAATCGTGTAAGCAATAATTTGTTTACTTCAAATTGAATTGAAATGTTTTAAATATGAAAAAAAAAAAATTCTTTCTATTCTATTGAATGCTTTGTATCTGTAATTTGAGTTTGGATAGTCAAAGAAATACATCTTCAAGAACAAAGGCCATATAAACTTAGAATTTAGATCTGTTTTAAATAATTATAGTCTAAAAACTAGTGTACATATTCCAGAAAAAGAAAATTTGGGATACAATCCACAATTTATATAATTTCAAATCTTTCAGAGCATTTTAAAATATTTTGCCAAAAACAAAGTAAAAAGATTTGGATGAAAATAATTTCAAACTTCAATTACAATATTTTTTTTCTGGAATATTGAAGTACACATATATAGATACAATGTAAGTTCTCATGCACACCGTATATAGCAGAAATACATCTATACAAATTAAAACAACTAGAAATATTCTATTCTTAAAGAAAATAAAGCTTTGATTTAAATTAATGTTTATAAACAATCTTATATGCTGATTAGATGTAATAAGCTTATAATATTCTATACTAATCATAGACAAAAGTTATGAATTTTCTTTTAAGTTAGAATTACGAACAGATAATAATACTGAAGTGAAATGCTATGTGCGCTTGTTCAGAAGACAGAGAAGAGCAGCCTCTAGCGTGAAAGCAGATTATATTTTTGTAATGGACTGGGTATCATATGATGATATATAATATTATAATGAAGTGAATAATTATCAATTCTGAAATCAATCTTTGTTGTTACATGTTAAGTCTCAATGTGACAATGTGAAAATTATAAGCTATTTTTCACTTAACAATTCGAATTTAAAGAGGTGTTATCACTTTGATAATGAAAACAACTGTACTGTAATTATTCATAACACCTTTTTCAAAATATCTGCTATTTGTTGAAAACCACAAGGATGGACATCCTACTTATAGGAGATATGTATTTTTCAAAAGCATTAATGGAAATCTTTTACCACCAGTCATGTCAAGATCTGTAAAGTGATAAAGCCTCTTTAAATTAGATATTTAATGGAAATCTTTTACCACCAGCCACGTCAAGATCTTTAAAGTGATAAAGCCTCTTTAAATTAGATATTTACAGTCTTAAAACTTTACTTTTATCAATTTGGCTTTAACCTAGAACTGTATAAAGCATGGCCATTTTATTTTTACTTACCGTGCTTTAACTTTGGAGGAAGTGGTGGGGGTTGTCCCCCTTTCTGTAAACTCTCTAAACTAGAATGACTAGTTGCCGAAGAGAATGTCTCGGAGCTGGAATATGTCTCTGTGGAGCTTGTTCGATCTGTTGAGAATGAAGCAGAACTGCTTGACTTTTGTTGTGTCTGTACATGAGATTGTACTGACTGAGACGCTGACTGGGTAGAATGCGAGGATTGAGTACTTCCACACGAAGATGTGGATATTCGATTAACGATAGTTCTAGATGAGGACACAGAGCTAACACTAGTACACACTTGAATAGCCGTTCCATCAAATGGAACATTGTCGTACGTAGAAAGCAACCTATTTATTCGCGTTTTATTTGGTATAGGTGGTGGCACTGAATCAATGTTTGTCGTCAGTTTGTTTATTTTAAGAGTTAATTTATTAATGTCTGCCACAGTGCTAGAACTTTTCGATGATGACATCATCACGTTAGAAGACATGTTTGACGTTTGAGAAACATGCATTGTACTAGATTTAGAAAAACTTCGATTTCCAGTAATATGTAGCTCTTCTGTCGATTGGTTGAGCCCTGAGCTCACGCTACTGGCTGGAGAATACCCCATTGGTGAGGAACTACGTGGCGATGGACTTAATACCATAGCACTGTTGAAAGAATGTTCCGTGGAGGGACTACATAGTAAACTGCCCCTTGGAGAATGAGTAGGAGTACTAAGACTGGACATTGACTGGCGTTTTTCTTTTTCTGGCAATGGTGGAGGTTCATCATCCATTCCATTTCTTGACAATCTAAAAATACATGTATAGATTGATTATTACCACAAAATTGCAATTCTAAAAAATATCTGTCAGGTGTAAATCATCTGCTGCTTTATTCATGAAAACAACACGCAAAATATTACATTTCTTGCAGATGAAAGCATACAACAATGTTTGTATCAGCTTAATTCAGATATGCTACCAAACTTTATTTTTCTATACCAATTACGCGTTCCAAGAATATTCATCTTAAAGTCTTGTTGCATCATTTTTGTGCAATATGAGTCCCTTGCAAACTATGATATTGGTTCATAAATGGTTAAATTCCGTATTTACAAAGATATGTTGAACAGAAATTCCTTTGATCTATGCTGCTCGCTATGTAATAAGCCCGTTGCCATTTTGTTGTGAGCGAACAGAATTGATAGCCTAATTTCAAATCCGACTGAATCCAAGCTGTGAGGTTATCTAATATTGATATGTTGATTTTGTTTTCTTTATTAAATGTTAAATTTAAATAATCAATTATCTGAGTACATATTAGTGTGGATTAAGCCATGAGAAATTTGATTTTTACTTTAGCGATAAATGCAAATGACGCATCATTACTTGGTTGATATAGTTTGTTTTAGTTATTTTTAAATGCTACTTCTGAACATTTAAATCTATGTGTCTTATTATTCCAAGTTGGTCCCACATAAAGACAGTAAAGTCGAAGACTATCATGGTACATGTTGCTTGCTTATTTATTTACACTTACAGTAGTTACAGTTCCTCTTGTAATGTCACTATGTGACGTGTTAATGTGTTTTTGGTTGTGCATAGTGTTAATAGTATACTACATAATGACAAAAATCTGCACTTTGGGTTGTACACACAGTGTTAATAGTTTACTACATAATGTACATAAATCTGCACTTTGGGTTGTGCACAGAGATAATGACAAAAATCGAAGTTGTAAGTTGTGAGTACTGCCTTTTCTAAATTATACAATCTAATTAACTATATCAAATTTTGTATTTATGTTTACTTCCCATCCATTATATAAAATTCTTGCGATTTGAGTGTCTATTTCAGGCAAATCTTCTCCAAATTTCAGCTCATTTTTGTGGATGTACTACCTAGTACTAGGAATATTTTTTAGCATGTTTCATGGAAAATGAGATCACTAGTTCATTGAGTGCAGATTATATGTTGGTTATTCTGGGCCACAAAGTTTTTATCTTTAACCAATGACGTGCATATTACCTGGTTATTAAACCATCAACATTTTGCGGTAACGGAGGTTTAGGTGGCGGACTATCCTCTGTATCAAAGCTAAATATAGCTTGATTCTCCAGACTGTCATGAGAATGTGCTATACTTGTATTTTCATAAAGTCCGTTATCACTTGTTTTGGCAAGAATCTGACGCTCCCTGGGTGTCAGAGGAATTTCTGGTAAAGAAGCTCTTTGTAAGCTGAAAGGAAAAGGAAGCACAAAGCATGATACTCAGATACCATGTAAAACTGATATCTCAACAAGGGTCATGTTTCATAAAGAACATTGAAGACTTACATCCATGTAAAATTATAAGAATGGATTTTAATGTCTCAACACAATGCTTCATTATTTTGAGGCTATGGCCACGTGAGAAATGCAAGGCAGGATAATTTTGTCAGGAGAATTGTACGTGTATCCTCCTCTTTATTGAATCTCCATCTGTCAACAGTTCTTTTACAAGCATCCCAATCATGAGTGTCCTTACAACTCATTGAACTTAGATGTAAGTAACATTATGTTTGCTTTGTGAAACAGATCCCAAGGTGTCTGCGGAATTTATGGTAATGAGGCTCTTTGTATGCTGAAAGAAATGGAAGCAAACAGCAAAGCATAATGCAATACTACTGGGCAGGTGTAAGAGCTCATATTTAAATGGTTTGTTTTTTATGGGTAAATGGAGGGAAGAACTGGAATGGTTTGGTCATTTTGAGAGCAATATACAGTTAATTTCATTTACTATGGTCACATGTATAATTTTACTCAAACAACAATGTTTCCAGCCCAGTCGTCTTCAAATTTCAAGGAATAATTTAACTGCAAAAAGGATGTGCAATTTCCTTTCCAGCCCCACAAGGCATTAGAAAATAATAAAGAAATTAAAACAAAACTTCTGAAAAGAATGGAATCGGGTTAAACATAGTGTCAATACAATATTACTATAATTTTAAGACTAACATATAGTAATTTTCATTTCCACTGTTACGTCTGCAAGAAGGAGATATTTGCCTGAACAGAGGCAATTCTGCCTGCTCTTCTTAGAGTTTCAACTGCCAATGGTATCTTCATAAGAATACCAAAGTACACACAACTGTCTTTGTTAGCCATGCAGGTGACATCCCTGAGGATCTGAACCTGCGACATTCTAGTCAAGAGGCCAAAGCCCTACCATGGCCTCCAAAAATCGTTATGTCTTTCCTCCTTCCTTGATTTTGTAGATAAAGTTTACTTACCTTTCATTACCACCAGGTGAAAGAGATCCTGATGATTTAACCGGTAAACTATTCTTTCTACGTTCTAATTTCTCTATACATAGATGTGTTAAATCCTGTCAAATTAAAGTTTTTAATGAAAACAAAATCACACAAAATAATCAACATATAAAGATCTACAATTTTAGTTTTTAATCAAAATAGATTCAAGTACGCCTGAATGTGAATTGAAATGAATGAGACCTGTTGTTACTACTTTAAATTTACTAGCCACTTGTAACTTTAAAATATAAAGTAAGTCACCATTTACCAGATAATTTGATCATAGTTTCGTTAACAACATTGATTAGTATATACCTTTCAAATTACTCTGTTACATTAACAACAACATTGATTAGTATACCTTTCAAATTAATCATTTTATTTTACTCTATAGAAAGAAAATAGGTAATGAGATTAATGCAACTTGAATGTAATTATTTAATGCTTGTATTTATCTCTTGTGGTAATCGTCATATGTTTTGTCAACAATAGTCAAGTCACTAAGTCTTCATAAAGACATCAGTTGTTGCGGCTGTACAGAAACCTGATCACTAACTAATCATCTGTAACCTTACTGATCAAGCAATAGATATAAATAAATTATAACAATATATCCAGAACTGAAAAATAAAGGTGTTTGTCTCCCCTACCTTGATGCCATCTGATAAAGCTGTAATAACTTCTGAGGCATTCTGTTTATTTGATTCCTTGTCTGTTTTAACCAAAATATTATCTGACCATCGAACAAATCTTGCTAGACACTGACATACCTTACTTCTACCAGATACCAATGCAGTACTGAAAAATACAATATTTATATATTGATTTACTAAAACCATGTTTCTTTTAAAACCATTCTTCTAAAATGGTTCTTGTAGGTTGCTCATCCTTACACAATACAAGTCAAGCTTTACAATAAAAACTGAAAAACTATTAAAAGAGGACATTGACTTAATAAAGAAGAAATGAAAAAGCAAAATGTGTTCTCTGTTATAATAATCGTAAATTTATAAAATTGATAAAAAAGTTATATGACCATAATTTATCTTAGGATTGATCTACTTTAACAATTTTGGTAAGAAGACTACTTTATTATATATGTATGGTCTGAAAGTCTATCTACAGTTTATTTTGAGATATTGGACCTTTAACTAGTTCAACTGTCATATCTTTTCATTCCCAATTGACTGATGTTACAATATGATTTTCTGCCAACAGACTCCAGGATAGGAGTCTTGCAGTCAGTACATCAGCTATATTTGAACATTCAGTTGCAAAAATACTGACCTTTCTTCAGTAGCTAATATATTATTTAAAACAGTAAAAACATCAAGAACTGTTTCTAGAACGTGTGTTGCGGTTGGTGGCAACATCTTAGGTTTGTCTTGATTTGCGACAGCCTGAATAAATTTTAATGTTCGATTTATTTCATCTAGTTCACTTTGTAGTTTATCTATATCCTGAAAAACACAAACAGATAGAAATATTAAATATTCACTTAGAAGCTTTCATTATCTGAAAATTATGTATATAAATTTAAACAAAAGAAGGAAAGGAATTTACAAAACAATTAATTCACTTCAGGACTAATGTATGATCTTTTTTATATCAATAACTCACTTCTAACTTGAATTACTGGGCAGTAATAAGGGGCAGTGTCAACCAGTAGTGCATGTTCATGATCGATGGGCAGCTATAATTCCCCCCCCCCCCCCCAGCCCCCTTAGCATTGCATTGGTAACTAAAGTGAAATTATCATCATATGATAGTCTCAAAAAGAGAGTAGAGAGTTGATGAGACATAGAAGTCCATTAGTCTGTTAAAAATTGTTATTAAATTGCAGACTATCGGGTTCATTTCCATATATAAGATAAACTATTATAAAGTCTAATTAATTCTCTGAATATTTAACACACATAAAATTTGCATAAAAAGAGCGTGGGAAAGTATTTTGTCTACAGTGTGCTTTGGACAAGAAATAAATAATTCTATCAATCATTACAGATTAAAACTCCTTTCAAACAATATTAATATAATGAAGTAGGCTTTTTATCTCATGTCCAGATAGTCCTTTGAATTTGATTACAGTACAAGTGGCACCCGAAGACAATGCCCCCACAACAAGTGAAACCTAAGAAACGTGACCCACAAACATGTGGCACTCAAGACAATTCATCATCAACAAGTGACACCTAAAAAACGTGACCCCCAAACATGTGGCACCCAAGACAATTCACTCTCAACATATGAAATCAAAGAAACTTTCCCTGAAATAAGAGGCAGCAATAAGGACAATTTGACCCATCTGTGAAGATTTGCCCACAAAGAGGAGGCATCCAAGCCAGGAAAAAACTGGTTCTAAATATTAATATAAGTAATGTAGATTCTTGGAAACTGTGCATATATTCTGCTACAAACAATTGACATGTGTTAGATGCATCTCAAGATAAAGGTGTCAACATGTATGTGCATGTCGACTGATGTTAATAATATATCTAGTAGAGATATCATGCTGAGTCTAGTCTTATATCAATATACAACCTAACAGTACTAACAGGTGTTCACTCTATCTTTTTATCAACTCATTTCCTTTTCTTTTATTTCAGAGAATTATAACATCTGAGCATAAAAACACTAAAGATAGAGCTGGCAAATAATTATTATTACTTTAATTACCAAAAACATACAATGATGACAGTGTGAAATCAATAGAAACCAAGTGAAATTCCAAAGTAAGAATGATCAATTTGAATAATTTTTAAATTGGTTGTGTATGGTCTGAAACTCTACTTGACCATGTTTGGGGCTTTAAAGATACATTCTCAGGAAAGTATTGATTGGGAAGTTATTTCCAATAAAAGTATGGAACATTTGGTATAAATGGAAAGTAGAGACGCCCAGTCTTCTAGAAAAATACCAGATTCCCTGAAAAACACTTTTTAAATTGGTTGTGTATGGTCTGAAACTCTACTTGACCATGTTTGGGGCTTTAAAGATACATTCTCAGGAAAGTATTGATTGGGAAGTTATTTCCAATAAAAGTATGGAACATTTGGTATAAATGGAAAGTAGAGACGCCCAGTCTTCTAGAAAAATACCAGATTCCCTGAAAAACACTTATGAGGAGTTTAAACGTACAAAAGACTCTGCAATTAAACGGCAGAAAAAGAAGTTGGCAGAAGATAATGCAAGAATTTACTTAGGCTTCAATATGTATGGAAATGGATAGTAAGTACCAATAACAACAAATACATTCTGAAAATGGGCCCTCCCTCAATAAAGCTACTTGACAAATGTGGCTTCTAAAAATGGATTTTTTATATCTTAGGGTATTTCCTCGAGAATACAATGTTTTGAGAGGGATTTGAAGCAAATTTTTGATATATTAATTAGTTTGAATATGTTTTTAGGGCAAATATATCATCAAATCACCAAGTTTGTACATGGGAAGGCATCTTTAAGCTTTTGATTCATATGAGTTAACCAATCCTTGACTGTGTTTCAAAATTTCAATTTACATCATTAACCAATCATTGATTTTGTATTAACATTTAAATTTACAGCATCCACCGGATTTATTACTTCTATGATGGCTGTGTCTTTTTCAGTTGTCAGGCTTTGTGCTTGTTTTGTTGTGTGTTATGCCATCATCCTGTACTTACTATCAGTACCATGTGCAATGACTGACATGTTGTTTACAATAGTTACCTGATCTAGGTAGAGTATAAATTCTATACATGCAAAAACAATTAAATCAGCTTGCCACTAAATAAAACCATTAAACCATCACATATAGAAAAGGTCATAGGTCGACTAGGGTCAACTCAAGTTTAAACAATCAGAATAAAATCAATTTTAGAAATCCTGTCTTTTTATGTCTTGATAACTAAGTAATAATAATGCAGTTATCATGGGCACAATCAAATGTTTTTACATGCAATCATTACCCATACCATAATAAGATTAAAGTCAAATGTTTTTCTATTTAATCTTTGTTTTACACTCTCTGTCTTATATTTTACTGGACTCAATTTTACATAATAGTTTAATCATATTGGGTCATGTTTTTGTTGTATATCTTAAACAGCCAATGAAAAAGCATCTTTTCCAAACATTCAAAAGCATCAACTCTTGATTTATTCATAAAGTGTTGCACGTAATTCAACTGACATGGGCTATCTGAACAGCAGTTGCTCTGAATTTACTTTTGATGTAGTGAAGAAAATCCAAACCATGAAGACGAAATAAAATAACAATAGCTGAAATGTTATTTTCTACTTCTTAATGTCTTTTAAAGATTAAAAATGCTGTTGTGGTGGGTTTTCCCCTTTTCTCAATGTAAATGTTAATATTGATAACACAAAAAAAGGCTGATCTTACAGTCTCACTCTCTTTAAAAATTGTATCAAAGACAATGACAGAAAATATGTGTTACCCCAGTTTCACACAAGAAGCCAAGCACAAATATGCAGTTTTCTCACTGACAAAACCAACCTGATTTACTTCATTTAAATTCTAAAATTCATTAGAAATTGAGTTTAATTCATTTTTAGAGAAATAAACAAGGAAATTGATAGTGTTGCACCCCTTTAATATTTGACTGAAAAAGATATATGAAATAAGGACAAATTTTCAGAAATAAAATCACAACTAATTTAACACAGGGAAAGAAAATCAATTTCCATTTCTAGAAATCAAAAGCAAAGAGAAATTTCTTTGTTTTTCTGTTAAAATGAAATCTTATCAACATGTACCATCTATGTAGCAGTAGAAGAGAAAGACAACACCCAATGGTAAACACAGAGATCTAACAACACCCTATTCCTCTAGTGTAGATAATGTAAGGTGTTAAATATCTAGTTAGAGAAAAAACATCTGTGGGATGAGTTTATCATCTTCATCAATATATACTTCCACTGTCTTTTACAACCATCATTAATCAACATATTGCTCACTGGTGTACAAATATTTCTTATATCATTTCAAACTTTATTATCATCCTACATGTTACAATTTAAATGTATTATAAATCCTATATAAATTCAAATGTATTATAATTTTATACCGTTTCAAATGTATTATAATTTTATACCGTTTCAAATGTATTATAATTCTATATAAATTCAAATGTATTATAATTTTATACCGTTTCAAATGTATTATAATTCTATATCAATTCAAACGTATTATAATTCTATATCAATTCAAATGTATTATAATTCTATATCAATTCAAACGTATTATAATTCTATATCAATTCAAATGTATTATAATTCTATATCAATTCAAATGTATTATAATTCTTTATCAATTCAAATGTATTATAATTCTATATCAATTCAAATGTATTATATCACTTACACTAAAATGCCATTTACCATTTACAGTAAAAAAACAGAATCAGGCAAAAGTGTAAATAGGGTTTATGTGGCCCTCGCCCTCAACTGTTCTTGGCTCATGAATAAACTTTATACTATAATAAATTTGGTCAGTTTACGTGCACATAAGTCTTATATGTTTCCTCATGAAACAGGACCCTGTTTATCAATGAAAAACCTGATGAAAAGCCACTTCATCAATGGAACTGGTGAGAAAGTGGGTTTGACAACTCTTTTTCGAAATAGATTTCTGTTTACTTACAAATTTAATGGCGCTATTTTTCAATTACCGGTAGGTCAAAATAATGTATTGTATAAGTTTGATCTGATGTATTATTTCTATCATTGATGTGGCAAAATCTGTATGAGTAAATCTACATTTCAAAACATTAAACATACATTATGTAAATCTGCCTATTGCAGGTCTTTCTTTAGGCCTGAAATGTTATCTAAATTAGTAAATTATTAATTAGACATTAATTAACTTATCCAGACCATAATCAACTCTCGATGTCATCGCTAGCCTGCGACGTTTATTAGATTGGGTTCCGATTTGCTCTTCAACTCTGATTCATGATTTAATCATGAAATGCATAATCAAGACTATATTTTTTTATCGTACCAACTTTAGTAATGATGATCGAGGCTAGGCCGAAAATTCAATCGCTAAAATCTTGGTTCAGAGTGGATCAATTTGACTGAAATTTTCAGCAAATTCCCTTTATATTGTCTAGTTTTTAACTATTATAATGAGAACTGCCAACGCTTTATCTAATCTCCCATAATGTATCTTTAAGTGGAAGTTTGTTTACTAATTATTTTCCAATCTTCATTATCCCAGTCAGTGCAGAAAAGTAACATGTTAAACCCCATTTCATTTCACTAATCATTTTAGTTTCAATTCAGATTTAAACTGTCGACTGTTGATCACAAAATCAGTTATATCTCTATCTGTGGACCTAAAATTTTAAATGTAGACAGATGCCTACTGGGCAAAATACATCAACATATCGAACTTAATATAATGAACGCTTTTACTGTCTTGTCATTTTAACTTAATGGAAGTTTTTATTTTACATCATTAAAATATGTCCATGTCATATCTATAAAACTAGCCATTCACTCTTTCAATATAGACAGACTTCTTGACGACGAATCCATATTTGTACATGAATACAGACGACCTGCGGTCTGAAAGCTATCAAATATTTGTTCTAAGTTTCAAAAATAACTTCAACTGTCTATTTTAGTGCTAAATTTTTTGGGTGAATTAGTTCAGATTTTAAACATAACAAGTGGTCTGGTGTTGTTTGGTTGTGTCTGCTGGTAGCCAATATAAATACCACAACTAACATGTATTCATCCGCCTAAAAATAAAACGTGTTTACAGCATGCTTGACTAGATCATCATTCCTTAAATATTCACGGCTGGTAATATACTGACAGTTTTTGAGCGATTACATCACGCCAGAAACATTCTTCATCATAACATAGTTAGATAATCAAGAATCACCACTTTGATCAACAGCCTTGGAGTTGTGGTTGTTTATGAGTTGAATAATTAGATCAAATGCTTTTAACATGAAATAAGCCAGATATTTTACTTCAGAGTTCTGATAAGATAATGGTGTACAGTAAAAACAAAAATACTTACTGGCCTTTTATGGGTAGACCAGTCCGCTTAAAGGCACAATTTACATACACCTATATTTACATATACATATTTTTGACTTTTGAAACATTTTTGAACAATCTGGTTTGTTGTCCCTTTAAGAAAATCAGATTTAAAGTTTTGTAAATAAGGGCTCAAAGTATGATGATATACGAAAAGCTTTTTTCAAAAATATATAAACACAATCCAGGCTTCCTTTTTTTCAAAACTATTTTAAACAGGCATTATGTAAGAGCTGAATCTGTTTATTGCAGGTCTTTCTTTGGGCCTCAAATGTAATATCATTATTAATTAGACATCTATGGCTCCGAGTTAAGTAGATTAGAACAGTTCGGCCATTTAATGATTTAATTTAAAAATGGAGAAGCCAGGCTAAGATTCGAATGACCAGTTCAGTGGTTACGATCAATGCATACAACTTGTCAAAACTACAATCATTAATAACTTCGCTCAAAATAAAGTAATTTAAAGAAATTTTCAATATTCATTTTGCATTATCTATTTTTGAAACGTTATAGTGAGAAGGGCCAGCTCATTATCTAAATCTTACATAATGCCCCTTTAAATAATTATTGATTGGAAAAAAAAATGTACTAAAATTTAACATAGTTTCATCATTTATCAAGTTTGATCATGTATGGCTCTTGTGCCTACTCTTTCTAGAACACTGGATACCATTTCTTATTTATCTGGGAAGTTCATATCATTGTAAGCTTAACTTTTGGAAACAAATATTTAGTCATGTTAAGCTTGATGCAATCAAAATATCACATCAGGTCAACTCAATTCAATACTATAAATCGAAGAAATTTATTTCTTTTAAATTATCTCTACCAGTAGTGGTTCAATATGACTGTTTATGGTTCTGTATGCCAACTTTGATGTTGACATCTTTTATAAAGTCATTATTGACTGATCTCTTTTGGTTGAGAATGTTTGATTTCAAATATGCTGCTAGCATTGAAAAACCATTTGACTTGTGTCAAGGAAATCCGTGTGTTATACTCTGTCAGTCTGTCCGGTGTTGCAGGACATAGGATGACAAATTTATGTCAATAATAGTTGTGGACCTAAATAGACTTTTATTAATAGGAAATTGATATTATAATGTGAAACTATCAAATTTACGATGTTTTTCTCAGTTTAAAGAGCTTATAATAGAGAAGACGGTTATCTATTTTTGACTTCTGCTATAGCAGGATGTTATATACACAATGATGAACAAAACAGACATCATTTCGTCAAACAATCTTTCATTATGAACCTTACAAACCACTCTACTCTTTAACAAAAATCTATCTCTCTATATTTATAAAGTTATAATTTCTTTACTGTCTTTTATTTAGACTGTTTCACCATATAAACACAGATAATACAAACATTTTCTGGAATACAGTCATAAATATTCACACATGACATAAATCCTTTTTTGGTTACAAAATAAAAAGCATAAAAATAAAAAAATTTTTTTTACCTTTTTAACAGGAGGTGAAGATGTCACAGATTCCTTCTTCATTTTCCCCATTTTGAAAATTTGACAAGAAATATTTCCACAAATATTCAAGTTACTATCCAATGATATCAATATGCTTCACAAATATCTCAACACATTACATAGAATGTCTTAAAGTTAACTTTCTTGGAATTTGTCAGTTTAGTGCTGTAAACACTTTCACTGTCATGTCAATATACATACTTTAACAAGGGCCTAAATAAACACAACCAAATATTACAGTCAAATTTTCACAAAATAGAACCACTATCGGCTATGTGTTACACTGTTCAACAGATACTGATCGTGAGTCTGCATGAACACTTCAGATATATTGTAGAACACATTTGAACTGGAAGCAAGACAGACTGGTAGTACTGACTGAGTCAGACCTGATGATAATTTGTTCAACTTAATATCGATTTGCAAATCCTGGTTAGGCAAAGATCAAAATTCATCAAAAATAAATCTGAGAAAATAAATGCTGTAAGTTTTACTATATAGTTAAAAACAAATAGATAAAAACTACACAAAAATAATGCCCATTTTCCTTTTTTTTTCTGAACTCAGAATTAAAAGATAGGTTGCCAGGCAATGAAACATACGCCCACAGCAGCTAAATCATCCGGGCAGTCAACAAGAGTTGTGGCATATTTTTACTTTTGTCGGTAATGAAACATTTATAATACACTAAAATCTGATTATGAGTAACAATTAAGTAATTAAGTAATTGTCAGAAAATCATTAGAATTTGTTTAGCCAATGCTAACGTTTAGTATACAAAACATTTAATACCATGGATGCAGCTGTTCAAGTTATCAAAAATCATTGAAAATCAATATACTTGTTTGTTTCAAGACCTTACACTCTGTGTATCAATCTAAAGTCAATCAAAACGATTATATATAGGTGTAAACACGGTGTATAAATATAAAGTATGGTCTCTAAAGCAGCCACAAGATTTTTCAAAGTGATCAAGGGCCATAAATCTGGCAGTAATTATCGGATATCGATGAAAATCAATAGGCTTCTTCGTCTCATGACCTTAAACACTGTGTATAAATTTTAAGTCAATCGGATATTAACTTTAGCCTCTAGAGTGTCCACAACGGACAGACATATAAATGTGGGCGTATAAAAACCTCTATAACATTATTAACACTTAAAATCCTGCCTATAAGATCTCCTAAGCCAACTAATACTACTTCATGTATGTCATGAGATTCCTAAACTACTCACTTTGTATTTATGAACTAATGGATTTGAATACACTTTACGATCGATGGATGGTACTATATACTTTAATCTCCCATATTTGAATAATGAAGAGCTTTAAATACAGTACACATCTATATCATTCCCATCAAAAAATAGATAAAGAGCAATGTTAGTTTTCCTCAAGTGTAGAATGTCACATATTAAATGACGAAAATGGATATATTGCATTTTTCATCTACCGTCAATATATACATGCACAGCTCTCACTTTAACTTAATAAATCTCTCTATAAACTCCCCCTGATGCCAATACCTTTTGATATTTAAATTAAGATACACACATCTGTAGTTCATCATCCAATAACTTAGATGCTAATTACAACAACAACATCATAATTAACTATAGTAACCATGCTTATCAGTAACAGTTTGTCTAAACTATCCAGTAAAACAAGGAATCAATAGCAATAACAAATTTGAACAAAAATATCTCATATTTACAAATTTCTAAATGTTACCATGCTCATCTGCACATTTATTTCCGAATAAAGACTTTCATATTCAGGTAATATATTCCCTGTTGAGAATATATGCATAGTTTAACCTTCACATTTCTTCACACTGAAATCTAATTTAAAAATCAAAACATCTTGTGACAATGATATACCATGTAGTCTATGTAGATAGTTTTTATGGCAGGATATAACAAACAGATAATCACCTAATATTTGTGACTAGTTCGTGTTGATACAATTTAACACATCCTCATATAACAGACTTAGTCATTTCATACCTTTAGTCAACTCCTATTATTATCCTTTTTTTTTTAAATTTCCAAAAGTTAAATGTCATCTTGTTTTAAACCTTGATCCATAACTTATTCTTGATTACTCATGGTTCAAAACAAGCAATTGTTGTCTAGAGGTGTGTACATGTTCAAAACAAGCAATTATCAAGTTATAGTATGGAAATTTGTCTCTGTATTGCACATTCAACGTGAATATTTTAATAAATATTTGCATTAACGAATTGTAAATTTGTTAGTTAGCGTTTACTGTATTCAACACAATTACCATCCTAATCCAATCAACTCCACTTTCCAGTTTTTCTTGAAAGTGCCCATGTCACCATAATATACTGCAAACGGTATGTTTACCTAATTTCCATGCAAAATAAGCTGGATCTGTGCCTATAATTGGATGATAACTTTAGCCATAACTCTGGCAGTAATTATCAGAAAATCAACAGGCTTCTCTGTTTGATGACCTTAATAACACTGTATAAATTTAGAGTGGATTGGGTGATAACTTTAGGGTCCAGAGCAACAGACAGACCAACAAAATAAGGGTGACGACAATATTCAACTATATTTCATCGAGGGTGTATAAAAATAATAGAATCTAAACTTTTATTTATGATTGGTTGCATGCTTGAACTAAGGAAGTTTAAATACAAAAAGCTTTAGTGTTGACTGTTTTCAAACTATTATTTTTACAAAGTGCATTTTTACAAGAATAAAAACTTCTCGAAATGATTAGAATCAATAAATTGTTTAAACCCTATCTAAAAAAAACCCTAGAAAAACAATGGTGTGTTGCTTGTGGTATAAGACTTTCTAAAATAAATATATCTTCCTCATGGTAAGTGTTTGTCAAAGTTTCACTAAACATTACTTGAGATGTATTTTTCATCCACTTCAAGGTAACCAGTATCTTTAATCTGATGGTAATGTCATACTTTTGATGGCTGTTTTCATCTAAGATAAACACTATCAACACTGACTTAACATTTATTTTAACCATAGAGAAAACATTGGAATTATCTGACTCATTAGCCACAAAAACTACTACGCAATATATATGTACACAAAAAACATCAACACGGCAACCATCCTTGAAGGATATTAATACCAAATTCCTTTTTCAAAACTAAGACTAAATGTAAAGGTTCATACATTTTGAACAAAATCTCATGTGATCACAGTCTCGTGTTTAATATGTAGGTTCTTATTGTCACTGCTAACTCGTTACAGTCAATAAAAATACTACAAACCCTCCAACACCTGTATCATTTCATATCAAATCCTATCAAATTTCTATAATTTTCCAATGAATTCAATACACATGAACAATGAAACCCAGTAAAATGTTCCAAATAAAACTATTATAAGTTCCTACTTAGTAAATAAAACTCAAGACACTTTAGCTTAACCACTAAAAGAATTATGTATTCACAAAGTAAAAACTGAATTCTAAACTTGACTGTCAGTAAAAAATCAAGATATGGAACATATCAAATTATACTGTTTAAACAGATGAATGAACATCAAATAATATGACAATGAATACAACTGTTCAAATGAGTCAACAGGAAAATCAGAAGCTCAATAATTCCTCTAATAACAATATTTCAATATCCTATGCACAATTACAGGAAATAAAATATTTTTAGCAAAAAATCCATTGAAATGAAAACAAAGAAAAATCCAGTAGCTGATTGTAAATGTAGATAATATTCTATGTTTACACTGCCAAACAACATTCAGTATATATTGTAAAATCGTCGCCTGTCACATTATGTTCAGCACTGTCGCTCAGTGTGAACATAACATTTGATCTAGTTATATACACAACAATTCCAGAGATCTGATACACAATTTGGAGAGGGAAAAAAAAGGCTACAAGTAAAAAATCGCCTACAATTTCAAAGGTTACAGAGTCTAGCTGCCTAAATAGATGACTGTATCAATCCAGTTAATTACACAAAAATTCGAGTTTATGAGCCAACAGGAAATTTGGTAATTACATTATGATATATTTGATATTTATAATAAACAGCCCGACCCAGGTTATTATCATTAATTCATATTATAAATATCAAATGTTATTCTCAATATATTATGGGATAACAAATGCATGTTAGTTTAATCAAACATAAAATTTAGCGAACTCATTATTACATATTTTTGTAAATACTAAAAGGAATTGAACCATTTTTGGACTGATATTCCTATTGGAGATTCATCTTTCACAATATTGTAGTTTGCAAGTGATCACTATTGCTTAAAATGGAACATCAGGACTTTAATAATAAAATAACACATTGGATAAAAACAAACAAAAAACAAAATGTATTATGTTTGTCTCATTTACAACTTTTATCTTTAACATCAAGAGGTCAAAGGTCAGACTCATATCTACTATTAACAATAGGAGATACCTATTACAAGATGGTGGAACAAACAGCTGGCCAATAATAACAACTGATACAAGAGGATAAAGATATCAAATCACCATGGTAACAATGACAGAAATGTTACATCTCAATTGACAGGGTACAGCTTAAACAATAAATAATCTTTTTTATCTTGTGACAAAAAATTTATTCAGAGGAAATGCTGCCATGCCTCTTCCGACAAATGATTCAGAACAAATCATATTCCCAAAGGGCATTGACATAGAAGTCATCTCTAGTGGGTGGTATCCAAACTTAAAGTTTCAGAAGTCTGTGTCTAGATCCAGTGAAGTTTGCTGGTCAGCAACGTCATCAAATCTTCTCTTTCCTAATTAAAAGGCATAAAACGCCCTCAATTCCCTCTGAGCAGTCAAATAAATATCCCCTCTTTTTGTTTGAGTAGTTCACCTACATGTAATTAACAACTGTTTACATCATATCAAAGTAATAAATTTTTGTTGGTTCGACTGATTTTGCTCAGTTTAATATTGCCTGTTTCAGCTAACTTTGGGCATCTGCATTCCATTACATTTCATGGAAAGTTAGATTTTCAAGTAGAATATAGACATGCACAATTAACTATAACCTCTGACCATGGCTTGTAAATATGTTACCTGAACGGCTCATTACTAACAGAAACATCTTTACAATATATTCATTTGGCTACTAATTCCAAACTAAAATTAGCATACAAACTGAATTCCACTCAATATTTCAAAACAAAAATTTAATTGATTAAAGTTTATCCTATCACCAACCCAAATAACACAATCAAACCAAAGAGATTTAGCTCCTTTAATTAAATGTCGCTATTTTGTTAACCGATTTTCAACCATTTACATTACAGATTAACAGTCATTTTCCTTTGACAGGTATTTTTAAAAGACACATTTGACTTTCAGTTTGTTTATTTTTAATAGAATAAACAAAGCAAAAAGACTGTTTTCACATTTTTCAACAACATGCGACTTCCTTCTACTACTCACTTATACAAAACCAAATGTCAATACCACATATAACTTTGTATATAATACATTTTTTATCCACCGAATTATGCATTTACACTTTTATACAAAATGTATCTGAGATAAGCAACCTGTTGACTCCTATAAATAAATACTTTTGCAGAAATCCTTTCTCTTAACAAGGTTGTATACATGTAAGTCTTTTTCACAGAATTCTGAGTTCACATTATTTTTTAAAACTTTATACGACACACATATTTCACAATTAGATGATGAGCAATAATCCATAAGAATGATGTAGGAAGGAAACTTTCCATTCTGGTTTTACAGCTTCTAAACATGCATGTATATATCATCAGCTACCAGACTTGACTCATTATCATGTATAGGGTGGTTCCCTGAATTTTAGACCTTTACCAGCTGTCAGACAACATGTTACTCAAATCAATCTTGTGTAGTCTTCTATCATTATAAAACCCCTTTGATCTTAAAATGGACTTCTCCTCACTTTTCCTTACTTTTTATCCCCTTCTTTTTTTACCAATAACGAATTGGAATACATATTTCAATGACTATAGTTAAAGAAGCAGTACCTGTTTAGTAATCTGCTTATCATTATCGATCAGATAAAAATATTGATGAATGTCTAGAGGAGACCAGAGTCGGCACCATATGTTATAACTTAAGAATACAAGATAACAAATGTTATCGACTGCAAAATAAATTTATGACAAGAGCTCTTACGAAATAATATGTAAATTATACTTGACAATCATACTGTCAACAGTAAGTAGGCAATCGAGAATAGGAACTGTGTCATCTGCCAATTATGGTTATTTCTTGTCAAAGCTTCAAACGTTCATAATTTTGCTCAGAATAAAGTAATTTGACAGACATTTTCAATATATTCGTTTTTCATTGTAAGAATGGCCAGCTCTTTCTCTAAATCTTGCATAATGTATCTTTAAGTAGCCACAATTGAGTTTGACCCATCTAGTTCATAGATGGAATCAAATTTTTCAAATTAAAGAATATTTTCTATTGCTGCTTTTTCCCACATCCATTTTTAAAATGTACAACCACAAGAACTTTACATGGCCATAATCAAGTATGACCTTTTAATTCATAAAGGGAATCAAATTTATCTGATAAAAGCATATTTTCTTTCAAGTTTCCCACGTCTGATTTTCAAATTTTTAACTATGAAGTCTATAGATCTTTGTTGTATATTTTGCATATTAGGACTTTTATCTGTGAAAGCGAGTTTCATTTCACAGCCACATTCAGTGATTTTAAAGGGTCTTGTTATCAATAATATAAAATATAGCATCCTGATTCCCCTATAACTACAACAGTAGTATCAACCATTGATCAACCCAATAGATAAACAATACCAGTGTTTGTATTTTGTTTCCCTGATAGAAATAATACAAGACATGAGTATTATTTGGAAAGGAAATAAAATGAATCAGTGTTACATCAACACTAGTCATCAATGTCTACTAGCAATATATGACTAATAATATCTTCCATGAAAGGAGGAAATCAAAAACCTCATAAAAATGAATCAATAGTATAAGTGGACTTTACCAAAACGGGGGGGAAATGAATCCTACTTGAAAAGTGGCACCAGGTGTTTCGAAAAGGAGTAAGACTACCCTGCCTCATGCATGGCACCTGTTTATTGTATTTAGATTTCATTTCAAACAGAGAGAAAGAAATGGGGTTTTAACTGCCACTCAACACAAACTATGTCATTTTGAGATTTAATGGTACATTTTTTATTTCACTAATTTACTTTTGTATAGGAGTCTATAGCACTGGGTGGAAACCGGAGGAACCAGAGAAAACCCACTCTTTGTCACCTACAAGTGTGGGATCGAAACCATGGACTTGAGTCATTGACAGACTTTACTTATGATCTAAGCGAAAGGATCAGAGTATTCGGCCACCCAATCCAGCACAATTTAAACTAGTCATATAACGATCGAAAATATTATTATCAACTAAACAAATCAGTGATTATGGCATCCACAAACATGTCATACTCACTGACAGTATAATTGTGACACCTGAATATTTTCTGAAAAGAATACTTCAATCAGGTTGGTGTTAGATATGTAAAATATAGAAAAGAAACTTACATCATGATGGACTCCATCAAACATATCTTTTGATCCATCTGGTATACTGCTGTTCCTATGCATATTTTTCTTATGCTTCGCTGTCTGTGCTTTCACAGATTCTGGAATCATTTTCTCTGCTCCTGTTGACGGACGTCTTTTTATCTTGGTCTTGATGTCATCCCGGAATGATCGGGCCTTCTTTAACATCTTGGACCCAGATGATTTCTCTGAAAATAAATCAAATAATAATTCTGAATATTTATTTGTTTAGCTTAATCTACCACAAATTAATTGCTAGAAATTGTTGAATTCACCTGAAAATAAACATGCACAAATTTTGAACAAGTTATTAATCAGTTGTGAATCGTACACCTGTATACATTTTATTTTTTAAAAATATATATTTATACATGTAAGAATTAGTCATTGTAACTATAGAATGGGTATAAAATCACATCTTTTCACAAACCTTTGAAAGTAATTCTTTGTAGCCAT